TCAACATTTCGTGACTGCAGTCGTATATTGTAGAGCCTGTGGGCAGAAGTGAGGCAGCGTGGAGCGGTATTGGGCATGCGTCCGAAGTTTGTTTTGCTTCTCACATGCCGTAGCTGTTTCGGGGTTATGAGTCGCCCAAATATGCAGCTTTGCGAATGACATTTGGAGATTGCGACTACCAAAGCTTCATCCCAGGTCATCGATTCTACTTCGATAGCAGTGAACTATAAGCTGCTTGTTTGAATGCTTTGCCGCAAGGTCAATGTGGATATCCCTTGAGCCAGTGATTGTTATTCAAGAGGAGGTTGAAGGCTTTAGGGAATTTCACATCACAACTTCAGGTATGGCCCTATTCGTCAGGCAGGTTTGAAGACTAGATTCCACTGGCATGCTTGTGTGCCATTGTTTGCGACAGAAGCTGAAAGTTCGTCACTCCCCAGATGCAGCCAAGCATGCGGTAGTGGAAGATTCGGGGCGTCATTAATACTGTTTCGAAGCAGCATCATACGAGGACCAAGGTAAGGGATACTTGGTGATGATGATAAAAAATACCGTGGTGCGGGTTCAACAGGCGGTAACATTTGTGAGGGATGATAGAGTTCGTCAATTGCTGTCGAACGCCCACCATTGTCTCCACTCAATCACCGGGGAAATTTGCATGTCCCTTCCGCGGCTCGTCTCAGGTCGTAAGGTGTCGTGGCGTATATTAAGAAGAGTTGATTTCCTTCATGGAAATTCTCTCTTTCTTCTCCTCTCCTTTTCGTTGATATATATATCTGTCGTGGTCTACGATTGACGCTTCATCCCCAAACCACGGCCCGCCCCGTCCTTGCATTTTGTGCCTTCCCGCGAAGTTGGCATCCACCTCCCGCGCCCCAGTATTCTTCCTCCTATGCGCTTTCACCTCGACGCAACCATCAACTTCTCTTTCTGCTTTTCCCATACGGACCGAACGGCGCCAGAATTCAGACGAGGAAAGCCGATGAACAAGTAGCTGTCCTGTCCTGAACGAGTCGCACACCAGGAATCGCTTGCCACACTGGAGACTAAAAGGGCGGGATTGTGTCGCAGCGGATCGCGAACGGGCGGCCTGCTAAACCTTGTCTGCGCATTCCTGGAAAGTTCTTTGGGACCTCCCTTGCTGGACGGTTTGGACCTGTCATTGGACGCTCAGTCAACCCTAGCAGAAGCTCGACGCCTGTCAGGGATTTGCACCAGCCGGCAATAGCCAGGGTCAGCTGTTGGGTCGCGAACAGCAAAGACCGCCGAGGATACGAATTGACCCCTCGGAAGGACGACTTTGCACCAAGAGCAGAGACCACAGGTCACGAAGCACTACCAGCAATACGTTGAAAGCAGAAGCAGGAAACTTCACAGCAGCCAAAAGCAGCAAAAGCAGCGCAGGAAGAGCAAGAAACACAGCCCAGCACAGCAATCCCACGTCACGACGTCAGACTCGTACGGAGTACCGAAGTACTTTGTCACCCAGAAAGCTTCTGGAAAGGGCAAGCCGCGGCCCAGCGAAAGTTTGGAGGCGTTTTTCCCGTGCTTGTGCATGCAGCCCACAGTCAGAAACATTCGACGATCAGCGCCATCTGTTGTTCTCCTTCTTCTTCATTCCAAGGCTTCATTGTCCATTTGCAGCGTCTCTTGCAGCCTCTTGAGTCGTAGTGGGGGGTGTAATCGTGTGGTGGTGGTACAGCCGCTGTCTTATCCCCAAACCTCCACCAGATTCAATAGTTGAGTCTCTTCCTCACGAACAGACGACTAGCTCGGCTCTCGAATCTCGATAATTGTCCTTCGATAACGGTACGCTCCTGTCTACTGCGTGCGCCTGCCCTGGCCGCTATTTGCAGCCACATCAGCCAACGCACGATCACGACTGGTCCGCAACGTACAAAATTTTCCAACGTGAAGAAGTGGTCTCTGGCTTCTCATTGCTCCATTATCCGCCCATCATAATCTTCGGCACGTTCATTCGTCGTCCCATTCGCCGGGCCGTCGTTGATTGATCAGCTGCGAAATCTTAGTTGTTGGTGGCGGTTGGCTGCGTGTGGGTTGAGGGTTGAAAAGGTGATACTTTCGCCTCTCGAAATATTAGAGCCGACCCGTCATCGCAAGCCAGCACGAGCGAGGGGCAGCAACCGCAAGGAATTGTTTCTCTGCGACTATTGCCCGTGGTCACATAGAATTGTCGGATCCTGGTCTTGACAGCTTGTTCGCCCTTTGCGCAGAGTTATTGTTCTGACCTCACATCATCTCTCGGTCTTGCTCACGCCGTTTGTGTATCAGCGCTCGAAGCCCATTGAAGTACAACTCCTGGGCGAAACAACGTGCCGGTACTGGTGAGGAATCCTCCCAGCTTGACGACATCTGGATATATCCCAGAATTCTTATTCTCTCTTGCGCGTCGCCGTGAATCTTCCTGCCGGAAGACTTCTTCGCGGGCGTCGCACATCAACCACAATATACGTTGCTGCCATCCGAACTCTGCTGAGAGACAGAGTGTTATCGTGGCAGAAACCGCAGCACGGCGCAATTGTCCTCAGTCTTCCAGACTGTTGGGGTCCAGAGCTCATAACTGCAGCGGTCCCCATAAAAGCTATCAGCTTCACACTCAGCAGGAACATCCTTACTTCGGGCCCACCGCGTGCCATTGCCGTTGCCATTGCAATTGCAATTGCAGAAACCTGAGTGCGCGTTTCCTGCGTAACTTTAGATTGTGATATCTCCATCTTCCAGGCGGCGTATGTACCATTCGGTCGGTTGTGGTGCGATCATCTGTCTCTGTTCTGGTCGCCGTCGCTGTCTCTCGTCGGTACGAGCACACCACACCCTGCATCGCAACCTGGGCGCACCTCCAGGGCTTGTCCTCGTCTCGCCTGTTACCCGAATCTCGGACGCGGAGGCACCCTCGCTCACGCCCCACAGACAGTCCGGTCGCCCAACGCTGGCCCTGCTGCTGCACCTGCACCTGCACCTGAATCCCTACCAGCAAAAAGTCCACACCCACGCATCTCCTCCACCCGCCCTCCACTCCTCACCCACACCACGCATCACCCCTCCCCTCTCTTAGACACCCAGATCCGGTGCTTCATACAGACACCCCTGCTCACCACCTCACCACCACCCTCGTCGAACTTGAGATCATCCTCCTCCGAAACATAAACATAGATCACATCCCCCTCGCTCCACAACTTAATCAATTAATTTTTTTTTGGGTCGCGTCGTCGTTCTCATCCTTTTCCATCGCCTAACGCCGACCTCTCCTCGTCACTCGCAAATAATCTGGTCTGCCATCTTCACTCTCCCATTGTGCACTCGCACTCCCAACGCCAGCACCAACTCCATCTCAATTCACCACCTCGTCTGCTTTCTGCCACCACGCGGCCCATTCCTAATTGATCTGCCCTTGAGCGCGAGCGCTCTTGCGACGTCGACTCTTGAACCCTGCTCTGTTGCTGCAATCTCCATCTTCAGTTATCTTAGAGCATTTTGCTGAAGCCGTGTCACGCATCGTACCGCACACCTCGCGAAGCATCCCTTCTGCACGTCGCATCATTTGGCCGCACGAAAAGAGGCCATCGGTTGATCTAAAATCGGTCCCAGACTTCAACCTTCACAGGCTCAGAAAAGCCATTGACTTGCAGCACCCAAGCGGCTATCTCTTGTGATAACGCAACCACCATTGGTAGAAAATCTCCTGCCGGCTTAGTCTCTATCCGCAAAGTCCCCATTCGAGTTGAAGTGCGCTGCGTCGTCTTGACCTCAAAACTACCACTGCGCAGCAGGATCGAAGAGCAAGAGGCATCTGTTTCACTCAGTCAGTACTGAGGAACATTGTAAATCCAGAGCAGAGATCATACAGTGATCAAAGGTGGGAAATCTCGGGACGTGCCTTGACAGTCGCTGGCGTCAACCACATCATATATCGATAGCTGCTTCGGTACTGAAGATCACTGTGGACGTTCTTGCGCCTCCTCTCGGCCAACAAGAGACACCTCTAGAGCAACACTGTTGGAACTGAGAAAGAGAGGGCCAGGAAGCCAATCGACTGGTCGCTATTGGATATCATAGTTTTAGCCCACCATCAACCACCTTCTCAGGTCGACAACTTGGCCAGAGGACGGACGGCTTTGGTCGAACTGGTGTACAATAAAGCACTTGGAAGGCTATTTCTGAGGAACATCTGCGATTGGTTGTCTGCGAACATTTGTTGTGGTCATTTCGTCTTTTCGGATCACACAACCGCCAAAACCTTAACAATTACGAGGCTGCGTCTGAATCTACACCTCAGGGGTCTCCTTGCGCGTTGTAGCTACGTTCTGCGTCTCGTTGGACATTGTCTTCTCATCATCATCAAACCCTCTGGAATTGGATCGGGAGCTCTGCAACGAATCCCCGGCAGTCCATTTTCTGGCCAGAAAGGTGCAGCTGCAGCGACGGAGCAAGAATTTCGTTCACTAAGCTCAAGCTCCACTTTGGGAAGGCTCGACTCGACCCTAAAGAGGACACCCAGAGTCCTGAATCAATCAATTAGGAGATTCCTTCATCACCGATCCCCAGTCTCTCACCGCTTTCACACCGAGTCTGACACAGACTAGTGGCATTCGATTTCGACGGGCCACCCGTTCTTTCAAGGGGCACTTAGTCGAGTTCCCCTTCACAGCAGCAGCCGGTACATCCCCACTGTTCACTCGACGCATCACATCTTCCCTCTCCTCTCCTCTTCTTAAACAGCTATTCTTCCATCTTGGAAATTGGGTTCGACAGTCTCTATCACTCCGTTATCCACCCGTACACTGTTGCCATCATTAACGACTTCTATCTCAGTCCAGCACGCCGAGACTGGAATACATCATAATTAAGATACATCGACGGCAGCTCCCGCTTGATCGTCGTCTTGTGCTGTAGTTATATATTTGGCATTCAACCCTCCCTCTCCTCAGACCTTGTCAAAAAAACCGTTACTCACGCAAATCGCTCGAGTACAATCCACGATGTCGTACCACGACCGGAATCCCGGTGGCTATTCAGGTCACCGTGATAACTCTGCGTATCCTCGCAATGGACAACCCGCTGATTCGCAATATCCCCCACCACCTGGCGAAGAAGACGACCGAAACAGACCCTATCATCAGCGCGCTCCTTCAAGCAGCAATGGTGTGACCCTCCCACCCATGTCTCCTTACGAGCCCCAATACTCGCAACCAGCTCGCAGCCCCTACGACGAAGCTCGCAGTCCCTACGCCCCAGAAGGACGAGCATACCCTCCACTTGCCCAACCACCGCAAGGAGCCTATCAGCCCCAAGCGACAGGTTACAGTCACGAGCGAAGCTTCCAACCTCAACCTCCACAGGAGTATAGAGCAGGTAACGCACAGGAGTATAGACCAAGTAATGGACAGCAACACATGGCATTCAGTCAATCAGCCCCGCGACAAAGAACCGCAATTGCCTGCAAATATTGCCGAAGACGCAAGGTATGCTCATTCCCATCTAACTGTTCGATTGTATCAAGGTTCTAACTTCTAGATAGATCCGCTGCTCTGGGTTTGATCAAAACCCCGAGGGACGTTGTACCAACTGCCTCCGATTCCAACAGGAGTGCGTTTTTACTCCAGTCTCCTCGCAAGCTCAAGCTTTCGTACCGGCACACGTTGTCTTCCCTCACTTGCGTCAGGCAGCGGCGAACCAGAACCCTCACATGCACCAGGCAATCGGAGACAATAGAATCTCAACCTTTGGAGCTCACGGAGAGCCACTTGGCTCACTTCCTGCGCCTTACGACTATCCCGCACCATCCCCAACAGGGTCGTTCAGCTCAACGGCTGATACTCCCACATCAGAGCATCAAACACCATATATCTTTCGCGCAGGTTATCAATATGCTCGCAATCAAGGCCCTCAAGAGAACTATCCTCCACTTGCTCCTCCACAGGAGAGTTATCCTTATCCGCAGCACGGTCAAGCTACTTTGCCTACACGTCCCCGAGAGGAGCGTCCACGTTCTCGAGAGGATCATTCACGTCCAATTGCACGTCCTCGTAGCCAAGGTCACGGTCGTGCCGCACGCGATCGTAACTCTCCAACATACCGCCCTGAGGCGCGCGATCACCCCTCTCCATCATACCGTACCTCTCCAACAAGCTCCGAGTCACGCAAACGCAGAGCTGTAGAGGACGCTCATCCATCCATTCTACCTCCGCCCATGCCAAGCCAGTCATCTTACCCACGCTCGAACAGCGGTGGCAGACGTCAAGGAGACGACGAGTTGAGACTTCCTCCTGTCACTCCAGGACAACAAGCGTCTGCAAACTACTCCCCTGGTTCTTCCGCATCTTCTCACTCGAATCTTCAACCACCTCTTCAAGGTGGCCTGCCCCCCATGTCGCGTACTCCTCCACCTCGTACCAGCCCAGGTGCAGCTCGTACCGATCGTGTTGACCCGATGAAATTGGGCAACATTATGGCTCGAGACAATGAGGTAGACAGGAAGATGCTGGATAGCTTTAACAAGAACAATAAGTAGATGATCTTGAACCCGCACATATCATGAAGCAATGGATTGTACATTGGAGGATCTTAATTTTTCATTCTCACGTCGCTCTGAGATCTACGGCTGGTCCTCTCTCAGCTCTTTTTTTTGGCTTCTTGATTGCGTCATCATGTGCACGTTCACCTCATCAAGGTTTCCGGTCAACTTCTTCTCCATTGGTTCCATTTGGGAGAAGGATAAACTTGTGATGAGGTTGGACGTTGCTTCGTTCTGTACAGGGGTTGGGGGATTTCCGGTCTGGGTTCTGCGCGACACGAAACAAAAAGAATTATCTAGATATGGGTCATTGCCTCACGGCAGAAACTTCAACACCGGTGTTTTTGGAGGGCGGTTACATTGTTTTTTGTTGTGTTGTTGTTGTGTGTTTGTATTGTTGCTTTGTTGTTGAATTCGAAATTTAATATCATTAAACCAAAAAAAACATGTGTTTCATTTCCTTGTGTTTTGTATGTATGTACCACCACATCCTCCTGGGATTTAAGGCGGTTTAACGGGCGATTATATGTTTCATTTGTACATCTACAAACCACATCTCATGCTTTTTTCTACAAATTTTCATCACAGCCCTTCTTTTTTGGGGGAAAAGAGGACGTTGATGGCGTGGATATCTGCTTTTTTCTTCTTTTTTTGTTGGACATATACCTTTTGGGGCGAGAGGTTGTGGACGGGGAGAAGGGAATGGAAAAGAAAAAGAGGAACCTTGGGGGAATGATACCTTGGTGAGAAGGGATTGTTTGTCTTTGTATATTAGGTTACTTGTTGGGAATGAGATGAGATGTTGGATTGTATCTATGAAATTGTGTGTGTGTATGTGATGACTTTCGTGGTGCTGCTTACTTACTTCCATCCCATCTACTCCATTAATCTTTGAGACCTTATCTACGCACAATCGTGACTTGAGAAGTCTATCTCCTTCCCTCTCTCCCATAATTCGTCTTTCTCATCTCACTCCTCATTCTCACTCATATCACGGATACCGTGGTCCTAGATCCAAATTCCCACGGTTCGGAGCGTGAGCCTCGTAGATCTCATCATCCCTACAATCTCGGACCGTGAGATGATGGAATTTTGAGATTTCAATCAGGCGGCTCGGAGCGCGCTCACTGCTCTTTCTTATCTTTTGAGCGTTTATCCTTAACATTCCATGAATTCGAAATCAGACAAGGCATTCGGATCGTTATATTCAACAACCGCAAATCTACAAAGAAGTCCGTGGCATTCCGATCAGTGAGCAATTCTTGAATCATAAGAACTTATCAAGTTCTGAGAGTGAGGAGTCGTTGACTTTGTGAGTTGAAAAGGCGGTTCGGAGCGTTATCATTACCTCTTATCTTTGCCCTTCATCCTTGAAATTTCGTGGACTTGGGATTTTTATCAGCGATGCTCGGGAGCGGTCGAGCGCGCACGCGATATGTGATAGTTGACACGCGTAAGGATGTGAAGATCTCGCGTGTGCGGTACGGAGCGTGAGGTTGTTGGTTGTGAGGATGATGTGTGGGAGAGGGAGTATCCGTTGCGTTGGTTGGTGATTGCGGGAGCTGAGGAATTGAGGTTGTGAGGGTTGAGTGAGTTGTATTGTGAGATTGGGGAGGGATCTTGATGTGGTGTTTTGGTGTTTCGATATCGTGGAGGTGGGTAATTGGCTGTTGGAGAAGTGTGCAACATTTTAATTTCTTGACCTGCTGCTGCTGTTGAAGATGTATAGCTCGGTGTATCAGACTTCTGGAATTGATTCAATGAGTATTGTCTATACTGGATGTCGTATTATCCAAGCAATTTGCGAGAGAACATATCTGAGTCGTTTGTGGGCACTTGGAAATTTTGAGGAGATCTTGAGTACATTTTACGGACAATGCTGTTGATATGTGCACAGAGAGAGCACTGAAGACTGTGGTCGATTTCTTACTTCCTATCTATTTATCCAAAACTCATTCTTCGAACTCCGAAAACTTTCGAGGAATTCCATCTTTCAACACCCTCAACCACCTAAATCAGCGCGCACAATCCCATCACGACCACCACCAACGCCTACATTCCCCTCCCTCCATACTTCTCTCACCTGTCTCCCTCCCTCCTCTTGCCTCAGGCCTTCCACCTCCCGCGTTCCGGCACTCTCCCCCCACTACACCCCCTAGCGCCGGTACTCGTCTTTAGGCATTACGTAGACTCCCACTAAGACACCACCACACACAGTAACAATACACGGGTGGGAAAAATTTTCAAGGTAGTACCTTGCACCAAACTATGTTGATTTACTCTCCTACATGACGCTGTGACGGTGTTTGGCTGAGATATGGGCTAATGAAGACATGCTTACTTAGAATGGTGTTTGAGTTAATGACGATGGGCGAGCCAGAGGACGATTAGAAAAGGAGTAGAGGGGGAATGATGGCATATTGAGACAAAATGAACAGGGGGGAAAATAAGTCGAGGAATTGGTTTCTTGGTAGCTGTGGGACTTAGTGGGTAGTTTAGAGGCGACTACACTGCCACTACAGGCCACCAAACGTTTGTCAACGTTATTACGTCGCAACTCGGAGCGAAGCCTTTGAGGCTCTGGTAGAGCTGGACTCACGGGTATCTTGTCCACCGTATAACCTTTTGCCACAGAGAATGCTTAGATACGGCGTCTAGAACGCACGAAGTTGCTGCTGAGAAGTGAGGGTTAGATGTCTTGGCAATTTTATGTGTTGTAGTTGAGTTTACGGGAGTACATGCACCACAATGGGGTACTTTTTTGTCTAGATTGGATTGAATGAATTTCAGATCTCGATCGTTGCTTCAGTGATGTTGGCTTGGCGTGATGGGTTGGAATGACGATTTGGCTGCGAAGTGACGATGCTGCGTGGGTTATTTTAGAATATGTGCATGGGGGCCTGTCTGGCTACTGTAGTGATCATAATCGCACGATGGTTCGGATAGTCTGGGTGCAGACCAGAGAAGAGTGTGGTTTTGGTGTGGGTGGGTGGTCGTGAAGATGGTTGTTACGGAAGTGTCGTGGTGCGAATTGTGGTTTGGAGAGGTATGCGACGGATTCGACGGATTAGAATCAACTTCCAAGCAGGAAACAGTCTTCCGATTCTTTCGCAAATAGAAATAGAACACTTGTAGGCCATATTCCGAGCCATCCTGCCTGCAACCGCGTATAGTAACAAGAAGATTCGCAGGCTACGACCAAGAGTCGGGCCTCGTCCGCGCCTGCTACCCCTGAACTGTGAGGGTAAATCGTGATTATGATGACACTATTCGTCCAAATGGTAGGTCATAGCAGTCTCCCAAGATACATGGTTAATTGGACTAGGCAGGGGATGTTGGATAGCCATTTGATGGTCTGCAATACAAGCCAAACCAAAGTTGTCTTGTAAAGCGATAATAGCATATTCAATAGTTTGCGCCGCGGTTTGATCAATTAACAAGGGGTTTCCCACGGTACCGGTAGTTGGATTAAACCGTGAAAAGAACATTGTAACTTCTATGGGTCAATTTTCGAGTTCCCCCCCCTTTTCGGTCGCCAAGGCTCAAGTAGGATATTACTCTACACGCCGCGAGAACCCGCACACTACCTACTACTGCAATAATTACGACATATTGTCTTTCCCCTACAACTCTGCCAATAACGAGCAGTTTTTCTGCCTCACTTACTTTGGCAAAATTTGGGTTTTGTTAGTTTTGTGAATACTACCTCATATTCCTTTTTAAAAAACAAGTGCGATTTTCCAGTCACGCTAGGATTCTGGGCGATAACGTTCTCTGGTAGGCTCGACTGGCCGTTGCGCAAGATTTACTTGTGTTCAGTTGCCGAAAGCGCGTCGGGAGAACGCGTCGCGTCTTTCGAGTTGAGATGCTCAGCTCATTTGCGTTCTTTTCGTAGCACAACGCGTTGATTCTCTCAGAATCACTCGAGAAAACTACTGAAGCTGGAGAACTCTTTGCGCAATGTTCTCTACGTAATTGCAAAAGCCAAGAATACCCAGAGCCCAGGAAAATCACAGGTGTTCACTTTTAGGTTGGCGGCTAACTAAAGAAGCGAATAGGACAAGCAGCGGCTTTTTCGGTGGTTTGGAAAGAAAACGGCAAGTTCCTATGGGTTTTATGGTGCCAGCAGAGAATTCTGCCACTTCAGTACATGTCGAGAGGTGCGCGAGTGCCGTGTCTGCCGGTTATCCTGCTTGGAAGGTTGCTCTATCGTTGCGGCGCGACTCCCATCATCGCGAGGAAGGTGCGTCCCATACGCTTCGTCCTTAGCCGTTCACGAGGATTCAGTGTTGTAAGATAATTATGACCTAACTATGATCCTAAATGATGCAAAGCGTTAATTTTTTCTCGCTTTCCTACCACCAATTTGATGGTGTACCAGAGAACCAAAGTGCACAACATGAGCCAGAGTTTTCTGCCGTTTTTAAACTGAATCTCGCTGAATCGGGAAAGAAGTCATGGCTATGAGTTATGCTATAGAACTGCACTTTTTATCATATGTCTTACTTTAGTGGTGTTCGGTCTGGACCGGCGGGTTTGGATGTTGTTTTAGTGTGGGATTTAGATGAGTATTATCTGGCGCGAATTGTCGTGTTGCACTATCAGAAAGGGGGAACAAAATAGAAAGGACTTGGCAGGCTGATGGGTTTGATTTTAATCAGTAGGTGGCCTTGGCTCGCGATCTTTTGAAGCGTTGAACATGGTGGGAGAATCTAGGTGAGTTGGGAGTCCGTGGTCGGAGGAGCAGAGTCTGAGAGTAATGTGAGGGGCTCTTGAATCTAGATGGGAGAGAGAAGTAATCAAAAACTTGTGCCGAATATCCGGAGCCTTAGATGAAAGTATTTGGTATGCAAAAGTTGATCGCATTGATGTGTTGATTTCTCAGCTTATGATCACAACACAACCCCAAGTTCTGACACTCGCAAGTTTTTATCGAGCATCGCTCTTGAAGCTCTTGTGCGCGTTCAAAAGTGTATTTCATCTCTAAATCCAAATCATGAAACCCTCAGTTGACGATCGAGGACTAATGGGATTAGGACGGTCAAGGTAATGAATTCTGGGACATCGGCCACACAAACACACGAAATAATTCGGAAAATGAAAAGTCTAACCTTGTCGCTGAATAATCCCCTTCAGCAAGGTCTCAGCATCTAAATCAAAAACCTCATGGAGAATCATTGAAGTGACACTCATGGCACACGCTCTCTCGCATGACGTGTCGCAAACAAAATATTGGGTGCTTATGGCAGCGGCCTAGAGCTGTAGAAAGCACATTAGATGCGATTCGTGTCTGTTAAAATTCGATATTTCATTCGGAAGTCATAATGACATAAAGTCACATAAGAGACATAGTGCAGTGCAGTTATTATTTGCATTATCTGACGCTTTTCAGTGGAGAGCAGATGAAATATTTTTAATAAAGTTTAGATCAATCGATTGGGCTGTAAGATATTATCTTGCGCCTTAATTGAATAATCCACAGGAAAAGAAATCATAAACTCTGAAATATTTTCTTCAAACAGTAAATATAGAGAAGGAAGATGAAGTTGAATTTAGGTCAAGGATCGGCAGTCAACTAGATAAGCGAACAGCCCGCCCATGTACCCCCCTGCAACTCATATCGATGAAACAATCCGTACTGAGAAATACCACGAGGCTCGGGCAAGTGCAGGAACAATGCTTTTATCCAAAGTAGTCTTCTCACAACAAATGAGATGATCAAAAGCTGCTGGCGAGAACATCACGCTTGATTCCCCTTGAAACAACAACCCAACAGTCATATGATTCTTTTATAACCATCTGATGTGATTATGTTGGAAAATTCTCACTGTCTCAGCGACTGCCGCCACTATCGCCGAGGCATGCATGTAAAAGCCCCACATCCGCGGGCTTTCGCGCAACTAATTCGTTTGAAATGATCGAGAGGTGCGACAATAGAGTTACAACACATTGTCAGAGTACAACACAATGCGCGACAGCACATAAGTATACGAGGATATTCCTGTGTACCTCCAACCCGGCGAGAATAAAACTCTGACACCTCCCGCTCCGCGAAACATTGCGTGGCACTCCAGCTTCAACTTCGAATCCGAATATCATCATAGTTCGCGATGTCTTCAGCACTGATCCGTACGACGATTCAAGGTTGCATACTTGCGGGAGTTAGCAACCTGACGGCTCAGTTGATATCTTCTTATAAGAGTGGCGTAAGCAATTCTGGTCAGAGAATCATGGGCGTTGCTAATACTTCACAGTTACCGTATACGATCGACTGGACCCCCATTCTCCAGTTCATGTTCTTCAACCTACTGAACACTCCGCCAAACTTCCTATGGTACGTGGATTTGCCCTTGTATCCAAGAGTGAAGTGTTTGTTAACACCCGCAGGCAACAATTCCTCGAATCCGCCTTCCCATCGACCTACACAACCCCCACCCCATCCGCGATAGCAGCGGCAGCCACAAACGACGATAAGGAACTCGACCGAGAAGAGAAGAAACACGAGATCCTCGAGACCAAGCTGTCGGTACCGAACACCCTCATCAAATTCATGCTCGACCAAACAATTGGCGCGGCAGTCAACACGCTGTTGTTTTCCGCCGCAATCGCGGGCTTCAAAGGCGCAACTTATCAACAAGCGGTGTGGACTGCGCGACAGGACTTCTGGGGCTTGATGAGTGCAGGCTGGAAGCTTTGGCCGGCGATCAGTGCGCTGAATTTTGCGGTTGTGAGGAGTGTGGAGATGAGGCAGTTGTTGGGGAGTTTGGCTGGGTTTGGGTGGAATATTTATTTGAGCTTGTCTACGGCATGAACCGTTTATACTGTATACCGGGAATACAAGGAGGGGATTTAGGTTGATAGATGGTGGGATGTTTCACGACCGGCTGGGTAGAATCTTGGGTTTAGAATTTCTGGTGGTCATAAGTTAGCAACTGGTTACACGATACTTTATAGAGGACTCACCTCTCAACTTGTTGAATATTTGTGATCTCGCCATTACTTATGTTTTAGGGGTTAGGCTGTGTGACAGGTCAAGGTTCGAATCCTAACACCCTTAATCATGCGAATGTTGACGGGGTTCTAGCACAGCAGTCTTTGACGCCAATCTGTGCAGCTGAAAAGCTTCGATAACAAACGACGTGATACTGTTACTAAACTTTAATTCTCAATCTAATGAAAGTCAATTGAATTTGATTGCTGTTTCTCTACAGAAATGCTCCTTCCAATTTTTGGCTGCGCGGAGAACTATGCTATGCACTGGTGGTACTCCAGTATATCTGAAAACACTCTTCTAGAAGGCACATCAGACTGCCTATCTCCACTTTGTTGTCGCCGACCCATAATTCAGCAACTTGAATTTTATAAAAAAGAACATTTCCAGATGATTTGGTGACTTGATAGGTGCTATTCAAATCATTGATCACCCTTTCGTCTGTAGAATGTTGAGTCGAAAAAATGGCCTTGATCGACACATCCAGATGATCCACTATCGAGAGGTACAGAAGTTGCTCTATTGTCCGCAAGGAGGCGTCGATAGATATGTTGAATGCTGCAGAAGAGCTTTGTACCATCCACTCGCCCGCTTTCTTTGACCCTAGATTGCTTTGTGGAATATGGAATCGAGGATCACCTCGATCTTGATATCTAACCTCAAGCAGTTGCCCAATGCTGAAGGATTCGCATTTCTCCCTATTTGTTGCTCGAAGAGCTGAAGCTGATGGTAATGAGGAGGGCTCATGTCGTTTGTTGCGGGAATTCCGCCCTTGTTTTCTTAAATACGTTTCAATTATATGTTACCTGGGTGGCTTCTGAGCTGGTGACTCGCTGCTACCAGCATAGGTTGACCTTTATGGTGATGTCACCGTGATGAGCGCCCAACAGGTGAGGGAGTATATGCCATAGGTACATCTCACTCGTATGTGCTAATTCTCATTTATTAATATCCTATTTCTATGTGAAATTAGGGCAAATATCAAGTCACAAGTGTGCGAGAATGAAACAATTTTGATTCACTCCGAATTTTCCTTTTCACTACTAAATTCACTCATAATTAAGTACTCAATTCGGTTACTTTCAGTGCTTGGGCTAACCTTGATGATCTACAATTCAGATTGAGAGCCCTCCTCTCCACACTCTTTCCAAGACAACAAAACACCACCCATCCATAACCAACGCAAGACAGATGACCTGTTAGGAAAACAAAGACGCACGAATTCATCTGCTCTTTTTTTTATACAGTACTTGACTTGGAGAATCGATCTTCTTCACAGCGCTATCAATATGGAACTGGCTCGATGCGAACTCGAAATGAACTCACTGGGAGATCTCACCACGGCAGATGCCACAACCAGTTTTGATGGTGAAGGCCACACAAATTCGGTCACAGAGTTCACCTTCTTTCCAAAATTACCAACCGAGTTTACGACTTAAAATATGGAATCTACCCCTACCTAGTCGATGATGGATACCAGTTCAATTAGACGTTGCGCGGCAGCGTAATTTGCCAATGGCGTTCAGCAAGTTAAAATACGATGTAGATATAATGCCAGCAATACCCAGAGTCTGCCAGGAAGCTCGAGGGGTATTTCAGAAAGAATACAAGCTTTATCCAGACCTTATCCGGAACGACTCATGGAGAGGGTCTGTCTATCTTAGCTCAGCCCGCGACGTGTCCTGCTTTTACGATTGTGATGAGTGGATGTTTGGACTGCCAGATCTATCTTTTCTCTCTCGGACGATCTACTTCCAGATACAATGTATTTTTTTACCCTGTTGTCACCCGAGATTGGTCATTCGCAATTGGCATATTGAGTTCCAAGTTTCTGTTGAGAGAGGGAGTTGAGACCATAACTTTCGGGGAAACTCCAACATATACCGCAAACCCAGTAAAGTTTACAGAACTGAAACATGGACCTTATGGACTTTTCGACAAGCAGTGCTGGGAAGAGTTGAACAAAGAAATACGACGACTCAAGATGAAATTTCCAAACAGAAAACTGCCAGAAATTAAGTTTGGGAGATTTACCCAAGGGTCAACCGATAACGGCTCTCAAACTACAGAATTGATTGAGGACGTCGCGAGCACGATCATGTACAACCGCAAAATCGCACGCCAGCTTCATCCCAGACTATGTCTTCTGAAATATTAATGCCACCAGTAGCACAACACTGTAAGACCGCCATCTACGCAAGTAGTTTGACTTGGAGCAATACTCCTAGACCGGGAACTCAACATACTGGCACTCATACATGTAGCACTCAAACTGCTTGAAGGCACTATCTAACAACTATTGTCAGAACACGATTGGGTCAGCATCTCTTGTATTGGGCTCTTGAGCAGAGATGACCTTCTGCAGTTCAAAATCTTTCAGCACCGCCATAACGAAGATAGCGGAGATGTTTCAGCACATGCGGCTCTGCACTATTAGGACATACTTGACAAATCTGTCCAAGCATAGATGTGAACGCCAGGTGCGAAACATCATGGTTACCTGCCTGTCGCCTTGAGTAACTGCTGGCTATAACAAGATATTTAAATCTCCTCTTTATGTCGTATCACAAAATGTATCCTAAATTCCCACGTCACAAATCATAGCAAGACTTTCTCACACAGCCAGGTTAACGACACGAGTTAGCACCTTGATATATTCAATCACTATCTAATTACTTCAATACCTAGACTTCTTCGCTGTGACTTTCCACCCCTAGGATTATTCGTGACACGTTGGTAATACCCGTGCATGGAGGAAAATGCATTTTTCAATTCTTTTGACCTTGAAAGGTGAAGAGATGCTGTGATTTATGATTCATCTTGTCATCCTTGTGTTGACTTCTTGGATTTAAAACGTTGTTCATATTTTAACTGAAATTTGATATCCAGTTCCACAACAGCGATATTTAGAGCCTCAGGTGAAAATTCTGGTTTGGGGTGTTGGAGGGTCTGTAACAGCTCTCTAATTCTTGGAATACTGATCCAGCATACTGCCTCACCAGTTGTGCCGTGAAGGTGAATATCTGCCAAAACTTTCAAATCACGTGGAAGAGCTGCACTGAGTTCGTTTGAGTTTTGTTACCTGTCGCGTCCTCGTTTGCTACTTTGCCATCCTCCAACACCTCTTTACGTCCCCCACATAAGAGCAAATCCGACATCGAGAAACACAATTGATGAGCCTTGTTCTATAATATTGACAGTATGTATATATCTATGAACATATGTAACAAAGTTTTACTAATCGATTTCAGCATTCCTTCACTCGCAATCCGGACCACACAATCTGGAAATGGCACCACTTCAGGTTCCAGCAGAAAGAAATGGGGACGAAGCATTGGACAAAGATGCTCCACATATGAAGTCGGTATCATTACAGATCAAACATTATGAAGCTGACATTTTTTCAAAGTGACGCAAATATAGTTAGCACAAATACGTTCACGCTGTTCCCGCAACTACCAACCGAGCTTCGACTTCAGATCTGGAAATTTGCTTTACCGGGCCCTCGATATGTGTTAACCAGTGAATATCTTCTGAGAGACAATTTTATCAGACAATTCAGAGTGTCTGAAGTATGTGTAATGCCCTGGATTTGCGCTGAATCTCGGCAGTTGTACTGTGGAGAATACAAACTGTTTCCTGGTCTAGGGGGAAAGCACCATTCATTTCCTGATAAAGATACTCTGTCAAATACACCATCGTTGGCAGGAGAAAATATTTATCTGAGTTTGGAGACTGATATCTTCTGCTTCTCTCCTACATTTGTTGTCAAATATGGGGTTCCCGGGTATGTCACGCCAAACTTTTCACCACGTACAGTCTACATCGATCTAGATATGATACGAGCCTTTGTAATTTTTGCTTCTGCTAAAACCTCGGAAACGTTATTGACGTCTTTCGCTCGAGAAGGGGTAAAGACTATTCTGGTTGGTAGGAAATGGACGACACCAAATTATGTCGGAGAATTCACAAATTTCTTAGAGTCGAACACTGAATGTACCATAGATTGGGAAATTATTTTTGAGTGGTAGGGGAGGGATGTGACTCTAGATTCAAGGGACTTCAGGTCGGATAATCCTGGACGAACTGTTCCTGAGATCAAGTATGGAAGATTTGTCATCGAGGCAACAGCAACATCCGACACCGTCCAAGGGTAAATTTCATTGTCATCTGGAGTTGGTGCCCATAAAGCCAGAAACCAAGGTCTTTGGTTGCATACATCATCGGAATATGCTGTCATGGAGGAATGAGGCAGGTGGATATGATAGGATGGCAGACAATTATTCAGTAGAATACTTTAATCCAGATTTTGGAAATAAATCGATCTCATATGTACCTCTTGGCTTTGGAGCACTTTGTGAGGAACGACTACTTCTCGGACGGTTTGATGTATGAGTAAGTCACATATTGAAATAATGACATATAAAATAAAAGCTTGCCCCTAATGATGACAGAATCATATTAAATCAAATCAATTATCATTTCCTGAATTTATCCTGTCCAAATGACAGAGTGTGTAGCTACAAACGACGACTTTGCAATGATAAACATATAGGTAAGATGCGTGGAAAAGAAACAAGAAACTTACTTTCGGCTTCAACTGTGCTTGATCTGAACGCAAGAACTCATTCAATTCCTCATTTCACTTATCACCTCATTCCAGTCTACTTAAATTCAGCTGGCAACACAGCTTTAGACTTGACTAAGCTGATGTATTCGAGAGAAAAAAAACGCGGGGCCTTCCTTCAGGAAACAATTGTAGTTAGATGTTCGTATAGTGGTGAGAAGGTTACAAAAGCCACTCTCGTACGCTTAGTAAATAACTCCTTTGAACGAAAGGTCAATTTTCCTTTCGTGTCACACAGTGATGAAATTGTCCGAATTTTCTCATTGAATTCCTCGTAATTCGAAGTCTGATCATAATTTTGGGTGTTCTTGAAGCTGGAAGCTATGTGACGATAGCATTGATGTCTCATGTTGTTTGGTGTCTATTCTGATTGGGTGTCTTGGGTTGGCAAACTTTAATCTTCCTCGTAGCTAGGTATCAGACCTCGTATGTCGTGGAATAAATTGATTTACTGATTGCACAGAAACGAATTAAATCGATTGCAAGACATGGGAAATGGAGGTACCGCTTTAGGTGAAACAAGGGTTTGTGAATTTAGTCCATGTCCACTATACGAGGTGAGTTTCGAGTGAAGATATTTTCTGAACATTTCAAGAGACGTTTCAATTCACCAGTGAAACCTATAACTTTTTTATCTCCGGGAAAGAAAACAAATAAAATATTTCTTCTCATAATAAACAGCATCTTTTTGTTTTCATCCACCAGTCGACAGATCCAGTTTCAAGGGCTCGTCTAATATGATCATTTCCTCTTCGTTCGTTGAAAGGTGAAGTTATTGAATCCTCTATTTGTGGATAGTGCTGAGGTATATCTGATTGCAGGATCCTATATATTATCTTGAAGAATGACAGATCCGCCACAATCTGGGGTAGATCGATCACAGTCTGGGTTGGGTTTCACGTTATTTCCCAAATTTCCAGCTGAGCTTCGCATACAAATTTGGAAATGGAGCTTCCCAATTTGCCAAACGGTAGCGGTCCATTTCCCGGACGGAAAAAGCATCCACAACAATCGCAGATATGAGGTGATGGTTGACCTGCAGCCAGCTTTACCGTTTGTCTGCCGCGAATCTCGAGCAGAGTTCCTCAAGGAATACAAAATAGTACATAGTATGATTCCGATATACAAAAATATCAAAACGAAAAAGCCGAGTTTTACATTTATCAACGACAAGGCAGATATTTCTCTTCTCTCTAAAGCTCGTGACTGGCGCTACGGAATGGAAGGCCCCGATTTTCATCCAAGGGTGGTTTGCGTCGCTTTGTCGGCTGTGCGGATACCTAAGTCGCGTCGTCCAGATAGTCACCTTTACTGGCGTAAGCGGTTAAGATCACAGCTCCTTCAACAGCGCAGTTTGGAGCGACTATGGATTTTCGATGACCTTCAGAAGAACCTAGGATCATTGAAATGGGTGGCAATGAAAAGTTATCAGTATGGCTCCGATTCGAGGATGCGTGAATTTCAAATGGTGAAGGACGAGATTCAGCAAATCAAATCTATGACTCCCAGGTTCAGTGTACGCGAAATCAAATTTGGTATCAGTCAAACCGAGGAAACAAATCTTCCACTGACCCCAGTGGTTGCAACGACAAGTATATCAGCTACGAACACTACTGTAACAACCACGACGGCAAGCACTGTAAGTATTTACCAAGCTGCTTGATAGAACCATAACTTAATCTACCTTAGACGACAAACAACCCCACCACAACGACCATCGCCCCAATAGCCCCAGTAGTGTGTCGAAAATCCAGAACCATTATCAGTCTGTCCACCTCAACATTCACAAAGGTGGTTTTGTTCGCTCTCGTTATGATTCATATCGTACTATTTGAGAACCGGTAAACCTCACTCATAATATTCTCCCTCCTTGAAACTATGAATGCTAAGAACAGACAACCACAGCCTACTAGATTATTGAGCTTAAATTCTGTACATTAGATTTTGATATCATTCTATCGACTTAAAAAAAACAAACCTCAAAACATATCATTGAGATCATAGTGTCAAAATCACTTCATGCGCAACGTGTCCAAATCCTGCAATGCTGTTAGTCCCTTCGTGTTCGTGTTAATTTGAGAAGTGTAGCGTAGAGCAAATTCGGTTCCACATTAATCACTAGTCTGATGTATATTGAGTTGGCTTTTTTGGGACACAAGTTGTAGTGTATACGCCCGCGATATGTTTAATATCAAAGGAATGTTGTACAACTTTGCGAAATGGGTAATGCTGATTTTTCAAAATAGCAATGTATTATCGAATCAATTCTAGGAGTTTCCGGGAAGACTTTTGCGATCGTTAGACATCTGACTCAATAGGAGCTTGAATTTCCCCTAACTTTGTCAGACCGTGGGTTTGGATGTCTCAATATGACAAATTGATAGAGAGGCTCAATGCGCTTTGATTATGAGGTGCCGATAAATTAGTACTTCACCGCAGTGTTGCAGGTCCGACAGAACACCCCCTTACATTAGAGGAACGTTATTCTAGCCAAAATGCTATATTTGCTCAATCAACTTAAATAAAGATACAAAATTGCCTCTTATAGAGAGCTTACTGGAAATTCGTTTTCTGGCATTAGTACACTAGAAGGGTGTCTTGTCAGTCTTGCAATGCACTGGTGCTTGAGGTAACTCAAAAATACCAAGGTCATAGAGTTGACGAGCTGATTGCTAGCTTCATGATACTTGCTCACTTGGCCTTTCCTGTAAATAACTTCTTACTGTCTCGAGTAAATCCGCGGATATAGCAACTCAATAGGCAATTTCCGAGCGTAGGAAGTGATCTTAGCTTGATGATCGAAGGAATATCGTAGAGAGTTTGCGTTGAAACAGACAAATATAATGTGAGAATACACTGTGCTCAAATATTTTTATGTCATAGAGCTCCATCTGAAATTCCTACGCGGTGCGCTGCCTGTTACTTCGGACGTGTAAGTGATAGCTATATCCGTGCCCTAATCTCCATTGCAGTATTGAAATACCACAATGTGGTGGCTCATTCCCTGGATACGTCATCTCGGAAATTGCATTTCTGTGCGCTTTGGCATGCAAAGATGACATTCTGTTCGCGAATCTGATTGACAGGCCAGTAAGCAAGCGCTCTTTACGGCAGCTGCGTAACCGAGAGATATCAGCAAGGTAGGTGGTCTCCACTTTTTGCTTTCTCATTATGAGTCGAGCGGCAAGCAGAAGCAGAGATCCAGATGAGAATATTGATGACGGCCTCTAGGTTGTATTGATGTCAATCGTCTTATGTTGTGTTGTCTTGAGAACAGAAATGTCTGCAGGTTACTGAGTTTATGAAATTTGATTGGTAAAAGATAGCTTCCTACAGCAAGTGAGTTTGCACTATGAGACGCAGTTTATCCAAAATCGGGATACTTAAATAACCAAAAGATGAGTCGCTTCAGTCAATCGTGTCGTATTTGTCGTAATTGAGATGTGTCGTTTCGCGTTCTGGAACGAAACTCATGAGTCTGTTCGTCTCGCTTACGCCCAACAGGAGGGTTCTGGGCTGTGTACGTCAACACACTGCCTGGGATTCGGTGTTCACTATTTGTTCGGTGTTGATGAGTCTTGACAGATGCTGCCTTGGCTAAGAATAATGGCTGGATAGGTTGTTGTTGACGCGCGGATTCTGATCAATATATGGTTGAGATAGGCCAAGCGAATAAGTCAGCAGGAAAGGGGACGCTCGGAGGCCGGAGCTTCGGAGCAATCTAAAGTCCCGACCCTAAACATCCCAAAAATGGTGGCTGACAAAATCACGGTCGATTTCATATATTTCCATCTTTCGCCTTCATTATGTCCCACTCGTGCGGTATTTTGATACTTCCTAAAGTCCTGTTGATTGGAAATATTGAGTTTGTGACATGAAACCGTCCTCCCATTGGATATCAATGGCATCGACCACTGTTAATAACAAACGGACATGAACGAATCCACATCACCGGAAGCTGTTGGCAAATCCGGCTCAACCAATCGCGCCTGTGAGAATTGCTCAAGGGCAAAGGCGAAATGCACACCTCAAGTTGACGGCAGTGACGGCAGATGTTCAAGGTAAGCGCAAGTATTACATGCGTTTTATACTTCAAGGTGTCACGTAATCAGCTGACTTTTGGAGATGTTTTCGCTTAAAAAAGGATTGTACCACTGCCCCTCGACGAGCACGGAAGAGGAGGTCTCCCAATCATACCACGTAAGTTCAATATGAGATTATCTGAAGAATTTGTGACCGTGAGGCTTCTAACGATAAATTAGAAATGTTGCCCAGTTGGAGGAAAAAATCGAGAGTCTTGTGTCTCTTCTCGGAGCTCACACGAACGTGTTGAAACCGGACCTTTTGCAGCCACTTACCAGAGAGACTTCAAGTCAATCTGAAAGGACTCCTCAAGATCATACACTGGACTCCCAATATGATCAATCTCCAGTAATACTTGGAGCGCGTCAATTGTATCGAGGAAATGATGCCTGGCTTTCACAGTCCATGCCGAATAGAAACCTATATCCAGCTTCTGCTACATCCGATTTGTCTGGACCATCCTCCCTGGCTCAATCTCATCCGCTTCAAATAGTTCCCGCACTGGCGCAACAAGTGCAGCAATCGATTCTTCCAGGCCCGGAGGCCGATGATATTCTCGACACATTCAGGGAACAGTTTGCTCCGCAATTTCCATTCATCATTGTACCTAACAATGTAAATTCAGAGAATCTCCACAGACAAAGACCTTGGGTATACCGAGCTGTTACGCTTATTGGAAATGAAACCGATCGTACCGCACAGCTTGAAGCGTCGAAACGAATATCCCTGGACGTCATGGAGGCTTTAACGGTACGGGGCGAGAAAAACCTCGATATGCTTCAAGGTTTATTACTTCATAATGCGTGGTGAGTTTGCTAGAATTTTCTATGTTCTTATAAGTGTTTCATACATCTAGCTTCAGAGACTCTTCAACATCAGGAAAATGAGTACTCAAAATTTACATCACTCAATATCATGTTTCTTAAGACATATTGCACAATGCAGGATTATGTGACATCCTCATCCGCTACTTTTCTTGGGCCTTGTCTGTCTGGAGCACTTCTCTATCTGCATCATCATCTATGCTCTCGAAGGTACAGAAACCATGCTGCTAAATGTTGTCTCAAGCGTGACAAAGTGGTGAGATATCGAGGTATCGAGGAATTTTGCTCGACCTGGTAATTTGTACATCAAGATCATATGCTCGTTAAACAGTCACAGCAACGTGAATGATGGCTAACAGACTTAGGATTTACTATTATTCCCCTGTTACTCCACAGTTCCAATCCACAGCAATCTTCCAAATCGCACAAGCTTTAGTATTCGATCTCGGACTCAATAAGCCGGTACGCGAAACTGAAATGACCGAGTTACTTCCAGAAGCTTACAAGCACCGCCCAGACACCAATCCCAGAGAATCGAAAAGAACGGTAGACGAGCGCCGGACATATCTTACCTGCTATTTTTCTACCTCTGTGTATGTTTCTTTCTCTGGCTTATTTCTGGATTACTGATGCTAATAGCACAGTTTCTCTCTCCATATACGAAAGTCAGAACTTATGCACCATACACCATATCTCGACTATTGCTGTAAAGTGCTCCAGGAAAACCCAGAATACCCATCAGATGCTGTTCTTTCAGCTTTGGTCAGGTTACAGTGCATTACAGAATCTTTTCAGCGAAACCTTGTACAAACCTACGAGGGCCCCATGGACGAGAATAGAGCTCCAGCTTGGATGTATGTAGAAGGGATGCGATCTGAGCTGCGACAGTTCTGGGCTAGTCTAGATCCAGATCTTCGGTCTAACAGTGCGTAAACACTTACTTCTTACACCTATTTACGCCATACTGACATTTCATGTTCTTCTAGACATGCTCCTCATGACTTTCCATAGCGCCGAAGCCTTTTTATCGGAACCTAGCGCTCAAATTGGCTTAATACCATCAAGAGTCGGTGGCGGTAATGCGCAGCGCTTAGACATGTTATACTCCTGTCTCATGGCGTCGCAAGCATTGTTGAACCACATCCTCACTCAACCTCTGTCGTCTTTCCGATACTTCTCCGTCATACAACTCGCCTTTACAGGTGTCGGTTTGTCAACACTTTTCAAATTATCCATGGCCGAAGAGCCGGGTTGGGATCTTGCCGACGTGCGGAAAACTGTCAATGTTACAGATTTCTTCCATCGTCTTATCGAGAAATTTGAACAGGCAGGTATGATAATCGACAGCAGTCAGGTTACGCCGTCTAGCAGACATTCTTTCCCTTCCGGCTGTGCAAAAGCTATGAGACGAGTATTGGCTGTCTATGAGACTAGACTTGCTGCGGTCCCTGGCACGCAGATCTCACTAGAGCCACAACTCACTACTGGAATGGAGGGCATAATGAGTGGCGACCAGTTCGACTGGATCGACGACGCTTACTGGCAAGAACTCCTGGGCGACATCAACTTTTTACCGCAGTCGGGGGGAATGTCCTGATCACTCTTCCCGAAACTTTATGAAGCATGCCTCGAATGACTCGAGGGAGAGAAGATGCACAGATCAAAGCGTATTATTGACGAAGGTCGAGTATAGTCGAGCCAGAAATGGGCTACGCTCTGGGACCCATTGTCGCTACTCGACAGCTGTACTTTTAGAATGCGCTCAAAGCACCCAAATCACCACTCATTTCACACAAATGATTACAGACAAGGAAAGTCTGGTCACGATGGACAACATCTCAATGGTAGAAAACAGCACTAAGATTTGTAGAGTATATGAATGGAGGAATATAGAGCAACAATGGCGTGAAAGAGCCAAGGACAAATCAAATTAGATTAAAAATAATCAACTTATGCCTCAACAAAGCACCGTCTCTCTGAACAACCATTTTTACAAAGAAAGAAGAAGGCTGAGGTGAAGCATTATGATCTGCGCAAGGGTTGACGTGGGATGAGATCCGAGGACTGATTGATTGGATGGACGTAACTTCGGACCGGAGCGAACCATCAACCCAACGCGTAACTGATCATCTCGGGTCTTTCAAACATTTTTCGAAAAGCCAAAATGGCACTCTTCTTCTGTTTTGTCCTATGATACCTCTTAAATCCCGGTCCGGAAATGGGGTCCTAGTTGAAATGGCTTGTGCCGCCGGCATAGGTGTTGAGAAGGCATACAAATGCTCGGACTAGGCCTATTCTCTCGGAGGTAGGTTGTCAAAGGGGTACATGACTTACATGAACCGGTCTTCGAAAGGTACTTATGAGAGTTGTAAGCCTGCCGAGTTGCAACTTGCTTCAATCTACACAGCACATTGTCCTGTCGTCACACTCTTTTTATTTATTTCTTTCAACTGGTCACTTTCTCTTCATCTCTCCGACGCGTTCATAGCATACAATAGGAATGATGACTGAGACCGAGCTTTCGACGTTGGACAGTCACGATGGCCAGACACAGGATACGAAGGGGAGACCTGAGAGCGCACAACCGATTATAACAAACCCCCAACCCGAATCAACATACCTCGAGGGAACAAAGTTGTATTTGATGTTACTTGGAGTTGGAGCGACTGTGTTCTTGATGATGCTAGATCAGACAATCGTTGTTACTGTATGTGGACTCGCTTTGCATGTCAATTATGTTGACGGATGTACCTTTCCTGTCGAGTGAGTGTGCTGATGTTTTCGTAGGCTATCCCTGCTATTACCAACGATTTTAATTCGATAGGAGACATTGGATGGTATGGAAGTGCGTACTTGTTGTGTGTGTAAGTATTTAATTCTCGTCACTGCACAAGAGTCTCCCCTAATAGTGATATTTAGTGCAGCACTGCAACCTCTAACTGGCAAGATCTACCAATACTACAACACAAAAGTCAGTCATCTCACTGTTACGTCTACACATCAACACTGACCAGCGCCTAGATTATCTTCATCTGCGGTGTCTTAATCTTCGAACTCGGCTCTCTGATCTCCGCACTCGCCGTTGACTCCGCAATGTTCATAGTAGGACGAGCCATCTCAGGTGCAGGCGGTGGAGGTCTTGTAACCGGATTTCTCAGCATCCTAGCAGCATCTGTTCCACTCGACAAACGCCCCTTTTATCTCGGACTCGTCATGGGACTTTCTTCTATAGGCATTGTACTAGGTCCTGTGCTTGGAGGAGTCTTCACTCAGCACATCACTTGGAGATTTTGTTTCTATTTCAACCTTCCATTCGGCGCTATCACCCTCCTGATCATTGCACTTCTGCGTATACCGAATGCAGCTGCCCACGCGGATCAAAAACCAACTCTCAAAGAAAGCTTCAGCAGACTCGATATCATCGGTTTTACAATCTTCGCACCAGGCGTGGTGATGTTGCTCTTCGGTCTTGACTGGGGAGGAATCAAATACGAATGGAAATCAGCCACCATAATCGGGTTATTCTGCGGTGCTGCAGGAACTTTAGCTATCTTCCTTGTGTGGGAAAAGTTCAAGGGTGCAAATGCTATGATCCCAATTGCGATGGTGAAGAAGCAGGTCGTTATTTGCTCTTCGCTTACAATGATTTTGTCTCAAGGTTCGCTTCTCGTCATCACATATTTTCTGCCACTTTGGTTCCAAGCTGCAAAAGGCGCTTCGCCGACTATGAGTGGTGTGTACTTTCTACCATCAGTGGGATCTCAGATAATTGGTTCGGTCGTAACAGGGAAACTCAGTAAGCCATCCGTACTGCTCTTCCTACCGATCATTAGCTAACAAAAGACCAGCATCGAAATTCGGCTTCTACACTCAATGGGCCATAGCCGGAACAGCCATGACATCTCTCGCATCCGGTCTTTTCACCATTCTCAAACCCAGTTCCGGACCCGGTCTCTGGGTGACCTTCCAGCTCATTTCTGGTTTCTCTCGCGGTCTGACGGTACAACAACCTATCACGGCCCTCCAAGCTTCACTACCAAAGTCCGATTACCCCGTCGGCAACGCCTTTCTCATGTTCTCGCAGATCCTCGGCGGTGCGATATTCCTTTCTCTGGGACAAACAATCTTCAACAGCCAGATCATCACGGCGTTGCTGAAGTACGCGCCGGAAGTTGATGTGCAAGCAGTACTTTCGGTTGGTGCGACGGATTTCAGAAGTGTAGTGAAGCCAGAGAGTGTTGCAGGTGTGATGTTAGCGTATAATAAAGCGATTACTACTGTTTTTGTGAGTTGTCTTCTTGCCCTCCTCAATGGTTCATAGCTAACAGGACCAGTATCTTGGTGCTGGAGCTGCCGCTGCAGGATTTTGCACAACTTGGGGTATGGGCTTTGGTAATCTTATTACGCTTCGCGAGGAGGAGAAGGCAGCAGCTGAAAAAGCCGCCGAGAAATCTCCAACTCCTGTCGTTGAAGCGGGGAAAAGAGTATGATACTCCACCATTTTTAGATTTGGACCTAGACGGCGACCATCACGTTGCAATCTATCGCCACAAAGAGATTTTCTGTCCTTCTAAAGACGTGTTGAATTTCACACTTGAATTTCAACTCCGCGTCAAGTTTCATACCATCAATAGGTTGCTTCATACTTTTGAAACTTCTCTCAATCTGCTCTTCCATCCTTTCCCACCATATTATGCACTTTATAGATTGAGATAAGCTGTTCCTGATTGGCTCAAAAAGACATGGGAACTGTGAACAGATAGCCTCGCTTTTAAATTCCGTACACCTTATACTGTCGTCTACAAAAACGCCATGTCCCTTTTTATTTTCAGCCCAGACCACCCGGTATTAATGTCAACTTTTGCGATTTTATCTCGCACCCTTAAGTTCCGCTTCGACCTCTTCTTGCACGATCTTTCTGACACCTTCCCATCCAGCATCTTTGGCTACATTGATGATCTTTCTTTCTTTTGACTCTAGCCCAACGAACTCTTTAGGTAAGATAGAGTCAAAACTATAACCTTGCTCTGATTTCAACGACATATCAACAGCATTCGCAAATTTGGCTGGGTGTGCTGTTGCAAGAGAGATATGATGTGTGTCTGCTGGAGAGTTTCGGCTAATCGAGCGTTTGGACGCTGCTACTCCAATAGCTGAATGGGGATCCAGGATATAGCTCCCTTTGGGTCCGGCAGTGTAGAACTCCTTGATCGTTTCAACTGTCTGTGAGTCGCTGACTCGCTCACTCTCAAAGTCTCTTTTCGCATACTTCAAAATATCCTCATTGACGCCAAAGCCCCCCTTCGACTTCAATTCTTTTAACCACGACTCGACTTCTTGGCCGGCTTGCTTCTTGTTCCACTCGTCATCCATTCCAGCGTCAGCAGCATATTCGTACGCTAAGAACCAGAGCAATCGTTCGAAATTACTGGAAACGAGAATATCCATGGCAGGAGATAATGTCTCCTTAACGCCGTCTTCATGCGCCTTCGCGCCATCAGCTGCAATTCCCCCTTGCGCTTCGACTCCATGGACTGCTTTCTTCTCATAGTGCCCTGTTTTCCAGAACCTGTCGAGGATGTCGTTTTCATTCGTCGCAATCACAAGTCTAGATGGGTCAGCCTAAAAATACTTGAAGCTGTATATGTCTACAACATTTATTGCAAGTTTAACTTACTTCTCAGCTGGCAAGCCCATGCGCTTTGCGAAATACCCGGCAAGAATATCACCGAAATTTCCTGTTGGCACCACGAAGCGTACCTTGTGGCCTTCTTTGTATGTTGTTGATTTCTTGAGTGAAAAGTATGAATGGAAATAGTAAGTGATTTGAGCGAGAATGCGAGCCCAATTGATGGAGTTCACAGCGCCTAGATTCAACTTCTCGTTGATTTCCGGGTCCGCAAAGAGAGCTTTTACAGTATCCTGACGCCAGGTTAGTATGGACCACAACCTTGTAGGGTTTGCAGAATGCAGCTCCTTACCTGACAGTCATCGAAGAACCCTTCCACAGCTAGACAATGAACGTTGGCGTCGAGAACAGTTGTCATCTGAGCCTCCTGGATTGGGCTAACACGTCCCTTTGGGAACAGAATGAAGACTGAGACATCTTTCTTGCCCCGCAGGCCATATATGGCTGCAGAGCCGGTGTCACCACTTGTGGCACCCACCACAGAGAGATGATGTCTGTCTGTGCCGGTCTTGCCCTTGTTTCGTCGTACCAAGAAATATTCAAATAGGTTTCCCAGTGTCTGCAACGCAACATCCTTAAAAGCAAAGGTTGGGCCGTGGAAAAGTTCGAGCAGGTACAGGTTATTCTTTTCGTCCAGAGTGACTAGAGGGGTCGTTTCTGGCGCACGAAATGTCGCATAACTCCTATCGATGATATCTTTGAGGTCTGAAGAAGGAATTTCGGAGGTCGAGATGTAGAGGGAGAGGATTTCGAATGCGAGTTCCGCGAAAGATAGGTTTTGCCATTTTGATTCCCAATGCTTGGGTAATTCTGGTATTTGTTCTGGGATGAAGAGCCCTCCTGCAAAATAATCAGTCAAAGTGTAGATATAGAATAAACAAAGCTAAGATGTACACACCGTCGGGCGCAAGGCCTTTCAGGACAACCTCCTCGAATGAAAGACCATAAGAACCACCTCTTGTGGAGAGGTATTTCTGTGAGGGAGAGGTCATTGTTGGGGTATGCGATGTCAATTGAACGCGCTTCAATTGGGTTTCTGGATCTGCAAAACACAGGTTGGCAGAGGAGGAATATTAAGAGCAGTTGGGAAACCATATCGGAGTCATAATGCACGGTTGGGGCGATAGGCACAAGGAACAGCCCCCACCTTGAAGTGCTAGAATTCTTATTGGCGAATTCAATGAGTTTTATTTACTTATACTAAGCAACCTGAAGTTTTATTTGAATCCTCAAGACCGTCAAAACACTATCATTTCCTTTTTTTCCCTATTTTCTTGCTTCCAGACGATTTCAGAATGCTGTCTCCCCCAGCACTCAACCCCGCCATTTTTTTCCAGCGATAGCGGAGGAAGGGGGTGCGCCGAGTATGCTCCGGTCAGTCTCCGATCTCGGCCTTCGGTTTTTTGAGCGGTCCTGCGCGGAGCTCACAAGCATCATGTTACACGTCGCGTGTCTCGGTGCACAAAAAATCTTCCTTCCTTGTCCATCCAGCGAATTTACCTGTCTACAGGTTGGATCCTTACCATTCATTATCTTAACACATGTTACAATACTAACATGATCAATGTCAATCAGGGTGCTTAGAAAGTTCAAACACCGTCGCCCTTTTCCTTATGCGTTTGGCTTTATTCGAAAACTAACCCTCATGCCCACACCTGATTTTAGTACTCGATCAGCGCAGTAGTAAGTCTGAAAAAATCATAGATGTACTTGGGTGAAGTGTAGTAAGTAACATTCCATCGGTCCCAGACGCTGTTAACTTGCTGACATGGCTCCAAGCACCAATTGACGATACACAACTCTGTAACTGGGTTTCCTTCTTTGATACCTTGACCTGCGCGTCCTGGCACCCGAGACCGAATGAAGGTCCGCATAAAAGCCAAGCGCATGGAGCCTCAGGGAGTTCCGTATAGGACAACAAGGATTGACATCACGATTACTAGATTGTTTGTTTGTTGTCTCGATCATTGCTCCGCGATGATGGTTACATGCATCATCGAAAAGAGTCACATGTTTCTTGCTCCGTTTAACATTTGCTAGTAAGTTCTAAAAGCGCCGTATGAAGCTTTTCTATATCAGTCGTTTTAATGATCCGGTCGGCACGCTTCACTTGTCGGTCAGAAAGATAGCGAATTCCTATTTAAAGTCACAAAGGCAGGATGCTTTGATTGCAAGCATATCATCAAATGACGCTCGAGCATCAATATATGAAGACGAACGCTGAATTTGATACCGATAGAGTGGACGCAGGTACAATCAAGACTTCGATCTCGATGCCAATGTCAAATTTTCAAGATCTTTTTGGCTGATATGTTTCGTTGGCTGCGAGGAGTACTTCAAATGCAACATCACCATCCTCACATGACAAACATAGAGGCTTGGGAGATGGAAATCTCCAACAGTTACACTATCACATGGCTTTACATCGGACTCTGTTGTAACCTTACTCGTAGTCGTCGAGCTGCACCTTTGCAGATGCTGAGAGTTCTCGCCAACCCACTTTGGAACTACTCGTGTCCGCATTCAGTAATCGCCAAGAAAATCCGGGGATTGCTGTTGAAATAATTTCCAGGTTTGCGGTAAGAGATAATGGATAAATCGAAGAGCCGGCGCTAGCATTCCCCGCAAACATTGTGTACACAGGCTAATAGTCCTCATCCATGTGACTAGCCTCAATCATTCGTATTACGGAGCAAAAACATCTTGCGAAAACGTATAAGCACCCCACACAACCTCACAGATCTACTTAAGCGGTCATAACCTTAAATTAACCGCCACTCGAATTCAGTTACTTGTTTGCTCGAGCATCTCGACTTCCATGTGGGGCCGTTCGCGAACGCTCTATATCAAGAAACTCAAATCTTCCTGGTTAGATTTATATGTCCCTTGAGACGACTCGCTGTTAGTGGATACTTTAAACGTTCTATTTCTATTGCTCTTTCAATGTTCGCCAGAGTAAGATGCTTTTCATTTGGATGATTTGCTTCATAGAATCATCATGTCCTGTGACATAAACCACAAAGTTGTGGCACCCGGCCCGCTGGCCATTCATATCAATTTTACATCCTTCACAAGTAATATAGGGATAAATAGCTTGCAGTTTGCATTAGAACGAACCAGTTGTATTTCTTCCGTTCTCCGAGCTCAATGACCTTGCCACACGGAGAAGACCAATTTGAAATAGATCCAAGGCGAGAAAGACAATTGCTGCCTCTCAAGCAATTAAAATCTCATGCCATGTGTGGAGAGCTTCTTTTTATATACTTGTACTTATCCTCCAACCTTGCCGGTCAGGAGTATATGATGATCCGTTCAAGGCGTATTTAATTTTCGAGGATCGCACATTGACTTTTTTCGCTGCACCAATTGGCTTGTCTTGCTGCACCGACCCCCTTGAAAGAGCTTTCCTCGTGTCAAGAAAACGTAAGTCTTGACTCACCATAAAAGCACTTAATGTACTCTGTCCCAGATAACCTTTTTCTTCACAAATGCGAAGCCTTCATTCCGGGTACTTGGGCTAATCACACAGACTCGGCAGTGGCAACTTTGTTTCAGTAATCTACGATCACTTCCCTCTGCGCGAAAAAGACTGCCGATACTCATTTTTGTCCAACTTCATATCAGATATCCAAGCAGCCAAGTCCAAGATGCGTTTGAACTTTGGAATAGCTTGTCTATTAGCGGCAATTGGTAAGTACCTCTTCCCTCACAAAAGTGTTGTGAGTCTAACAAAACATTCAGCACCAAGTCAGGTTCAAGCCGCTGATACAACTGTGTACCGTGACTCAACTACCGGCTTCATATTTGCACAGCGCTTGGCAGCGTACAAGCTTGGTGGTACCATCACATTCCGCATCGCAGTCCCAAGTAATGCCAGCTCGGGCTCATCCTACGATGCTGTTATCCAGGTTGTTGCTCCTAACGAAGTAGGATGGGCTGGCCTTGCATGGGGAGGAAGTATGGTCAACAACCCATTGACGTTGTCATGGCAAAACGGACAAAACGTAGTGCTATCGTCCCGTTACACAACGTATGTCCCCGCTCTTCTCACATTTGAAAACTGTCTTCTCACAATCTCTCAGATCTCGTAGCTCACCACCAACCTACACCAAAGCAACTTATACGACCCTGAAAGCAGGCACTAAAGTTAACTCAACACACTACCAATACACCGCGAAATGCACCGGGTGCACTTACTTCACGGGCGCCAGCAATGCTCAGAAGAGTCTCAACCCAGCTGGCGGAAATCAACTCGCCTTCGCTTTCGCCTTTGCGAAGCCTTCCTCTCCATCATCGAATACATCAGCCATTCCTGTTCATGATGTTCATAGTTATTGGGTTCATGACTTTGCTCAGGGCGCGAATGCTAATTTCGCTGAGTTGGTAACGAAGAATGCGTAGATGTTGAGTTGCATGAGAAGTAGAGTGGAGAAAAAGATTGTACATACTTAGTTTGTCAGTGGTAGGTAGTGATTATCGACATATAAATTGTACATATGCCAAATGATCTTTCCCGATATGTGTATTTGATCAATCTGCCTGAAGAGAGCGGCAATGGCGGTGGAGTGGAAATCTTCAAAAGTCCGTAGATTCGAAGATTCGCTATGTTAAAAATAGTTGATATGTTGAGGAAATGGCAAACTTACAATTTTGAGAGAATGGCCATCACAAATTAGATCAATACCTCATATGATTCTATGCACACAGATCAAATCTAGTTATTAGGCATAAAATATGGGACGTATGCTTTAAATTCAAGTGATAGACTAGCCAACTACAACGATTTGTAAGGAATCGACCATCATCAGGCCCAAAATACACGAGTCTAAACAAACACAAGCAATGCCAACACACAAAAACGATTGTTAAGAAAGACCCTGTAGCCCTCTCTCCCAGTTCCATCAGAGCCCCACCAAGATCGGCCGTTGTTGATCAAGATAATATGATTGTCTAGAATTTCCGCGAGATGGAAGAATTAAATCCCTTGGATAAGAGCAACGTCAGACGGGCTTGGTAAGGGATGATCATTAATATGCAACGGTGAAATTTTTAGACGGGTTTAGGCTTTGATGGCCATCTCGCCAGTTGGCATAGCCGCGAGCCCTATACGAGTTAGCGATGTAACGTGAGAAAAGTGGGACGAGACTTGTGACTTACAGCCATCAACAGGCTCGGGTGCTTGTTGGTTGATTGTGCAGGCATTGTATTGAGCGGCCTTTTGTGCGGTGATGCCGGCTTTTGGGCAATCGACGTTCAAGTTGCAGTTGTTGTCCATGGCCTTTTGGAGCGTGTCTGCCTTCCAGCCAAAGACGTAATCACCGTGTGCAGCAGATCCACTGAGTCAAAAAGATTAGCTACAAAACTCGAGAGCAGTTTTGCTTCGACGGAGTACTTACCCGAGGTTCATGCTGTAGACGAATGGGTTGGATCCATCCGTAGGCCAGGCACTCTTGTCCGCGAGGAATGATGAAACATCCCACATAACCTCGTACATGATCTGAGGAAGCTTGACTGGGAATTTGGATGGGCAAGTTCCGCCACCGTTGGCTCCTGAACCTGAACCATAAGCAACGTGAGACTTGTGATCTGGACTGTCGAGATTGACTCCATCCCAGCATCTAATTTGATGAGTTAGCTGCAAATCGAGAAAAGCACTCGGGCTGAACGTACGTTGGGAAGATGATGGTCTGTCTGATCATTTGGCAGTTGTTGGCAAATGGAATGCCAACAGTGTCACTGCCGGAACATGGAGCACCACCGACGAATGGGGTATCGGTCTTAGATGTCCAGCAACGATGGCAAATGTTAGCCTTGGTGACCTTCGAGTCAACAGTGTTGTCGGCGGCACCAGCAAGCATACGGAAACCCTGGAAAAGATCAATTTGTGCAAGTCGTAATTTAGCTGGGATGAATTACCTTCTTGAATGCTGTCACCTTTCCGTTAGGAATGTAGTAAACATCAAGACCACCCTTGTTCTCGAGTTTCCCTTGTGGTCCACCATTTCCAACTTGTGGAACACGCTTGTAGGTTCCGTTCCTCGCCTTGAAGAACATAACAGCCGTCCAGTAATTTGAGAAGTCCTCCTTGAAACTGCACGAGGTACATGATGACTTTGAAACAAGATCATGGGAGTTGATGTCCATTGAAACATTGAATGAGTTTCCTCCGACAATTTGGTGTAGATGGGGAGTGTATTTGATGCCGGGATTGACGAGAGGGTCGACACGGTCTACAACAAGTTGAGAGCATGCAAATCGCAGCATGTTCTGAGCGGCAGCTCCATGGGCGAGGAGTGCCACTGCGGCGAGTGAGGTCCACTGCATCTTGGGAGATTTTTGGTGATTGACTTTGAACTTTTCTTTGACACTGGCGATGGTTGAAAGTACAATGAGAGAGGAGATGCAGGATATTCAACTAGATATGTGTCGTACCATCCTTATATTTCCTGCAATATTCAGGCTGTCCGTTCGCCCGTATGGTAACTGCCGAAAGCGAAGATCCTGTTTCTCTTGTTAATTCTTCTATCATTTGGATGTAATAAGTTGATTGGGTGTGAGTGGTTCATGACACTTTCCAATTTAACCACGGCGGCAGTACTTTAACGTTGCACAAGCAGAAATTGGCACATGGTAGACACTGAATTGTAAGTGAGTCTCCATAAATGATTGGGTTCTATTTTGATAACATACCGAAGATCACTTTTGGTTCGTGGACGCTGGGCCGAAGGAAAATATCTGATGCCTCACGTGAGAGTTCAAGGATAGAATGGGGATTGCCAACAAAGTAGACAGATCGGTTGTGGGGTGCATTATGCCTGCACTCCACAATGAACTTGATTAATTATACGTTGTGAGGGCTGGTCCACGTAACAGAACGCTTGAGCCCTCAGTGATGATTGGTGGTAGTCAACAAGACACAGCCTTCGGGTTGTGACCAAGCCATATGAAATATTGAGGCGCTATAGTAACCCAACAATGTCCCATTGTTATCAAGATCTCAAAGTCGTTGGAGAGCACGGGTACTGAACGATGCCACTCGTGGATGGGTCTATTAGGCACTTGGGTCCCGGTTGCGCAGTTAATGATACAAATCCGTATGTTCGGAATTTTGCACGGAAGCTAGCGACCGAGATTGGCCATATGAGTAAATGTGACTGAAAGAAATTTAAATCCACGCCGTGGGCAAAGCCTCGTCCCGGAAGATACCTCGTTCTAGAACCCACGGAGTTGGGATTCTTGGTGACCGCCGTCGTATTGTACTATACCCTGAACTTATGTACGCTAGCGTCATGAAGATGCACAGTTCAAGTCTGTTGGTATGGTATTTCGTGGCTAATATGGTTGTAGCCTGTCGTCATTCGCCTTCTAGATATCTTTCATCCGAGTTTGAACGGCTTTCGACGAATGTCAGCTTAACCCCACACTGTGTATACATGCGGAAAGAGATAACCTTAGCGTCAGCGTAAGGGACGCAAAATATAGTATGTGTTCGCAGGATTTCATGGTCTTACGGACCGAAAAGTACTTTATCTAATCAGAGACATTGGAGTTAATGATTATCTTGAGAAGAAAAAGTATGGGGGATTGTAGAACAGGCTGTTCTCAAACTTGGGACGGATGGGTCTTGAGCCCCTTCTAATAATAGGGCCATGAAAACAATCTAAACAATTAATTATCTGAACATGTAGACTGCTACATTATGCTGGGTTGACATGGAAGAGGATCGGGACTTGACGTGGACAAACAGAACAATCCGTGGAAAGAGGCGAGCCATGGCAGTTCGACTAGATGTAAGTGTTGGGGCCCTCCCATCAGGTGCCAACTCATACAGAAGCCTCGGAGCTTCCATCAAGGTTACTGTCAGAGCCAACGGAACAAACCTCGATTCCAGACAACCACGGCACGGAAGCATTTATCAAAACAAGCTTACAGGCACAACACGAAGACAACGAAGCTTAGAAGCCCATGACAACAGAAATCAAATGGAAAAGGAATGAATGTAACTCAATTCAAACGAAACTGACATCCAGCATAAGGTGGCTGGCTCAAAGCTCACGGAAATTGAGGTTTCCGCACATCACATCGGGTCGAAGAAGGATCTGCAGTCAATGGTGAGCGAAGCCACGTAATTTATTGAAAGCCAGAGAGACATCTTAAGATTACCATGCGGAAGAGAAGACATAGCTAGACTTCCAAAGTCAACCATAAAGAGGTTTACGTCCAACCTTCAAGAGCACCACACAATGACACAAAGCGGACAAACATGCCATCCTTATCGTAACTGATTAATTCTCTGCATAAATAGGTTCACCTCAAAGTTACGCAACAGTAATTGTATGCGCCAAGTAAGAGCAAAATTGCTTCGCTTTTCCCGTTAGACACAGATGCCTACAAGAACGCAAGCCGATTCACTTCCAAGGTTCTTCACCAACACTTCGCTTATCCTCTGCCATGAGGGCGAAGAAGCAGCTCTCAGACATGTCACCTGTCTGCGCATCACTCTCAGCCCCTCCTGCCACAGCGCAGTTCGTGATCTCACAGCAGTCGCACAGTAGTTGCATGTTGCTGTTGATTATATTCTGTAACAGACTCATGCTACGCAGAGATGGGCGTGCTGCTTAAACGCGAAAATTCCTGCGGCCCGTAAAAGCAATTTCAAGCCACAATGGAGTAAATGGTTGTTGGCAGAGTTAGTCTGCTACAAGAAGCTGTTGACTCACTTCGCAGCTGGTGCAGTTGGTGCTGATATTGGTGCTTGAGGAGAATTCATGCCTCCTCCACGGGGTGTTCCCCCGCCACGACCACCCCTTCGTCCAATTGTCCCGCCCCTTCCTCCACGACCACCGCGAGTAGGTGGATGGGGAACTTGCTGAGTTTGTGGCTGATTATGCACAACTTTCTTCTCAGGAGGCAGAGAAGTACCTTTCCTTTGCATGACTTGTACAGTACCCTGGGCAACCGCAATAGGATTTGCCGCCATAGCTTTGCGCAAACTAGATGATTCAATGAAGTCAACATAAGCAAAACCCTTTCTCTTGTCAATCTCAACCATGGAAACAGCGCCAAACTTCTCCATTGCCTCCTTCAACAATGGTTCAGTAACGCCCTGAGATGGATTAGCGTGCTTGATAAACGCTTGGGTGGCACCGTCGGAAGGACCCGTGCTAGATTGTCCTCTTCTGGGAGAATTCTGAGCTGGTGCCGACTTTACTGATTGAATAGTAGGTACAGAGGAGGTGGGTGCTGGTTCGGGCTTCTTCAACAAAGTAATAGGCGAAGAGACAGGAGTAGAAGGCGTAGGGGTAGACGAGGGCGCTTTGCCATCATCGGTTGTTATGGGTGGCTTCACACGTGATCTTCTGTTTGACTGCTGCGTTACAATGGCCTTTGGCGCGGTTGGTACAATGGGTGATTGAGCAGGAGATGGTGCTTCTTTCGTCTCGACAGCTGGTTTGGCTGTAGCCGCAGCTCTCTCTGCTTTCTGGGCATCAGCAGTATCCCGTCTAACTTGACGGTGAGCTTGAGCCGGACTAAGTCCAAGGTCACGTTGCAACATTCGAATATGGGCAGCAACAACAGATCCTCGTTGACGGCCTGGAACTCTGCCAAGGTCAAGCTTGGGGTGAGTTGGAGTAGTGGAGGATGAGCCTTCGGCTTTCTTTGGTGGCTCTGCCCCCTTAGCTGAGGCTTCCCGATTCAGTATCTTCACTGCTTCTTTCGCTGCCCGTTCTACTGCTCTATCACCCTTGACCTCCTTTCCTTTCCTTTTGGCATCCTCGCTGGAAGCAGTCGCGTCCTTACTAGCTTTCCCCTTCGCCAACAAGGCTTCCTGTTTCTTGGCCGCTTTCACGGCCGCCTCCTTGTGCTTGTTCGCTTTCTTGTCTTTCAAGTATTGCACCAGCGGTGTTGTAGTAACTTTCTCTGGTTTGCCAGACACTCCCTCAGCCGCAGGATCGGCCCCGGTATCCTTCGTGGTAGTTGGATTGGCCAGTCCCTCCAGGAAAGACATGAACTCTGAATCCTGGTCAATGGTACCGGCGCGGGCATCTACACGACGCCGGCCTCCAGGAACTCGATTATACGGAGCAAATTCGACACTCGGTGGGCCGATAAGGCAAGGGTTATTAAAAGTATTTTGTGCATCCTCAAAGACGGATTGTCGAACGAGTTCCGACAATGTCATGAGATAGTTCTCATTCGTGAGATGGAAGTACGCGCGCGAGGGTCGCGAGGGTTTGGAGGGGCTACATAGAGTTAGTTATATAGCATAATGATACGTATGAAACCAGTTACTCTTTCGAGTCCTTCCCAGGCTTGTAGACGTAATAATCAACCTTCCCTTGCCCTAATTTCCAGTCGTTTCCGAGCACGGAAATAAACTCAGCCTCAGTCAGTCCTGGGGGCAGTCTACGGACAATAACCTTCAATTTAGGAGCAGGAGGCTTGGGGCCATTTGCTTTTGAGGAATTGCCAGCCGTCTGTGATCCCGCAACAGGGAGGACTCCATTTGCCTGTGGCCGACTGCTGTTTGCCGCCGAAGATGCGGCCATGGCAGATTGCGACTAGGTCAGAGGGAGCAAGCTGTCATCCGATGCGTACGACCTCCAGTTCATTGAGTAAGTTGGAGGTGGGTTGGTGAGTGAGTATCGAGGAATTAATCTAGGTCGCAGTTGACCTCGATCTTTGATTTCGAGTTAGTTTTCGTGACCAGTCGTCCCTCTGCCGTCCATTCAGAAGTGTCTCATGGGTCCGAGCGTCTTGCCGATAAGGATAAGACTTCGTCACCCCAAACAGGAAAGGCTGCGCGACCTTGTGGCGCTAAACTTGTTGCATACCTAGGTAGGACTGTCAATACAGTACTGAGAAGCATCTAACGCCCAGAACGACAGCAACATCCTCACTTCTTTTCGCATTCGAATACAGTAGCAGTAGCGCACTGAAAGCTTTTCAAAATGTTGAACCCCACAGTACCGAAGCCTGGTCCAGCGAAGTTGACGAAGAACGCGGGTCTGGAGGAATGGCTTGAAGAGGCCAAACAGTGCCATTACCTTCCTGAAAGTGTAATGAAGCAATTGTGCGAGATAGTCAAGGAGTGTCTTATGGAAGGTACATCAGCACTGATGCGGAACGCACCTTCTTGCGTCCGTCGCTAATTAGTTTCAGAGTCCAATATCCAGCCTGTCACAACACCCGTCACGATCTGCGGAGACATTCATGGTCAATTTTACGATTTATTAGAGCTTTTTCGCATCGCGGGCGGAATGCCTGGCGAAGAGAGTGTACAAGCCCCGATCACGCAAACCCTCACATCTGACGATATCGAGCCGCCAACTGAGATTACCAATCCTAAGCTAAAAAAGAAGATTCGCAGTCATGATAGCGGGATAGAAAGCGCCAGTGGAGAGGATGATGATGATGATGAGCCAAGAGGGAGACCGAGGACAGCGGGACAATCAAGTCGTGGCGGAAGTTCTGATTCAGCCATTGGTGGAGTAAATGAGGTATCAGGAAGCGGAAACCAAAACTTCATATTCCTAGGAGATTTCGTCGATCGAGGATACTTTAGCTTGGAAACCTTCACTTTACTCATGTGCCTGAAGGCCATGTACCCGGATAAGATCACTCTTGTACGGGGGAATCATGAATCACGTCAAATCACCCAGGTGTATGGCTTTTATGAAGAATGCCAGCAGAAATACGGAAATGCTTCCGTGTGGAAGTCGTGCTGCCAAGTGTTCGACTTCCTTGTCCTCGCGGCGATAGTAGATGGCGAAGTGCTCTGTGTTCATGGTGGCCTAAGTCCGGAAATTCGAACTGTCGATCAAATCCGTGTCGTGGCTCGTGCCCAAGAGATTCCTCACGAAGGTGCTTTCTGCGATCTGGTTTGGAGTGATCCGGAGGACGTTGAGACCTGGGCTGTATCGCCTCGTGGTGCCGGGTGGTTATTTGGAGACAAGGTGGCGACGGAGTTCAACCATGTCAACGGTTTGAAGCTGATAGCACGTGCTCATCAACTTGTAAATGAGGGATACAAGGTATGCTTTAGATATATTACCAAATTTTGTGTCTTACTAACGCTTTACAGTATCACTTCTCCCAGAAATCTGTTGTAACGGTCTGGTCAGCACCCAACTACTGTTACCGCTGCGGAAACGTAGCATCTATCATGAACGTGGGCGAGGATCTAAAACCCAAATTCAGCATCTTCAATGCGGTGCCTGAGGAGCAGCGTGCCGTTCCTGCAGGTAGACGCGGCGCAGGAGAATACTTTCTGTAGATGACACTTATATTTCTGGATAATTAGGGGGAAATGGAGTTTGGTCCGTGCAGGATGCATTGGTGGATGGCGTTTCTATGAGTAAATGAGTGCCCTGTATATTAAGAGTGGATTTCGCTGAAATAGCTGGAGAGAAGATGTATCATATGTTTATAACACGGCCCTCGAGCTGTTGAATGATTAATGGGATTCGAAGTACATTGCATTTCTTGCAAGAAAAGGGGAGTGAACTAAGTCGAAGACTCGAATTTCAAATGTTGTTTTATGGCACCTTAAGGGAACGTCTTGAAGCACGAATAAATTCATCTAATACTACTGATTACTAGAAGCAACGGCAAAACCTGACGATAAGTAAAGGTAAGTGATACAGTAAGGTCTATAAAAACAATCGTAAATCCCCTCCCAGTGGTATCAATGTTAGGCTTTTGCTAACCTAAACCAGCCTCACAAACATTAATCTTTTCACAACAAACACACGCTCAACTCGAATCTCAGAAACCCAACCCTAGATTCACAAACATCATAACAACAATCCCAATCAAAACACCAAAACCCAACGCCTCCCTCTGACCCCACACCCTCCTCAAAAACGCCATCCCATCCTCCAACAACATAACCTGTCCACTATCCCTCCTCGCACTCCTCAACCCCGGCAGCTTATCCAAACTCCTCAAGTTATTCTTCAACTGATACGCCCCCATCTCATTCGCCGCACACTTCTTCTCCGCAAAATGCCCCAGCGTCTTGCGATCCTCAAACGCCTCCTCGGGACTCGCATCCCCGCTCAACTCCAGCGGTAGACTGATCTTCGGAACTCCATATCCACAACTCGTTTGCACCTTGAAGATATCAAACACCAGTACCGCTCTGGCGCCGTCGACATGTGCCTTTCCCATCTTAGCGAGAAGGTGTTGGAATTCCGGCGCGTCCCATTCGACGACGCGGCCGGTGCAGAAGAAGCGCATGATTCGGGGGGAGATGCCGAAGGAACAGAACATTATGGTTGCGCGTCTGTTTTCGTAGAGGTGTGCGATGGTTTCAGCGCCAGAGCCCGTGGCATCGATGTATCCGCAGGATGTCGGGCTGAATATTGTGAATGTGGTTGAGGGGAGGCCTTTAGGGGAGAGGTTTATGTGCGCTCCTGAGGTTGGGGCCGAGGAGATGAAGAAGAGTGGTTGGGCGAGGGCCCATTGTTGGAGGTCTGGGGAGATGGAATCGTAGAATTTGGGCATGGTGAGGGTTGGTGTAGGTGAGCTGCCCAAGTGGTGTTGAAAACTTTATAGTTCTTGTGGTATTTAGCTGATAGAACTTGTTGTTTTGCTTCAGAAGATCCGATATTTTCAAGCAACCTCTTTTTTGGTGTTATTCTTCAATTGAAGAAGTAATGCAACGCCGATTGAAGTCAGTCTTATGGTTGTAGCTGACTGAAGTTGAATTCGGAAGGTGGGGTGGAGCTCTGCTCTATTCAACCAGACAACAGCCCAGACTTGTTTCCAATGACAAATTGAATCAAGCTTTTCCGACAACGTCCAAGACTTTCATCTTATACAACAAACGTGATATTGTACTCCATAAACGAAACATGACTCCCATCCCAAAGAGGAAATCATGAGTCAATAGTGGATGGCGGGGTAAGATTATCTGGAGCCTCCTCTCCAACAACCATCCATGTCTCCGATCTCGCAGATCACACAATTTCGTGGCTTCAGTATGTACACCACCATCAATCTTTGTACAAAAACATCTCAAAACACAATTGAGATGTCATCTTCTCCATTACATCACACAGGATAAGGATGATATTTCCCATCGTTAGGATATAACCTCTCCTGCTGGCTATTGCGCTTCGGATTCGGTCGATGCGCGACCGTGGTGTACACTGGGGATTGTGGAACGGGTGTATATGCCATACTCGACGGTGTGTATGATACCGTTGATGGAGTTATTGAAGCTGAGTAACTCACTTGCGGAGGTTGTTTGGCGAAAGCTCCTGGACGTTCGTTGAGTGGTGTGAAAGGGTTGGTGTTGTTTGGTGGGGGCTGAGGTGCAAGAGGCGGTGCTCCTCCGCTGCTGCTGAAACGTCGTGAGGTTGGTCTTGGGTTTGTGAGAGGAGGACGTTCGTTTGTTCGCGGTGCAGAGGAGTTGGCGATGGTGTTTGCATCTGCGTTTGAAGGACTCGAGCGTCTTGACTTGAGTCTGTCGTTGAGTTTTTCTTCTTGTTTCAACTCATTTTTCAAATAAGTCTTGTCGTCCTCTAACTTGTTTCGTTCTTTTTTGAGAGCTCTGTTTTCCCTGTTACTTTCGGCGAGGAGGTCTTCGAGTTGAGCTTTCTCTGCTCTGAGCATCCGTATTTCTTCGTTGGCAGCATCGAGAGCTTCGTTGAGAGCACTAGGATTGTGTCTCTGGGTATAGATTTCCTGAGAATTGAAAGGTGATTCGTTAGGTGATGTACCAAGAGACGCACGATCCGAAGCACTGGAAGACCCGACACCAGAGTCCCGAGAGTCTCTATGTTTGTGTCCAGAAGAAGACTTTCCTCCTTTCGCACTGGATGAGTAGTGTACCTTCTTTGGTTTCGATGAAGACATCGTGAAGTAATTCACACGTGAGGTGACTTGCGTTTTGTGGGTAGAGTATCTAGTCGGTCTGGATGAAAATAGCGTTTGCGTACCGCAGCTAAGACTGGAATGTACCAATGACCAAGAAGTGTCGATCAGGTAGAGCTGTATACAACCAACGAACAGCCAAATCCAAGGATCAGGCTTCGAAATCCGATGTTAACTGGTTATAGTAACGTCACAAGGCTGTTGAATAAAAGTATGATAGTTCGGTGTGGAGGCCGCATATGTATATAAACACAATCGAGTTCCAGCATGCGATATAAGAAAGAAACCAAACCTGCAAAACATCGAACAGCCCCCCTAATTTAGGGCTAGTTATCCCAGCATTCAGTCTAGAAAAATACCTACACCAACCTACCTACCCTCAAAACAACAAGGCAACCCCTATGCTGCCTACCTCACCCTCAATTCCCCCTCCAAACCTCCCACCACACCGAACCCCAAAAGCAGACCCCAACTATGACTCCCTCCTCCCCCGTTCCGTCCCGCTATCCTTACAGCGAATCCCCTCGCCCTTATTGGTCTGGCGCGCAAAAAGGGTGTGTGGCCGCCCCCCTGTCCAGACTGCACTGCCTATTTAAGCGAGAGAAAGACCTGCGGTCTGCCTACGAGGGCTGTTTTTCGAATGAGGGCAGAGGGCAGAGCCGCTATTTCACCTACTTCCTGTTTGGGAGGGTGTGTTTCACGATGGGTTCGTGAGCGTGAGATGGGGTTTGTAAGGCTACGTATATTGTGTAAGTGAGAGTGAGAATTCCCTAACATAACTCACCTATGAGGAGGATTTGATAAGAGAGATCCTTTTCGCGTTTCGCGTCGGAATTTACGTTTGCTTCTCACTTCGAATTTCCTTGTTTCTTTTTCGGGGTTGTTTAGTGTTTGCCTTCTTTTTCACGTACAATTGTTTAGGTAGCTGGTATGTCGGTGGTCATTTCAGTCACCGGTCCAGTCTGGTTTCAAGCACGAGATGTTATCTCTCATATTTCGAAAATCTTTGAATTCTTCTCTTAAGTCCGCACACTTTAGTTAAGAGTTGTTTTGTTATTCTGTTAACGATTGATTGAAGCGCATTTTTGCGGTGTGTAGGGTGTGATTCGTGTGACGGTGAGATTTAAGTTCCCGGGCGAAAAGGAAAAAGGGATATGCATCATCGGTGCTTCGGACGATGTGAGAATTCAAGGAATCCGGTGAGAATCACATGTAGACTTGCAATGACAAAAAGCAAACAAGTGACACGTGTGGAGCTCTTCTCTCGAGTCTGTCATGATTTGAGACGATGTGACGTGTAGAGCAAACATGAAAATTTGAAATTCCTGCCCCAGGACAACGGGCGTCATGTTTGTGCAACTTAAGGCGACATGTAAGATGCGCAATCTATTTAAGCTTAATTAACAATCCAAAAACTCTCCCTCCCGCGCCGACGCCGTCTATTCTGATGCTCTGCTTACACACCGCACATTTCTATAACCAATCAACAATTTAGCCGCCTTAGCTCTTGCCAGTGCATGAGCTCCTTCTGCATGTTTGCTTCATTCGAACCGAGTCTTGTCTATGCCCGAGAAGATCATGAGGAATCTCCAAGGGGCCCCTGTGAGAATCTGGTTCGAGAATACTCGACGTATCATCCGAACCGGAATTCGAGTGTGGCAGCCCGAACATCTAGAGGGATACGTTAGTGTTGCGACTACAGAAACGTAGAGGAGATTGCGTACTTAGTGCTTCACACGACTGTGTGCCTATGACGAAATGTAGATTTCCATTTCCAGAATAATTGTTGCGTCAAAATCCAAAGGAAACCCTCTGACCGATAGCCGGGATAGCAATCATTTGTTCGCAATATCTTAATCTTACAACATCGAACTCGGGCCTAGTGAACCTCAAGTGTCGACGCGAAAACCATGTGATCGTAGATACTCTTGGTAGTAACTTATATCTCTGTTCTTGATCTTTATGGTCTGGTTTTTTTCTTCAATTCGTTGTTGGTCCAAATGATGCAATTCGTCTTTCTCTTGACCACGCATCCTAAGAAGCTCAACCTCCTGTAACTTCTCTTCGTAGAGAACGCGATAGAACTCATTGTCGTGGTCTTGTTGAGATACCCCTCTCTTCATCAATCGATATTTCTCGCTGAGATCCTCATAATCTTGTTTCATACGCTCATATTTCTCCCTATATTTCTCTGTTTTCTTCTCTTCCTGGTATAATCGCTCATCGAGTCGCGAACATTCGTCTTTGGCAACCTGATATTGCTGTCGCAAGTGATGTGCTTGCGACTGGTCTTGACTTAGTTGTTGAAGTCGTTGTTCGAGGATGTGGACGTTTCGTTGCTCGAAAGACAATCGGGTTTGTAGCGAGTCCACCTCCAACTCCAAAGCTTGAGCCCTTGCTTCATCCATATCACGATGAGATGACCTATCCTCGTAGGATGTGGATCGACGCCTAACAAATCGTTCTCGACCGTGGCGATCGCGTTCGACGAAGAAGGAGCCTCGTCTTCCTGACATGGAATTGCCCGTAGTGTTCAATAAGTCGCGGTTGAAGATGCGACCAGTAAGATTAGATAGTCTTGGTTGTACGGATCCGAATGAGACTTCGCAAGTTATAGCGAGTCTCAGGCTTAACTAAGGTTATATGGTTGGTGGTCGAGTACCGTGGAGCTTAACCCTGTGATGCAAGTAATTGTGATGTGCAGGAACAAACAGGCCATAGGTCAGGCTTGCAGAATGGCGGTCATATATATGGAAAGTTGCCTAGTTATTAGAGACCTACCTTTGAGACTGTAGAGAGCCTTGCGACCGCCATATGACTTCAGATGGCAGCCACCCATTGTTTGTAACTCAGCAAAATCTCGGTCAACCTCAAACGAGGTAAGGCTGTGCCGGTGACCTTCGCAATACAGAGAGAAGGAGAAGAGAAACCTCTCCCTTGGGGTCCGAAGAAGAGATCAGAACTTGCATTCAGTGGCATCTGTCTGCATTGAATTATTAATTTCGAAGAAAGATGCGACGGAAAGGTTTGTTGCAGCGAGTGTTGATACGAGCATGCGATTGTGCGTCAAGTTACATTGACCGTGCCCATGCAATACATCAAGACGCGCTAAAGTGGGTCTGAGAAGACACATTATTGGGTCGGCTGCGCTTAATCATCGCGTTTAGAGGTCAATTTGGGAGGTCACTTCAGCTGGACAAGGAACAATTCGCGTTGGAGTGTATCATTTTCACCCTTTACAGTTCAACGCCTTGTTGCACCGAAGATCTTTCGTCATTCCTAATGTTCGATAAGAGGATAGTATGAGCAAGACTTGCCGCGACAGAGGGGTTGTGTGACCGTTTAGGCGGCAAGCACAGCCCCTTCCAATGCTTGAAACAGTGTCTATTGGCATGAACAGCCGGCTCATTGACGCTGTCCAATGACTTTGATGTGAGCGATCGATGTTACAATTGCCACACGTGGCTGAATTTTGACGTGGCTCATCAAGTCAAGCACATGGATAATTTCCTGTGGCTCAAACCGTCGATGATCCATATTCTGTACAGAGTAGGGATTCTCTTCACAGAAGATCACCTACCATCACCGTAGCTGGCTTAGTGGTATGATATCAATCGTTGTGACAACAATGAGTCTCTCATACGCTCGCTTGAGATCTGGCTGTCTCGGACTCGACTGAGAGTGTGGGTACAGCGATTTCAAAGCTTGACATTTCTGTAAGGCTGGGTCACCAACGTTGCCTCTGGCTTTTGGACGCGCGTTTCTGCTTGTCAAAAAAGCTCCTGTGTTCAGCCGCATATTTTCTTGGTTGGTTTGGGGTCGGTTTGTTTCGTTAGCACGGAGCAGTGGCCTACGATTAGGTCTGTAACTCGGTTGTCGGTAAGAAAGTCCCAATATCAGGTCCCCTTCGATTCCTGCGTAGAGTTCACTGCAATAGACTTACGTTAAAATCCTAACCTTCGTGTTGTGACTCCGATGTGGAAACACGCGGCCTGGCATGCGGCTGCTCATACTCGAAAAAGGGCAAGGGCGTGTTACACAGTTGAGTCTTTATTCATCTCTTCCATCTTGAGCTGACTGCAGCAATATTTGCCCTGAAATATGCCGTTTTCTCTAGTAAGACACCGATTTAGTAGAACGTGGCTGTCATCGAGATCTTCTTGATAATCACAATCCGGTAATCCCCGCTTGAGCCTTTGTCACTTGCAAGGAATGGTGAGAAAGTTGCTGATGTTTTCAGTGCCTGGTGCAATGCACATAATTTGAAAATCGAGCCGAGATTGGAAGCTGCAGGTTGGTGCCGTGCCGCTCTCCGTCTGCTGAAAAGCTATCTTTGTCCCTACTATTTCGGGCACAAGCCAAGAGTCGGTCATTCACAAAACCGCCAGCCTTTCAACCTTATTGAAGACAGCATTCAGAACCTGCACCAACTCAGTCAACAAGGTAGGCCACACTGCGTTTCACAGCAGGCACAAATGCACATTTGAGCATATCTTGCCACAGTCGAATGGGCAGCACAGAGTTTGAAAAATGAGCAAAATTGTTTTGCGGCTTATTCACATCATCTAAAATTCCTTTAACCAATTGTTGATTGCTTACGGTATGGTCATACTGACAGCTGTACTGACGGTACACGACAAGCTGCAGTATTTTACGAGCCAATACACCGTTCTGACCCTCGGCCCATTCCACCTACCCTCTGTTCCTTTGTGCTCTTCCTCACTCTTCTGGTCCTTCTTTTTTGGGTCCTCCGCCTCCTCTCTCTTGTTCTCACGGTCGTGCCCCCTTCGAAACTTGTTACCATATTGTTCCTCTGAACTGTGCATTTCGCTCATAGCACACTCTCCAGCGTATTTAGTCGTTGTTGTATTCATGTTGTGCAGATCCTGTATCAAATTCAAGCCATATTTCTTGTCATGGCGGAAAGCGTTGTCCAGTATACTTACAGTTGTTTCATCATAATAAAGTCTTGTCTTGCACCAAATCTCGATGATCTTGACGCGGCGGATATCTCGCAATAATATGGCTTGATTATCTCGGATCGCATGGTTCTCACTGCTCGTTGAGCATAGGAATTGTTGGTCTGTTAACTGATGTTTGTCCTTATAGTTTCTCGGTTCTTTCGGTGGTTCAGGGAGAAACTTCCTAGATGGTTTATGAAATCCTACCTTCCGCACTGTGTCAAAATATTCGCTTTCGAATGTTACAAATCCTGAATGAATCAGTGAATGTCTTGTTTGGACTACTGTCTCTATCATCTTGTTCCTTGCGAAATCGGTGATTTGCCATTAGCCCTGTTTCCTACTTGGAAACCCCGTGAATATTAGTTTTGTGAAGCCGAGAAGATTCACGAGTGTTTTTGAAGTGATTTGAATTCACCATAATGCTAATCGAGCTAGGAATTTCGAGTCCCAAAATTACATAAATTTTTCCCCGGGCAAGGCATCAGTGTATTTTGCAAAATCTTTCGACTTCGGAACAATATCTTAACAGCTTCCATTCAAACCACAAACCTCCTCCTTTCGATCCTACAATGAAGATGTCGGCATCAGAAAACATCGACGAGACGATGATCTCCTCCAAAATATCAGAACGAATTGGACAACTGGAGAATGAGCTTAGGGAACTCCGATCTCAACAAACAAGTCAACTGGTCTGTCCACCAAGAACTGATGCGGCGTATGCTTCTCGATCTCTTAGTCAAACGGGGATAATGATAGACAAGGCAACTATGACCGTTCCTTTGCTTTGGAAAGACATTGACGACATGCGGCAAGCGGCAAGACATTTCCCTTGGTTTCCCAAGCTCCCAGCAGAGTTACGGCAATTGATCTGGAAATTTGCTTTACCGTCATCCAAGTTTATCACCATTCATACATCTACAGTACTTGATGAAAATGGCCAAAGGAAAAGAGATGTAGAAACTTGGCACACTCTCCCACACAAGACTCCCGCAATTTTTGACGCCTGCAAAGAGGGAAGACATGTTTACAAATTAACACACACGTTCACACGTTCTTGGAAGGTACTGATGGAGAGAGGGGAGGTTGGGTGAACTTCGAAAAAGATGTTATTTGTTTTATCTCGGAGTTCTGCTATCCAGGCTTTGGGCGTACCATCGCTACCATGCCAGAAGATGTCAGATCAGCTATCAAATATGTGCTGATCGACAACCGTGCAACCACATGGTCGCAGGATCAATCCAGCTTTTTCAAGAAAGGAATTTGCCAAGTTCATAATTTGAAAGAGATTCTGGTTGCGAGGAATGACCTCGTACCTGAGAAATGGACTTCGGACCGCGAAAATCTCTAGAGGCGAATTTGGTGGGTTAGTGAACTTGGGGATCAATATACACTTGGGGCTCAATACCAACGGACAGTGAGGGAGGATGGTACCGTCGATGACCCAATTGAGGCTATCAATACAGTTCCAACTGCCACCATTGGCGGGAAAATGAGGATTTCCCCTGAACTCGTCAGAATGCTTGACGAGATCAGAAAAGAAAAATTAAGCACGCGCTGGGAGAAGCCAGAAATAACTTTTGTCAAAAGCTGGTGTACTGAATATGGTTCAAAAAGATGGAGTTATCCTTCGTGGTGGTGATATCTTGCGAATTGGCACCCCCGTAAAACACCGACAGTTTTGGAATAGTCCTTAGAAGCGTTATTTGTGATGGATGCAAAGACAGTCTTATAGCTTTGAATAGAAGAGAAATTATCAGAAGATACACTTAGTTGTTCCATAATTGGGTTGTGCTCATCCTGCTTTGAACCCAGACGTGCTAATTTGTCAGTTTTCAAGTGCATAACCATCAGGAGTTGATCTCCAAGATACAAAATGAACGGGAGCTAGTGGTTCAGATTAATACGAAACTCGCTGCTCGGATTTGTAAAGAAACACATATTCATATGCCTTCAAGTAAACCCTCTACTTCTAAAAGTCTCAACTTCCAACTGTAACTTAGTACAACTCCAATTTGGAAATACACATGTTCTGCCTCGCCCGCCAGGGCACAGTAGAAACAAGGCTTATGGTCGCATCCTCCTACTGAATCTATGAATCACATTGGCATTTTTGCGGACAAGTCCTAAAATAATTCGAATGTATATTGGCAGCTTCGAAACACTAATTCACATACAATGCTCATAAACTGATTATTCGTCTTGGAAAAACACTCACCAGCGGTTGCAAATCAGACAGATCTTGTCAAAATGTACAAGAAATGTTCTGTAGTGATGAAACAAAAGAGATATCTTTCTAGAACAATTTACGTAAACATCGAAGTAGAATAGAGGGGTAAATCGAATAGCGACGTTTTATTGATTTGTAGTGCAGAATACTGCTATCTAAGAAGCTTGATAAATCGCTTGTTCCTAGAATTCTCAACTCCATTGTAAACATGATGTGTTGAAATTCCACCTAGTATTAAAGTAGATCTTTTGACCCGCTCTACTGTTTTGGCCATTCGAGAAATGCCTAGCTATCCACACTTTAACCTGGTACCACCCGAACAATTCGTACAGTGGGAACCGTGAAGTCTAATTGTCCCAATCCCTTTTGGATTTCGATAGCAGCGAGTATTTTATGCTTCACAATACGCAATTTCCCAAGCCCAAATTCCCATTCTGATCTCCATTCCAATAGATCCGTAGAAATAGGGGCACCGAGGTCATGCGCAACACGCTCTGCTTCTGCTTGATGTTCCCAAAGCTTTAGAGAGTATCTAACATATGGGATGTCCCTCTTCTCGAAATTGAGAGGCAAACCTGACAAACCAATAAATATCTCTTCTGCTCCCAGAAAAGAGTCGAGCCATATGTTAACGCCTTGCTCAACGAACACTTTTGTGATTTTTCTAGTGATACACAACTCTCTACAGACTTCATTGGGAACGGATGGAGCTCTGGAATATCGGTCGTTTCGATTTCGAAATGCGATAATGTCAGTTTTTGGATTGAACCATATTGCGGGAGAACCATCGTTTCCATGTAAGGCTTTGTACTGCTTCTTTACCTCCTCTCTTGCTTCTCGACAGACGAATGTCATCGGGGGCGCGACATCTGGATAATAAGCATGCCAGCCAGTGACGAGATCTTTACGGCCAAGATCAGTTCCATCACTTGCCATGTCTGCATCGTCCGGTCGTGCCCATGTGTAAATATCGATGATTCGTTCTCCGGGAAGTGCAAGAGCCCAGATTGTTAATCGCAGTGCGGTTGGAAGTTGAGGAAACTTGGTAAACGTCGAAAATGATGATTAGTCGTTGGAAGTCATGGTTGAGTTGGAAATCTCGAGAGTAGAAGTCTGTCCTTTCCTGTTCCACTGTCTTCAGTTACGCTGTTTATTTTGGCCGCAGAATCTCGTGGTCTAGTCAGGGAAGCCGATAAGAATTCCTGCCTAGTATTAGTAACCTCGAAAAGAACAGTGAAACTAAGTAGCTAGATACCCGGTGAGAGAATGATTGGTGGTAAGAGTGATCTGTTGGGGCTAAGGAGCTGCTTGTATTTCTGTTAGGTGCTGAGGAAGTCAACGAGACAGTGAGATTGTGAGATCGTGTTATGTCTGGAATTTTTAAAAGGTCCTAATATGAAGTCGAAGTCAACAAAAGAAGTGCAGAGAAATTGCGACGGTGAATAATACGGCCCAGAACTTTGACTTTGTTTATAATTTGCGCAAATCTCCGTTTCTGCACTCTGTAGTAATTCACCTACCGAACGAAGCGAGGACTAGCGTCAGTTGACACTTTGCAGCTAGATCGATACTTTTCTTACTCCTGTTTATCCCAATCTGTTTACAAAACTTTTGACGCCGACGAGTTGAACTTGAATTCTCCTACATCTGACGATCATTTTAGCATCGCCAGTAGTCCTACACAGCACTTTCGACGATTTAACAACACTGTACTTCTCGACGTCACCTAAACCGATACGCGTTGTAAATACAAGCCTGTCTTCGATCGCGAACAAGAATTAGAACTTTGTTCTCACCCGTAATCGCCTGCTTTTTGTCCTGATCCACTTTGTGAGTGAAACACAAACTTCAAGCAGTCTCCTCGTGTGTGGATTGCTAACATTGTTGGTTTTGTAGAATTTATCGTCGTCTACCAACTCACCTCTACAGACAATGAGCGTAGATATTCAAGCTACTAGCGGTGTGTCTGCCGAAAGCTCCATCACCAGTCATTGGCCTTTCAGCAGACGTGCGGACCCCTCTGGACCTCTCGCAGAATTCACATTATTCCCCAAATTTCCTCGCGAGGTACGGAACATCATCTGGAAACACAGCATGCCTGGGGAACGATTCATCGAATTCAATGAGCTACACTGGCCATCAACCCGCCCAATGGGTATAAATGTTGGGTCTGCAGGAGAAGAAGAAGAAAAATGCTGCGACGGGTGGTACCTCATCGCACGTCAAAGAGTGCCCGACATCTTTTTCGTTTGCAAGGAAGCAAATGATGAAGTTTCACTGTATTACACACCAGTACCAAGCTGCAGTTGTGGCTTTCCAACAATATGGGTCAACTTCAAGATAGACATATTTTGTTTTCGAGCCCTTTCGAATGAGCCACAACTACAGAAAGCGTTAAAGCATATTCAAAAATCCCCGAACATGCGTGTTCAAAGGGTACTTGTAGACCCGTGTGAATTCAAAGAACACGACCAGCTTCCAATTGGGACAACGCTTCTGGTCCGTCTTAGCCTGTTTCTGGGTGAGGAATTGAAAGAAATTCTGCTCTTAGAATTTGGAATGTTCTCAAAGTTGCTTCACTCGTGTGACTACGAGACGTATGGGAACTTTGAGCACTGCAAGAAAGATGCAATTTCGATTTTGAACGAAAAGACAGGAATTGAATTGGATCGAGAAATGCCTGTCATGCATTTTGTCCATCTTAGGCGATACAATCGTCTTAGTCTATCCAATTATACATTAAGAGGCTTTTTCTATGAACAGCCGATAGGAGATAGCTGAGAGGAACTCACAGACCTGCGGAGAATATAGACATTACTTGTATAGAAGTACCTTATGGTTTCAAGGCTGGAGCTCACCTAGTAAATGCGGAATTCGGCGACAAGCGAAGTAAGCCAAGTATTCAAGAAAGTCTCGCAGCTTATTTCTAAGGGGATACACCGGGAATGACCATTCCGGCGAGCTTAATAGCCAGGGAATTTAATATCGACGGGGAAACAGTCTAGGTGCAATACCATTGCTCGACCTAAGCAAGATGAAAGCGGATACTCAACGCCATATCTCAATATCTACCCTGCAGTTTACATTTCAATGATATCGTTCTGTCAACATTCAAGAAGAAACTTGTCTGGACAATCACAGAACGGCCACGAAACACCTGGGCAGCTAGAAGACAGCGCTCCAACTATCTCACCAAAACATCAAACATACTCCCACAGCCCAATTCTACGATCAACATCATTTTCTTAGTCGTTTCGAAGAATATCTCACGATCAATTCTGAGGTCTCATTCTAGAAATCTAGCATAACCGTGGAGAGGACTCGCGAGTCGAGAAGACCGTTTAGCTACCGCGTTTTTATCAGCGGCATGCACTGGGAAGAAAGATCAGGGACAATGCTTACCTGAGCACTATGTTGACTCCAAGAGCCAAATAACAGCAACTGCTCTACGAACGTGTCATCTATCTTCATGCTATATCCTGTACTCACTTCTATGAAATGAGATACTTGAGATTTTAAATCAAGTCTTATTGCACGATTTAATTCAAATAATGTTCGAGAATTCTTGCGTTACAATAATATATAAATTAAAAGAGGTGAACTAATCACTTAGATTATAGTTCCTGACTCTAAACTCATATCATGGCAAATGATATCGACAATAACCGAGGACTTATACGTACCTAGCTCGCGGAGGACAAAACAAGACGCAGTCGAACCAAAATAGTTCTTCGACCAAGTTAACGAAACATCGTAATTCAGTGTACCAACTTGGAACATCACGACTATTCTGTCAACCGTTTCAAGTCAATGAGACTTTTCAAGCTCGATTCGAAGTCGACTTATTACTTGTTCTAAGATTTGGGGGGGGGTGACTGCCACTTGATTTTGTCCTCCGCCAGCCTAGGTATCTAGATTAAGCACCTACTTACCTAGATATCTGAAAGCGAAATACCACTTCATCAATACCCATCCAACATAAAACACGACTTCTACCCACGGCATGAAATTCAGAATGGTAGGTCTATCACACAAACACGACACTCACGAAAACTAGAGAATCATACTTCTAGATTCCTACCTAGCCATACAGAATTCATCCAAGGACCTGCGTGATATCGACGAGGCTTTCCGCGTACCTTGGTAGCGTGTTTTACCTACCTACTCATGGTTGAATTACTTATGATTCAAGTCATAGTTTGGTGGCATAATGCTGTTGTGTTATGATGGTAATTCCATGTTTTGAAGCACGTAATACTGTAATCCCTTTTAGCACCACCTTCTATCCAGCCCCTATAAGATCCACCAAGATGATCTCATAGCAAAGTAGAAACTCCACCCAGAGAACGTAGTTGAGAAATTAGGAGGGCCATTAGTGATTTACTTGAGAGAAGAGAGGTATTAATCTCATCGGAAGATGTTTGTGTATACTAGGAAAGAGTCTGCGAAAGTTTTACTCCGCGGGAGAGCGATGGAGCTGGGTGTGGTGAAGTAAGACGGAGGAGGGGGTCGAGATGGGAAATAGCCTTCTTATGAAAGCCGATCCCCTATTCTCACCACCACTAACAAGCCTGCTACCCCCAACAAGCTTGCCCATCCACATTCTCGTCCTCCAACTTACGAGTGACTGCCTCGTTCAACTAAACGCCCGGTTGTGAGTTCGATCAGTACCGTGAAAAGTAGGAATGGTGATGAAAAGCTGGACATCACGCCCGACGTCCAACCCGAAAGCCTCTAACAACCCCCATCTGACCATTAAACTACATCTCACCCTTAAACCACATCTCCCCCTTGAAATCAGAGTCCCAACACCCCCTTCCAACACCCCCTCCCCCATCCCAGCAACCAAGAATCTCTCTTCTCCCTTAACACAAGCTCGTAGCATGAATTCCATACGTAGTGACGTTCACGAAACGTGAGTCGTTGTGGGACGGGTGGTGTGTTGCGTTGTGTGGGTGGGTAGGTGAGGTGAATATGTGGGTGAAGGGGGTAGTTAGGGGAGGTGGAGTGGTGGAGTGGTGGAAAGGGGGTTAAATAGAGGTATAATTGATATGTTGTGGAGGTATGAGTAAGAGGGATTAGTGTTACTAGGGAAATCTCTATTAAGAGTGGTAGGTAGGGTGGAAGTGCGTCGGTGTGAGGGTGGTGGATAGGTGGCGGATATGTGATTACCTCTTCTTTATCAAAAAACCAAACCTCCTCTACTTAGTCTTCGGAAGTCAAAACCTCCTATACTAGTAAACAAATCAGCAAGTCCCCACTTCCCACACCACACCGGTCGAGAGTCGAGGGAGACTTAGTAATACCATAGCACTTAGAGGATATGATGATCCCATAGTGATGAAATACCGAATAATTTATTTTTAAGGATTAAATAGAGACGTTTCAGTCTTCGAAATAACGCTGTAAGGGAGGTTCGATTAGCGGGTCTCTACACACCGGGCGGGTGATGGGTGTGATACAGATGACCTATATCAACAACATCACAGCCACGAAAAAGTGTACGATGAAGGAAGATTGGGTAGGTGAGGTAACTAACCTATTAAGAACCTCCCCCCCCTCCTTCCAGAATCCCTGCCACAATCAATAAATTAGCAAACACCCATTCATCATACTAATCAATCACACCGGAGATAGAGAGAGGAAGAAGATTCGTTGTACAAATAACCTCTATCTCACCGTAAACAACAACAGTACAAACACCGATATACGTTAAGAACGCCAAGGTAAGTGGGCTATATCGAGGTCGCTCAAGAAGAGCGTGGAGTAGTAACATCAAATGATTGAACAAAGTTACTACTCTCGCCACAGAACGCCTACTAAGGTCTCCGGAGGGAGGATGCTCCTGTCACAATCACTTGGTTAGCAAGCAACCACTCATCACATCGCTCAAGTACAGTGAGGGGAGGAGAAAGGAGAAGTCATGATACAAATCACCTTAAATCACCATGATCAACAACATCACAAAACACCACAGCACATATCATCATCAAGAACGATAAGTAGGCAGAGTAAGTAAAGTATGTCAAGGTATCGTAGTAGCAAGATCAAGTAGCTAAATACTTCAATTACCCCTACTTCCCCAACTCTCCACTCTCCATCCACATCCACCTCCACTTCCCATCCCCTCATCCACAGATCAAAGCGAACCAACCAACAAACAAATAAAACTCGAATACTCCATCTCCGTGCAATAAATCGCTGTTCAATATCAATTCCCATGCGCAAAGCCAGCCGAACCATGTTGAGCTAGCCAGCGAAAGAACTCTCTAAACCCCTATTTCCTATTCCCCTCCACGGCGCCCCCAAAGTGTGTTTTCCATATGCAAACCGATCAAGGCGGTTTTCGCGCAAAATGATGTATCAAGATCAAAGATCAAACCTACTAACGTACAAGGTATTGTGGGGTCCCATGACGAGCCCATGCAGAACTGAAAAGGAGACGCTGTGTGAATCGACCCCGAAACCCCCATCTAGTAATGATGTCGAATCAGAGGTAATCCAACCTCGCTCCCCGCAAGTAGCACGCGCGCATGAAAATGCAGCCAATACGAATCCCGGGTTTTGGACAAAAGAAATGTGGGACTGTTGTGACAAGGTGTTTTGAGGGTTGTATGTATAGGTCGGATATTTTAGTTTTGTTTTGGTATTTTGTTGTGGTATGTCGATGTAATTAATTAAGTATTCCACTCCACATTCCGGGGCCACCAATGCCACCGAACGCTGGATGGATGGTATTTGATTGTGGATAGCTTCTTTTCGCTTCCGACGCACAGCACACACGTTTTCGTGTATTGGTAGACTGAATTGGCACTTGAAGTCCGGCACTGGCTTGCATAGCACGGGCCCTGATGAATTCATCAGACCAGTTATCTTCGGTTGGACGAGTCAACATCTCTCGAACATTCTCTTGAAGAGTGTTGTCCATTGATTGTGGTCGACTACGTTTGGAACCACGAGTTGGCGAGTCGGATGATCGAGGATGGTTGTGGAGATCTTGAAGCGCACGAGCCGCTTCCTCATCCTTGGAGTAGACATCCAAATCCAATTCTCTTCTCGCCAATGGAGTATCCAGTGACAGATCGAGAAAGTCCTTGCCAACTGGGGCAGTGTAAGATTCTGGCGATGATGTAGGGCCATTGTCACAGTACTCTGGAACCGTCGCAATGAAGGTTCTGTTCTGTCTCTCACTGCACAGCTTCGCATATCGACAGCGCGCCTGGACATCCAAAGATTTGGATGAGGTCGGCGCGGCCATCAGAGATGACGCTGATGAGATAGATGAAGAACGGGATGATCGTGACGAGGTATCAGAGACCATAGACTCGGGCGATGACATGGATGAGACTGAGTTTGCCAATGAAGAACGTCGGCATGAAACGTAAGATTGTGGTGAAGAAGTTTGCCATCTCTCGGATAGTTGAGAGTTGCAGACGTTGGAAGCTTGGGACATGGCCAGGCACATGGATGACTTGCCAGAAAGCATATAGTTTGCCGCACTCACTGCAGGAGTGTTGAAACCAGAACTTTGCGGGGTCAATCTTGGCGTTGGTAGCAGGCCAAGAGCGGGTGCGACCTTTGTTGGAGGATAAAGCGAGGAAGGTGATGGTTCCAGAACGTTTGGAGTATAATACTTTGGCGTTGGTGTTGAATCATTGGAACCATATCCAAAAGTGTTGCAATCCACCGTCATTGGGGTTAATGATCGTGGGCTGGCGACACTGATAGATGTGACATTTGCCTTGGCAGATGTTGGAGTTCGCATTTCCTCGATGTTATCCAATTGAGTATTCAGGCGCAAGATGATATCTTTCCAAGTTGCTGATTGTTCAGCGATGCGGGCACATGATGAGCCTGGCGATGGTGGCTGGTTTGGTGTGTATTTAAGGACGATGTCGGTCCAACGTTGGAACACGGCATCTGTAATATGTAATTCCCAATTGACGGCAAGAAGGAAGGCCATCTCGTTTTGGTTAATCTCCAAAGTGTTCAAACCTGAAATCTTACTCCACGCGCGGGCAGAGTAGTTACGGTCTTGAAGATACTTGGAGGCAAGAATAAGAGCGGAAAGGAACATGCGCCGACCGCACTGCAACGCGCGGATCGAGTGGGCATCGTCGGGCTGTTCCATGGTAAAATCATGTTTGGGCACATGCGGCTTGATCAAGATCAGGTAGTACAAGGCCACCTGCAGGGTCGAGTAACTTGTCCTTGATCTTCTGAGAGTCTCTTGAATGAATGTGCGGAGCGGAAGAACCCCTTTGTTCCCCATGTCGCTTCTGCAGACGACCGAGGAAAGGGGCCAAATAGCTTCCACTATTTGCGCTGAAGAATCTGAGGTAAAGTGTTGAGCAAAGGAACTGGGGATTAGGATAATTATCTCTTACCGACGAGGCTGTCGACGAAATTAACCTTTCGGTCACTTTGACGGACCAAAGGTGGTGGACATCTTGTTTGGGATGCGCCACTGGTTCTTCTCGGGTGCTGTCGTTGTTCTGGAGCGACTTCTGCTGGGACTCGTTTCTTCGGCCAGTATGTGGCGACCGAGGGACCTTGTTCGCAGGCGCTGCTGGCTGCGGCAAAGGATGGTGGGCAGCATACGTCTGGTATTTCTTGTTCGGATGCGCTCGTAACTGAAGAGTCGTCGGATGTTTGGGATGCGGCATCCGACCAGACCGAGGCGGAGGAGGACGAGGCGGACGAAGCTATCGATGAGCTGTATGGGCCTGCGCGATAGAGGTTGACATAAGGCGGCGAATCATCTTCGCTGCGATGCATCTTTAGGAATTCGAGGGTGATGGGTGGATCGAGGAGTTTCTGAACAAACTCCAGTCGCCGTCTATACAAAGCCAACCGATTATACCGTTATAAATGTCGTGGAACCTTCAACTGAATGCAACCCTTTCAACAGCGGAGATGGCTGTTGGTATGCAAATGATCGAGGGACAAAACGAATCTATAGCAAAGGAGTCTCGGCAGAGAAACCTGAGCGGACGATAAAACCGGTAGACGATGCAAGACGAGCGACTGGGGAAGATACTGAGTGTGCGAGGAGCATTGCGACCTTTTCGTTTATGGAAATGGTAACTGTTGCGGTAAATGGTGGGCTAGAGAGGGTGTTCTACTAGCAGACCATTGAAGGACGGCGAGAGAGAGGACGAGTCGGTGGTGGTGGGAGAAGAAAGATTAAAAGTGAGGATCGATCGAATTCGAAGTCGAATGTCGAGCTCTGGTTGATGTCGAGGGCGACGAGAAATTAAAAGACGAATATAAGGATTGAGTGGAGTTGTAGTTTGTAGAAAGGTGTTCTTTTTGGTTGATGAGTGTGATCTGTGATTCGAATCGACTCACAACAAGTACCGGCCGAGTGACTGTGACTGGAACTTGTCGGGTGGCAAGTGGTAGGTTCGCGAGGGCGGTTAGAGTCGTGTAAGAGAGCCGCTGGGGGGGAGCAGGCTGCCTTTTACGTCCGGCTGGGTATCAAAGAGGACCAGATGCAGAAACTGAAATCAGAACAAGCGCGGAAGCGGTTAAGGTTCTTGTTGGGAGTGGCAAGTGATTCTGGGTTTTAGGTAGAAGAGGACGTGGCTGCGGTCTTGTTTTGCGCTTCGTAGGCGGCGGAAGAGGTGGAGTTGGGGTGTGTGACTGTTTGGGCAGTGGTGTTTGGAGTCACTGGGGGCGGCGAAGGGTAGAAGGCGAGAGGTGTTCGCTTTTGTCGCAGGAATCGGAGGGGCGGGTAGGGGAGAGAGGAATGTGTAAAGGTATGTTTTACGAGTGCGTGATCAAGTAGGTAATTCAAAAGAAGATGTGTATACTGGGGCAGACTTCAAAGAGCCGCTTTGTTAGACGAGTTGATCATACATTGTTGATGGGTGAGGTTCAGAGGCAAAGGGGGGAAGTCTTCGGACTGGGCTGCGGGCACGACGAGGTTTTGTTGCTATGAGTCGAGCGTGGCAGCCTGAGGAGGATGATGGGGGCCTCGTCGGACTGGTTCGAAGACTCAGAAGAGGGGGCAAAGACGAATGACATGGGGCCCAGCGGGAGCACGGCTGGGAGGATGGCACGAATCTGGCTGGAGCAGAGGAGGAGAGGCTTGCGGTGGGTGCGGGCGCCCACTGGATCGAGACAAGCATCGCCTCGCTAAAGTGAAGAGTCACAGATTCGCCAGATGGGCAAGAACTGGCCACATTGCTATCGCCACGCCAGCCAAAATCGAGATGGATGTGTTAGGGACACGTCTTAAATCGGTCAGGTCCACTTTTCTCGTGAATCGTCATTGGCCCTGTGATTCCTCGCCTCCACCACTTGAACAAAGGCCGATGCTAAAATGACGCCTCTTCTCCACCACTCCACACCCCCTCGCTCGACTGCTTGCACTGCTTGCACCACCTTCAGAACACGCAACCACTCACACCACGACAGCATGAACAGCGAACGTTGAGCAGCAAGACTCGCTTCAGCGTTCCTAGCCAGTCTCCGCCACTCTTCGGCGTACGAAGGCACGAAGGGTAGGTACTGCGTATGCTCTGCCTCGACCTAAGTAAGGTTTGTAACCTTACATAGGTCGAGATAGCCTCCTTCACAGCCTTCTTACGGAATCATTTACTCATGTTCTTATTTTCTTGGAAGTTCTCGGATTCAGGAAGTGGTGTGGGTAGGGTGTGTGGAAACGGACGCGACGACGAGGACCCTCACGGTCGCAGCAAAAGGGGACGCCGTCGTAGATTTCTCGGAATCCCCTCCCCTCGGCATACCAAACTTTAGGTCATGATTGCTTCTGTAGAACGAGGCCTGGTCCAACTTCGGAGACCGCAATCGCATCTCCAAGGAGTCACCTCTGTCACCTCACTGAAAATCTCGAAAATCTCCTACGTACGGAACACACGCCTGGGCAGTGACCAGCAAATCAGCAGGTGATATGATTATTTGCCCATTTTCCTGCTCCCGCGGCCAGAAAAAAAAAACACTCAATTTTCAGTGTGGCATGTTGAAAATGCCCACCATCTCACTCGCTGCCGGCCGACGTTCATCTGCGAGGCTGCTTGTTGCTTGCCGCTTGCTGCATCATGAATGATCAATTCTTTGCTCTTCGCGGAAGATACCTTTTCCTTTTCCCGGTCTTGGTGGTCTTTGTCAGTATCAAACAGTCCGTCAGTCAGCGTCTTTCGTATCACCCCGGTCCGTTCTTCAGCTGCAAGTGTCTTGGATTTACCGAGATTTGCAGTCGGACGACTGTTGGTGTTGCAAAGAAAAGTCAGATGAAGCTGATGATACTGGATGTGTCGGCAACTGGCAAGACACCGACACGAGGATGATGGTGGCACAATTGAATACCCCTTTTCAGTCTCATTGCCATCCAGAAAGGATACCAGCGTCGAAGTGTTCTATTTCCTCCACGCCCGCGGGGCTTCACAGCAAAGCCCTCTTCAACGACGCATGGCTGCAACATCCCCATGCACTCACTCCTTGATGCCGTGCAGCCCTTCAAAACTCAAACCTCGAATTCATCCAGAACTTTGGCATCAATGACGAGCACCCCCTTTAGATTCCTCAGAATAATCACTTGCATATCCTCAAACCTTCTCTCCTTTCCCTCACTGCTCACTCAACTTCCGATTTGATTGCCCGGCGCTTCGAGTCAAGATGACGCCGAGCCTTGCCTCGCTGCCATCCCGCATCCGCCACGTCGCGATGCAACTTTGAACAGTCAGGTAACACTTTACAAAGCGCATACGAAGTACTTATTTCTTTGTACCCATACGATCCGTACAACCTTCTGATCGATTCCCCATCGTCCATATTCAATTCATACGAATCAATCAATATTAACTCTCAGCTTTCCTGATTCAAATAGAGTTTCATGCGTCTCATTTGGAGCCATCTCAGCCTTGGAGCCATCTCAGCCCCTCGATAGTTCTACTCAGCCTGAGAAGTGCAGGAACTCATTCTTCCCATATTCAAGGGAGACTACCATGGTTATCACGAAGTGGTAATATTATTATCTTCAACTGGTGGTATATATTTCATTTCATTTCCCCATCTCTACAAAGTAGATGCAACCAAGACTCATCGCGACATCTCGAAATCCACTTCATATCTCACGCTCACCTAACCCTCTCCCTCTATTCCCCTCCGTCCATGCATCAATCCAACCAATAACCAATACCCAACATCCACCAACGGCCCTACATTTACCCGTCGCTTCTGTACCGCATCACTCATATAAACTCACCATGATTGGTCCTCCCCATCTGGTCATTGGCTCAAACCTGTACATCCACTGCAGCCTAACCTCCAGAATAGTACCAAACAACCACGCTCAGCTGTCTACCTAAGATGATGATGTTGGAAGCGTGAGGTCATTTGGTACTAATTCAACACGTTCTTGAGACGTTCTAGAGGTGTTTATTTGCGGATGCAGTAGTTTCATGCTTAAGTAGCCTGCCTCTGCCTTGTTTAATCTGGGTTGGATAAGTAGGATGGGGAATTTGTTTTGCGGATGGGAAAATAGGTTCCAGTGTATTTCTTTTGAATGGCTTTTGTCAGAAGATACCACGAGATGAGTTTTGATCAGGTAACTAAGTACTTTACTCCTAGTTTCCCAATTAATCAATCACAATTCAATCTCAAGTCTTTCTCCCGGCTGGCCTGGACAGAGTTTGCTATTCTATTCGCTTGGCTGGGTATGACTCAACCTCGCAAGACTTTCCAACTCGGCGGCAAGAAGCGCCAAAACACCACCCACTCCGAAGTCATAGGTAGGCATCCAAACCAGCAGAGTCACTGTACGGAGTCCCTGTGGACGCGTGATCTTACGATCCGATATACGGTTAGGTCGTTTGGTACTTGTGACTTGTTGAGGGGGGAGTAGACCGAGATGATGGAGCCAAGACCGAGGAATTCGGGTGGCGAGGCAAAGGAGGGAGGGAGCTTACTGTGTTCGTTCCGATCGGTTGACTATTTTTCAATCCGGGAAACTGGTGGCTACGGTGGGGAGGTCAAAAGGTGAGAGTGAAGTGAAGTGAGATGGGTGGTAGAGAAGTCAAGAGGCGCGGTCCTACTCGCAGGGCTTTGCACCTGGAACTTGCGGTTTTCACTATTTCATTAGAAACCCTTCTTCCATCTCTTGAATTCTCCAGATACTGTACATCAGATTTCAAACACCAAATGGACTCACAGAACACTCCTCGCACGAGCCAACCGAGTCATCAAAATAAAGGCGCGAGTCACTGTCACGTCACACGGTTTCTTTTTCACAGTAGCAGATCATGCTTATAGGAGTCGAGATGTCATATTTGGTGGGCGGGTCAAGTGGATTGTGATGAATGAATGGTGTTTGGACTTGGGTTTTTCTGCTATCTTTCGTGTGTTTGTTCGTGATGGGTTTTGAACCCCGTGGAAAGGAATTGGAGGGTTGTGAAGGGGATTAGCTGGATCCTGTTAAATGGGTCTTGAATAAGGAGGTAACTTATCTTCGGCGACTTCGTCCAGTATCTCGCTACAAAGTAAAGGGGGAAACGCCATCTATCCCCAACCCACCCACCCAAAACCCCCTTCATAACCAAATCCATATCAACACTCCTCCCATCCATCCCATCCATTCCAGACAAAAGCTCATGCATACTCTCAAAACGTCCCTGTGATTTAAATTCCACCATGCCCTTTCCCAACCAAGTCCTCCTTCAAATCTTGCTCCATTCAAGCCTCAATACTTCCTACCTATCTATCGTCGGGAAATCTTAGCACTGCAGTGGTGCTTTGACGGGAATTTGTGCGGGTATAATGGCTTTCAGAGACATGGGGTTTTGGATCCGCATGATGAGGGGTTTTGGGAGAGAGATTCTAGGTGAGATGGGTATTGGATAGGAATGTCGCACAAGTAGGTGGGCCTTGGGATATGCTGGTGGTGGGGTTAGATATGTTTGTTGATATGATGGGTTAGAGTTGATAGGTCAGGCTAACCAGTGGATTAGGTAAAATATTTGGGGTGTTTCCGAATAGACCTTGTCCTTTTTGCACCATAGGCGATATTATGAGCCAGCTCTTAAGCATGTTTCTCGTTCCTAATGAAATTTGTCTCTCCCAATTGAATTTTATAGGAGACAACAGAAGACGAATTCAATCTTTTTTTATTATACTGGCTTAGCAGTAACACCCACTCCCCCAACCTATCATTCAGCGTCCAACAAATTCTCTCTTAACTAACCACCTTTAACTAACTAATAAGCACACGCTATACCCTAACGTGTATCAATCAAGTACTTTCAAAACCCAGACCTCTCTTGGATAACCCTGAAAGTTGTATTATAAGAAAGATAGGCTGTTTGAGGACTTTATGTTTCGATAATAAGCCCGTAATTTGGGAAACTTCAACTCTTGGTGCCGCTTTCGTGGTAGTACACAATTTGGCGTCACGCTTTAACATTGTGAGGTCCTTTCAGTTGAGTATATCCCCAATTAATCAAATCGTCTTTTGTAATAATAATGATTTAGGATGGTTGGATTAGAGGGAAGGTAGGAACATAAGCCGATGACAAAAATTCGGTGAATGAAAGAGATGTCCTGCCTTTCATGCACGAAGGGACGTATAAATTGCGAAGTTTGCCGCTCTGTACGACTTTACTCTTTTGCTGCTAATAACCATTTCAGCTAAAGAGCTTTCCAAACTATCATTGTGCTAAGTTCAAATAAGAAAGGGTGGTTTTGTAGACTTTGAATGTTTACTTTTTGGATGTTGATACTTCTATTTACCAATTTACAGTGTACTAAATAAGCAAAGTAGAGTAGAGTAGCGGGTACTATCTATACTTTACTCAAGATAATTATTGACTACTTACAGTCTACTGTAATCTACTCACACTAATCATGATTAGTTTTACTAAATTGATTATTCCTTTAATACACTGCCGATTTATGATGATCTAGAAGTTCCATACAATAAAAATTCAAGGTTATAATCCGCTGCTTAGTTGCTAGAAAGCTGAGATTAGAAGAAACATAGTGTTTGCAACGTTAAATCAACGAACTATATAGTTCATCTATAAAATATACAGAATTCTCTTTGTAAGGTTAGTGCTTATTTTTGATAGCTGAACATTTTCAACCCCCTTTCATATTAAATACTAGTAGGTTCTGCAGTAAACTGACTCCGATCCTATTCTATACTTGCCAAGTTCCCACCGCGCCAAACTCCCAAACTTCTAAGCTCCCAACTACAAACATCTACCCCAAGCCCTCCCCCCATCTCAACCACCACCCTACCCAACCAACAACTTAACCCTAAACAACCCCCCCACAACCTCACCAACCTCCCCCCCATCCGTGAACCCCGTCCCAGGAATCCCACTCGAACTCATCCCCCCCATAAACCTCGCCACAATGCCCTGCGCACACCTCATATGCACATCCAACCTCTCCCACTCCCCGACCACCATCTCAAACCTAACAAAAAACAACGCCGCCAACAACGCAACCTCCCACCCTCTCCCCCCCTCCAACCGACGATTCAACTCCCCAATAGCCCGCCCATACCGCCCCATCGCATACCTTACCGCACCCCCCCAATCCCCGCCGTACACCCTAACCCGCGTAACAGCCGCGAGCGCCAGCGCCGCAGAGCGGATACACGGCTCGTTGAAGATAGCTTGCAGCGCGATACGTTCCCAAATCTCATTGCCAAAAAACGTGATGAACTCCTGGACGCCTGCCGTGGTAAAGAATTCCAGATGCGGGACCTCGTCCTCGGGGAGCGTGAAGTTTTGAGGGGAGAAATGGATGAGTCTAGGGACGATGCGTCGTTGAGAGGGAGGATGAGGATGGGTGGGAGAGGAGGCGTATTCGCAGAGACGATGGGTGGAGATGCATTGGGTGCATGATGGTTTCGCTTCGTCGCATTTTTTGCGGCGGATTCTGGGGGGGTGTGAGTGATAGACTTTCATGATGGGACCTGACCTCGAATTTTGGAATATTTAAGAAAGAAAGGAATTAAGGAAGAGTACTCACTTGCAAACTAAACACCCCGTCCTAACCTTCGACGCTCCACGAGCACCCATCCTGACTCCACGTTTCGGTATAGCCATTCCCTGATCCGCCATTTTTTCTACCCATAAAGAATGAATTTACGCCAACCGGTTTTTCTCACAGCACCTCAGAGCCTCAAACTCTGAATTGGCTACCGGTAGAAGGAATATATACATGCTGCTGGTCATGCTGTGGTACGCAAAGGTGGGTGGACCCATGTGTGGTACTCGATTGATTGGCTGGTGCGTATTCTATACAACTGGTAATGCAACAATACGGCGAAGCTCGTACCAACTATCCTAGATCAGAATTGATAGTGGTATGTCGAGACGAAAGCCTGCGGCAGCAACGATGACTTGAAAGTATCTATCAATAATCAACAAAGATCTGCAAAGAACTGCTGGATAAGGCATACTTGGAATTAAAGCAAACAGGAAGAAATATCATCTATTCGTGGCTAGTATTACAATCCTTGCATGCGCAGCATAGCGTCGAGTGACATCAAACTCCAACAAACCATACCTAGCAAACTCTCATAACCATCAAAGCCAGACGGAGCACACCAGCCATCATTATCACTCCGTGGCCCTTCCATTTGCCCAATGTACCCATCCTTTAATGCTCCTGGACTCCACCTTCAAAATGACAAGCCTTTATAAGTGAAAAAATTCAATTAAAGCATTGTTCCGAATGTACCATCAGTTGCGATACCCTTTCTCGGGCTGCTCTGTTTGACACCGTCTTCCGTGGTTGGTTTGCGATGTCTGAAAGTAAACCCAACGAACAAACTCTTGCTCATTGGGTCTTCTCTATCAGCCATATTTTCGAGAGCCGTTTGTTTATCATGGACCTCCTTATATTTCGCCATATCTGCTTCGCTGCTGAAATCATCAAAGTAACCTGCATCTGTCTCAGAGTCGAGTTCCGGGACGAAAGGTGCACGTTGTGTTCTAAGAGTTTTCCAATCAACTTCGGCAAAGTACTGGTGGCTGTAAACATCTTTGATAGACGAAAATCGCTTGGATTTTGAATTAATACAACTAAAAGCGGTTAGTACGGAGCAGACACGAGGGAACCAGTAAATACCTCGTGATGAAGTTCCACGTTCTGTTGCTGATGAAGTAATTTGGATCTTCCCAGACTGGACGCTTTAAAACTTCTCTCCAATGCTTCAGGTTCTTCCAGGTTTCGTCGACTGTAGCACCAGCAAATGGAGGGAAGCCGGTCAATGCCTCGAAATGCATACATCCGAGACTCCAGTAATCCACGGAAAATTCGTACTCGTCTCCTTTCAGCACTTCTGGAGCCATGTAGTCGGGCGACCCAACAATGGACTTGGCGTAATTGACATCTCGTTCTCTCATAGATCTGTACCCTTCCCTACGTTCTGCAATCGATCGTTGTTCGATCGGCTTGCCAAAAGGCACATATGTTTCACCGACCTTCTCGAGCTTTACACGCATGGATTCAATTTTACCGGGTGCAAGAAATCCAGCAGCAAGTCCAAAGTCAGTGAGTTTGACATGTCCCGTAGAATCAATGAGGAAATTTTCTGGCTTTAGATCTCTGTGAATATATCCGAGCTGATGAAGTGCGTCCACAGAGCAGAACATCTCGGCAATATAGAAGCGTGCATGTCGATTTGCAAGAACTCCAGTGTTATTTAGAAGAGTTCTGAAATCTCCACCTGGAACATATTCCTGAAAATATTAGTTGCGAGTTTAAGTGAGAGCGCCAGCAGACTTACCATCGCCAGATAGATACTCTTGTCATCTTGGAATGAGTATAGCAGGCGCACCAGCCATTCACTCTTCGCATTGGTAAGAATATCACGTTCGGTGAGAACATGTCGGACTTCATCAAGCTTGAACAGCAGCTTCTTGCTCATCACTTTCAAAGCGCATACCTCCCTAGTATCTTTCTTCTGAGCCAGAAATACCTGTCCATACCCGCCCTGTCCAACTTGTGTAAGAATTTGAAAATCGCCCTGGCGAAGACGGACACGACGCTTTCGAAGATTCGCGCGTTCTCTGCCTGCGTATTTCTTGAATACTTCATTATATGTGACTTCTTCTGTGGCTGGCGGCGGAGGATATTGGGCTTGAAATTGATTGAGTCGATTCTGTCGAGTTCCGACGTAGGTGAGAAGATCAAAATAGTAATCAAGGAAATCTGAACAAATTAGCTGCATCATACAAAAAACATGGTACAGGTCACCTACATAACTGTGTGACATTTGCGAGTCGTTTGACGTTTGGCTTGTTCAAGATTTCCCTCTCCTCCGCTGTGAGCCCTCTTTGTGTATTGTATTTAGCTGTTCGTGAAGTCGCGGGTCCTTGATCTTTAGGTTGATAAAGCTCTTGTCTAGACAACGCTGCCTGGTTTTGTGAAGTTGTCTCCAATCCTTGTCTCGATGCAGGAGGGGTGTTTTCTTGACCATTTTTGCGAAGAGGACTGCCTGGCGATACGGCTTTGTGTACAACGCTATCATCTACGCCACCAGCAGCACTCGCGAAATAGGATTCATCAATGGCCAAAGAATTCTGCTTTCCAGGGGAATTTGCTGTCAACGGCCGACTGCTTCTCGCAGGACTTCCCAACGAGACAGGATTGATTTTCATGGCATTCTCGAAGGCGTTTGGTAGATCATGCGCTCCTGGAGGATTGCGGTTCTTGCTTGGACTTCCTTGTGGAGTAGAAACGGGGGTTATAAAGTTGTGTTGACTCGGAGTACTTGGTCGTTCACCGAAAGTGTCATTATAGCTGGAACGACTTTGCAGAGGAGGCGTAGGCACTGGTGATATCCCATCGTGTTTTCCTGATTGTGCGGACTGAGTGGAGGGGAAAAGGTTGGTAATGAAGTTCGACATGATGAATAGAGCCGATAAGGAGCGACGGTTGTGAAGCTCTTTACGAGCAATGCGTTTACGAGTTGTCCTCGAGACAAACAACTGGTAATATGTGTAAAGATCGACAGAGAAAGATGGTCTTCAATCGGCTGCAAGTTTGGTTGATGTGCAGGGGAAAGTACGATGCTGCAGCAAGAAACGTTCTTGGTTGCGGATATCAGTATGAAGATGGTGGGGCAGTAAACATAAATGGAAGTCGCGTTGCTGTGGGAGCAACCATCGTTCTTGAAACAAGGAAGAATGTTTCTCCGGTAGTCCCCTTTCGAAATATGCATGTTTCAAAGTATTGATACATTCCAACTATCCAAAATGCAACTATACTCAGCAATCGTGCCAGCTGCCTTTATCCTCAATGTATGTCAAGAAACCCATCAACGGTGTCAAAGTTCTGATCATGCACATCTGCGTATCTAGGCACCTATAGGTAGCTTTCGAACAGCTGCATTTCCTAGGCCGGAAGATACGTGTATATTGGATGCTCCCGGTCCATTTCCAGTTCGTGAACTGATCTTTGGAATTCTTCGGATCATTTTCAGATACTACGAGTGTATCAACTTATTTGCTTTACCCCGTCGCTTCTGGAGGCTTTCACAGGCATTAAGTAGGCAACGGTTCGATCTGCAGTATATGCTAGATCAAGACGCTTGCGCTAGGTTAAATCCCAGGAAGCCTTCCATGATTTACTAGAATGACTTTCGGGGTCCTATTCATAACCTCGGGGCCCTCTAAGCAGCTAGGTATCGAAGCCAGTCATCAAGTGATGCCTCAGAAACACGTGACCGTGGTAGTTTAAACTCCAGTTACGGACGCACACAACGACCCCAGAGATCTAAGACACTTCTCCAGCAAGTGTCCACTTGTGAAAGAGTAAGTTTTCATGGAGAACCTGTTCTCAAGCACTTTCCTATTTCGGTTATGAAATTTGGTTTCCTTTTCTTAATATCACGGGATTCGCCTCCCCCTCCCAATGACATCACTGGAGGGGTACACAGTACGTACCTACCACTACCTCCGTTGGCGTAGCATATCGGTCGTCTCGATAGAAATAATCAAGATTGTATCCCGCCCTTACGGTAGGATTCACATGGGAATCAAGAAACCCACCAAAAGTACACACACCAAAGCACGTAATGTTAGTTGGAGGACTCGTGAGCCCCCTCTGTGGACAGCCTCTACGGGTCTAGCTTGCTTTTGCCTTGAAAAGACTCTCTATCATTCGCCTAAAGCACGTCAGTCGGGTTGGCTGTGCTGTCATGCAGAAGAAATGGCACATCTCACCAGGTGTCCTTTGAGAAATGACGTTCGAGCCTCTTGCGTTCGCTCAGTTATTCAAGAATCAGTAGGACTATAATGAGAAAAGCATAAGTGGGTATTAGCGAGTTCTGTATGTATATAAATGTTGTACCCCTCCTCCCATTTTACAGATCATCCACTCGATTCAAACATCTACAATCAAACACACTCAATCTTCACTAAACCCCCAAAAACCATCAACATGTCTGACAATCTGTGAGTGCCCTTTACCAAATCATATTTCAATTTACTAATATGTTGTTAGTCGCAAAGGTCTCGGTGACCAGGTCTCAGAGAAGGCTACTCCTCAATCACAAAAGTCATACACCCAAGTAGCAGGCGAGAACCTTAGTGGCGCCGCCGACAAGGTTGCTGGAGCCGTTCAGCCAGGTTTGTTGCCTATTGTTATGATCATTAAGGACCTAGGCTGATTTCGTATCTAGAGGGAGATAAATCAACCACCCAAAAGCTCGGTGACAGCACCCGCTCAGGCGCCGATAAGGGACAGAACCAGGGAAGTGGACTGCTCGACCAGGCTAAGGAGGGCTTGAACAACGCTGCAAACACCATCTCTGGCAAGACAAGCGATGCCTCCAAGCAGTAAATGTTGAGGCGATGCTGAAAGGGAATTTACTTTTATGATACCACGGCTTGTATAATAACTATGAGCATATTCTGAGAATACCAAATTACTTGAATGAACAAGTATTACCAAACATATAGATGACCCGCAAGATTGTGTCTAGATTTCCTCACGCCACCGTTATGCTCGAGTGAAATAGATGGCCTTGTAACTCGTATAGTTCGTTAGCAAGTAGTCGTAATTCTACTAAGAAATGGTCTATTCATTCTATGGTAGCCCCTCAGTTGTCATGAGAATCACACATCCGTGGGACGCTTATTTGACCAACCAAACAGCTTTAATTAAAGTATCCTAATACTCCTCTTCGATGAACAATCGCGTGCACGGATGTGTGATTCTTCATGGCAACTGAGGGGATAAGCTCAAGATAACACAACGACGTTCCAGAACTTCTTCATCATTCTCTAGGTTGGTCAACTAATCTGAAGCGAGGATGCGAGAGCAAAAGCGACTGATGCTCATCATAACATCTTGGCAGCTTACAAAAATGTCTCCATATATATCCTCTTAAGTCCGAAGTTACCCGCTCGCTCCGAATGTAATGGTTCGGCGATACGTGAGTATTCTCGAGTGTCATTTTGGCAACGGCTATAAAAGGTGTGCTCATCCAAGGCTAGATATTGTAAAACCTTCGGAAGGAAATCCGGGTGGTATAGCATCGAATTTAACACCCCAATTGGTTCTCTGATAAAATGCCTCCACCACACGGAACTCCAAATCCTCTTGAAGGGCCTGGTAAGAAATAAAAGTTCCAACTCTATGGCAATTTTCAGAAGCATCTACTAACTCAACCATAGGAGATTACGACGTAACAGCAACAATCCACAACGACACCTACCCAAACATTTCCCCACTCTCCAAACCAGCCATTAAAAAATCCGTGTTCATCGCCGGTGCATCCCGTGGAATCGGTCTTGCAATAGCCAAATCCTACGCCCAAGCCGGCGCTTCCAAGATTACCATCGGCGCCCGTTCTCCTCTCGACTCCGCCAAAAATGACATTCTCGCCGTCGCCGAAAAAGCTGGCCGCTCGCCTCCTCAAGTCCTTTGCGTTAAATTCGACATCACTTCAGTAGCTAGCGTCTCAGACGCAACCAAAACCGTCGAAAATGAATTCAAAAATCTCGATATCCTAGTGATAAACGCTGGAATCCTCGGTAAACCCGCGTTAATAGCTGACAGTGATCCCGACGAATGGTGGGAAGTGTGGAACGTGAATCTACGCGGACCCTTTCTCGTCACGAGGGCTTTTCTTCCGCTTTTGCTCAAGGGAGGCGATAAAACCATTGTTGCTACGTCGAGTGTTGGTGCGCATCTTACGGGGCCGGCGTTGAGTGCTTACCAGCCTAGTAAACTGGCTGTGCTGAGGTTGATGGAATTCGTGCAGGTTGAGTATGCTCAACAGGGGGTTATTGCGTTTGCTATTCATCCGGGGAATGTGGTAACTGATGTTGTGGGTGGAGCTGAGGGAGTTGAGAGTTTGGGTCTCGCTAAGGGTGAGTAGTGGTTTGAAGTTAGAGATCATGTGCTAATTGCTAACCTTTGTAGTTTTTGTTGAAACGCCCGAGTTAAGTGCTGATACCATAGTATTTTTGACAAGAGAGAAGAAGGAGTGGCTTGGTGGGAGATATATAAATGTGACTTGGGATATGCCACAGTTGATGGAGAAGAGGGATGCAATTGTTAAAGGAGACAAGCTGAAGGTCAAACTTGACGTTTCATTTTAGATTTGGTATACCAAAGTGGTCACTCACTCAATGTAAAAATACAATATGATATTGACAGTTTCTGTATCTTAGCACGATAATTGAGTAACCTGGTATATAAACAAGACCTAGTTGTGAACTTCCAACTATTGCAAAGAAAAATAGATCTCAAATGTGCCAACAAAGCGCAAGCGCCCTTCAACGATAAAAATTTTGCGGCCCTTTACTATAGGGGAGCAACAAACTCTGCAACAATGACCAAAAACAGCTAAAAACAAATAAGCTTCATTATTCAAAACAGCACTTTAATAGCAAACGTACAGAGGAAAACCATTCAATCTCTAAGCGCCTTTATGATTAAAACCCAACAGTCTCGACTGCGGGTGAATGAGGTCCACCGATTTCAAATTCACATATGGGGCTCTTGCCATTTCCCAGGTAATCTGCTTTTTTCTTCATTATCTCTTCAATACCAGCCCAGGCGATCATCCACTACAAACACCATGACAGACCAAAAAGAATTTAAACCATTCTCCCGACTTCCGAAAGAACTCCGAATGCTCATATGGATCCACGCTCAAGATCTCTTCCCACGAATTTTCGAAGTTATGACCGGAACGAAACGCGAACATCGACACGAATCACCCAACGGCCTGTTTTACGCAGTCCTACCATCGGCTGGGCCGGCATTGATGCAGGTCAATAAAGAATCTCGTTCGACTCTTGCTATATACTATAAACCACAGTTCACAGCGAAACTCAATGGTCAACCGTTGAAACCCAATCCTCAAGCGTCGGAACTCAATCCTCAACCATCCGATGAGACCGATCCACGTATGAAAATCGAAGACCTCCTTTTCAACTTCAGGACTGATGCGCTACTCATCGGTAGAACTTTTACATGCATGGACGATGCAGATACGCCGTCCATGGACGAGATTCTCAAGTTGGCGTTTGGCGACAACAAGATTGAAGTGCAAAATTCGCTGCGCACCTTACTCATCGACGAAAACTCGTGTAAACGTTTCTGTTCTGGGAAGCCGTACGATAAATCCGATGCCAGAAAGTCGTTCCCAAGTCTACAGAAATTTGTCCTTCTTCAACGACTAGGCGCACACCGTGTAATGGGCTTCTCGAAAAATCCGGAACAAGACACTATTATGCGGCTTGAAGATTGTACGATTTACGACCTGGAAGACGAGTCAGACGAGAGAGGGCTCGCAGAGTTGAAGCCAAGTGACATATACTACAGGTACATACGAAGAGAGAGGATATGTAGGATTTCTAGAGGAGCTTAAGATGAAATGCACCAGAAATTTCACAACTACGTTCATAATTAATTTGTTGCTTGGAAACTGTTAAGTCTAATAATATCATACTCTAACAAACAAATGTAAGACACACCTTAAAAAATACCACTTGACGGCTTCCATTTATGCTGTATCTCCTCTATGATAATTATACGACCATCCCGAAGGCTTCTTGATTGATCCAGAACGCTCTTACGTATCGGCTCCAGCAGCAAACAACACCGACGGCTTTGTCAAATGCAGAGGATGCAAGCTTGTTCAGTCAATTATTTCGTTAGCTGACAAGCCATCAGCTCTTCGTTGAGATTTTTGAGGTTTTTCTTCTCACATAATCTCAATGCGTTGTCAGGTGTAGCAATAGTTGACTTTGAGTAGTCGGTTGGTAAGATATAGGTACCAGCGATGTTGGTCTTTCCATTGTTGAGGGTAAGACTCAGGCCCCACTGCATCTCGATATGTAAAATAGATGATTTAATCGTAATCATCGCTCTTTGTCGACATCAAGATTTGTTTGAATCTGGACCATAAGAAGTGCGGCATTCTCAAGTTACTGCATTGTTGACTAGACAGACATTTTCATAGCAATCGACTTCTGAGGTTCGTACCCTTTGATCTCGAAATCTTCCGCCTTCCAGCCGTCAATGCTTCCACCCTTTTCACGCTTGATTTCTAGGTCTGGAAACTTTCGTGGCTCGCGTTCCAATTGCGTACGAAGCGCGTCGACATGATCGAGATAGACATGGGCATCTCCCATGGTATGAGTAAGGCTTCCAGGGACCAGATCAGTAACATGGGCGATCATGTGGCAGAGAAGCGCGTAACTAGCAATATTGAATGGGACGCCGAGGCCCATATCACAGGATCGTTGATAAAGCTGACAATGAAGATGTCCTTTGGGTTTACTTTCGCTACCTTCCTCCTGTCTTGGAAACGAGACGTAGAATTGTGCAAACATATGACAAGGTGGTAGCGCCATGATGGACAGGTCCTTAGGATTCCATGCCGACAGAATCATCCGGCGGTCATAAGGGTCTGTTTTAAGTTTATGGATAACTTCCGCAAGTTGATCAACTCCTTTGCCAGTATAGTCCGTATTCGCATCTTTGTATTCGGCGCCAAAGTGCCGCCATTGGAATCCATAGACCGGCCCAAGATCACCAACTTCTCGGTGTGTCAAGCCTCTACTATCCAAAAATTCGCGTGATCCATTGCCATCCCAAATCTTGACTCCAGCTTCACTCAATGGAAGAGATGATGTGCTGCCCTCGATAAACCAGAGTAGTTCCGCGATAATGGCTCGAGTAAAAACGCGTTTTGTGGTAAGAAGAGGAAGGATTGGTCGTCCGTTATCGTTAAGCTTGAATTTCAATGGCCGCGGTGCAAATATAGAAAGAGTCCCCGTCCCTGTTCTTTGATTCATAAGATTCAAGACTCGAATGCATTGCACTTAAGAGCTGGCTTACCGGTCTGGTCTTTTTTCACCTTCATCTAAAATCTCGCGGATGAGATCCAGATATTGATATTCTTCGTGTGGTTTAGTAGACGCCATTGTTACGGGTAAGCCACACAGATTTTCCAAATGTAAGAAACGTTTCTCGAGGCACAAATGTTGCTGGACTTGGATATCAAGAGCAAGCTAGCAGACGCGTTTCGATGTCCCGCGACGCGAAAAAGCAACAGATGGCCCGTGCACCACTTACACTGCTGTGGAATAGTGACCAGTCTTCTTGAATAGCCATTCGCAACATCGAACATACACTGTTCATGATCATGCTTTCAATGCATTCAGCATCTAAATTTGAGACTTATGACTTAGCATGTTGTCTAGGAATTCAACAGCACTGGCTTCTACATCTTGGATAGCTTTGAGCTGTACGGACAACGCACTTTCTGTGTTCAACAGTCATCAGAACAGTCTGCCACCTACTTGACCAGGAACTTACCCGTATACCACAGGAGTCGCCAGTCAGTAGTATGTATAGGCTCTTTCTTCGACTTCAGACCTGATTTCCTGAAGGAATAGGTCAGACAATTGATTAATCATGTGATTATATCGAGAATTTCGAGGTAGTAAGCAGAGATAAATCCTTTCTTTTCTTTCTCAAGTAAACATGGTCATTTTTGTTGCAAGGCATGTCATTCTCTCGTTACTAGCTAATAATATATATATCGATATGCAAAAGCGGCTGACACCACTACAGCACGACCGGGAACTTCAGCGAGCCAAGAAGGTACCGCCGAAACAACATGGATTACTACAACTATGATCACAATACTGTTCCTGAATCTTCTACGGTCGATCTCTTCAACATTTCTTTTGTAATCCAAAAGCCGGCGTGGATCTACATACGGCAGTCCGCCAATTTTCGCTTAAGTCCAGCCTCTTGGCCTCAGCCAATCCACGTGCTGGTTCAATATGCAAGTGCTACCTCTTTTGCCTATTCAATATCACGTCAATATGCCGCAATTCCTATAGCTGTTGACGAAGTTTAAAGCTGAGTGGGATGTGCAGTTGAACAGGGTCGTTTTTGTGCATGGCGCAATTATTGGTCTGCCATCGTCATTGGACAATGGCGAACAGATAGACTACTTAAATGAATAGGGGTCTGCAATTTGGCTGATGGTCACAATACAAAACTGCTAAGAAAACAATATGAAGTTATTCGCTGTATTGACTGCCGTTGTAGCGACGGTGAGTGCCGCCTATTCAGGGGATATTGTGCAGTATTGGTAAGCGAGCTCAATCTAAGAAAGTAACCAAGATTTATCTAATGATATGTAGGGTCGACCAATCCGCCATTCTGGTAAATGGGACAGTCATCGGTGGACTTCAGAGTCCGCCTTCTGGCTGGTATGAAGCCATCGTTCAAGGAGCTGTTTATCTAGCTGCAGACGACAGCTCCCGCGAAAGTCTGGCATTTCAACAACTTGCTGTCTCACATGCCGCACATGACACTCTCCTATGGACATTTCATGGAACCCGCTTATACGCTACTGTGAACTCAAAGCTAAAAGCTATCCTTCCTGCAATTGGTCTCGATGCAGCATCGAAGGATGGTAAGAAAGCAATAAAAATAGGACGGAACGCGGCGAGAGATGCAGTTGTTGCTAGGGCAGATGATGGAATCAACAATTTCGTAGATTATGAACAAAAACCTGCGTTTCCTGGCGTATATCAAGCTACGCGTACGTCAGACTTAAAATATATCGGATAATGGCTGACGAGACAATAGCTGGTGGACAGCCAATCCCAGATACACCACAAGCACAGTTTATCCGCTTATTCGGGGGTGTGGGCGATGTCACGAGATTTCGTGCTATTCCACCACCGAACGTCAACTCAAGTGCCTACGAGTCAATCTTCAATTATGTGAAGGCTGTAGGGAAGAAGAACTCTACTACTCGGACTCCATACGAGACTCAAACGGCGTATTTTTGGAGAGAATCTAGTCCAATGTACTCGAACCCTTTACTCTGATGGCCACAACATTATGCTAATATCAAGTAGTCAATGGAACCGACTTGCTCACGCAGTAATTGGAAACTCGTTAGCAACAAATGTTCTCGCATCCGCGAAGTTCTATGCTCAATTAAACTATGCGCTGGCTAATGCTGCGATTGCTAGCTGGGACTCAAAGTAACCTCACTGCTTTCTATCTGACTACCATTAGAAGATATCACTAACAAAACCTAGGTATTTCTACAACACGTGGCGCCCGGTAACCGCCATCCGCCGAACCTCAACGTGGGTGGCTAGCGGTGCTAATGTTTCTGACCCTTCTTGGGATCCCCTTCTAAGTCCTACACCAAACCACCAAGATTACCTATCCACTCACGCTACATTCGGTGGTGCAGCAGCCGCAGTTATCAAAGCGTGGAATAAGGGCGACAAGATTGATGTAACTATAAGCAGTAACGTGACTGTTGATAATATTGGTGTGATTACAAGGAGAATCACGAATTTGACAGGAGCTGCAGTGGAAAATGGGGATAGCAGAGTTTATGGAGGGGTAAGCTTAGGAAATGCAAGGAGATTCGGAACTTGGCTAATTTCGCGTAGATTCATTTCCCATTCTCGTCTGAGCAGGGCAGAATTGTTGGAGAAATTGTCGCCAAGGCAACGCTGGAGCTTTTTGAGAAGAACTGGAAGAAGATCTAGAAGAAAGTAAGCATCCTTGGGCTCTTGGCTCAACATAAGCCAGCTACAAACACCAATACTATTTGAAGATCAATGGCCTTTTCATGCCAGGTTTCAGTTTCGTGTATCCGATTACGTAGTGACTAGCAACATGAACGATCCTCATATCTTCACAAAGCACCTCAATTGATGGTCAACGAAATGATGAAACTATAGCTTTCAGTTGAACGGATATTAGGTGGCAATCTTCTCATAAATTTTCATTATCTTGTCATTAACTTATTGGTATACAGACTGCTTGATTCTCCTAATTATCCTCAAGTCCAAGAGCCTCTCTACGGGATGGAGCTGACGCATCGAAATAAGGCTTCTCCGCTAAGCTAGTCACTCTCGTTCCATGTCTCGGCTCCCCGTTTTCATAATCCCAACTAGCATTATGGATCGAAATTCTATTATCCCAGAGCGCGGACGTTCTAGGGGTCCACTTGAACCTCAATTGAATATCAACATTCTTCTCATACACATCATACAGATAATTCAGAATGACATCACTTTCAGCCTTGTCGAGTCCAACGATCGATTTGGTCATGGCTCGGTTAACGAACAATGATTTCCAGCCTGTAGCCGGATGGACGCGAACCAGAGGATGAATTCTCTCGATATGTTGTGGTCCGGCGTTTGGATCGTTGCGGTCTAAGTACGTGTGCGCGCTTCTATAGATGGCTTTCTTGCCATCGATGATTTTGCGGAAATCTGGTGAGAGTTTGTTGTATGCTGAGTATCCGCTTGCCCAGAGCGTATCGCCTCCTACTGTTGGAACAGTGTCGTTGTGGAGATGAGTGATTCCAGCAGGGTTAAGCTCATGGACAAGATCGCTATGGAAAGTTAGGTTTGCATAAAATACTTCGATCTCAGATCTTACGTATGCCATCTTGCAGCTCCTCCTGGATTTCTGAATGACGCACTCCTCTCCGTGGCCATTAGAGCTGGCCAAATGATAGTGACACCTGGAACACCTGGGACATGCGGAACTTGAGGCTAGGGAAGGTTAGTTTAGGGGGGACTTCTAATATGGAAACATGTACTTACATGAATCTCGACTTCGCCAAAATGCTCACCGAGGCTCTTCTGCTGCTGGGGAGTAATGTCTTGATCACGGAAGAAAACTACCGTTCTCTCGGCAATCAACAATGCCAGCTCATCTCTTTGCTGATCGGTAAGATCTTTCAGTTGAAGTCCAACAATCTCGGTTCCGATATGCGAGGTGAGATTTATAACCTCCTTGGCAGCACGAAAAAGAGCACTTTTGCTCTTGTCAGCTCGTGCACCAGCATCGATGTGTTCGCGCTCAACATTTCGAATTGATATCGCATCGTCGAGGAACAACGGAGCGGCTGGTCGTTCTGGATACCCTTTGCTCAGATCGATCCCTGCTGCCTCGAGGCGAGTGCGGGCAGCTTGCGGAAGAGGAAGTGTATCTTTCTTTGGAATTCTAACATCCTTGATGTGGGATGCGATAGGAAGAGGGTCTTGAACTTCAATGGCTGATGGCGCCATTATGCTTGATGATACTTGAAAGTCTTAATTATTTGATAAAACTAATCGTTGGTGTGTAGTTTCTTTCGCGACGGTTTTACTGATCTTATATTCATTAAACCCCGCATAAGTTTCTCTTCCCGTTCAAAGATAACAAATGATTCTGATTTCAAAGCTTCCCACGCAAGCCGTACGAGTTAAGTTGTTGTAGTGCCCAAAGATCGCCCCGGATGGTCCGTTGGGTGTTTTGCAAGAGGTGGGGTAAAGCACGACATCAACCCCCATCATGCTTCTGGTAGCACACTCGAACACCTCAGTCGCTGCATCCAGTCAGGATAGTAGCCATACATTGTCTTAACTTGTCGAAAGACGCACTTTCTCGTCACGTTGCTGCAATCTATATCTGTGCCTCGAGCCTCGCTGAATCTGATTTGCGAGTAGGTTAATTGGCGACATCCCTCACTAGTAGCACAACATAAGTGCAGCATATAGTTCGTATGCGGATGCAAGGATAGTATCAAACAAATCTCTTATCTGAAGTACCGGAGAGATATTGTTCATTGGACTCAGCGGTGCGGAGTCTTCTTAAGATAAGTTAGACTCGGTTATTTCACGCTCTTGGTTCTTAAACTTACGACGCAGCACAGAAACACCCATGCCCTACAGTATCACGTACTCCGAGAGAATTACACGACAGCATCCATCTATCACATCTAGAGTAAAATTCTTGTCAGAACTCAGTTGTAATCCCAGGTTGTCTGACGAAACGAAGCACGTCTTTTCATTTCTGAAGCAGCTCATACCAGATAATTCTCAAACTCGCTACATTTAGTCTTAACTCCGCCGACGTTCGAAGCCATGATTTTGATTTTGACATTCCGTATCCACCTGTGGAAACTGCAGATATCGAGCTATTGCGGAAACTCTCCAGCCAGGGTAACATCCTTGAACTGATAGGCAAAGTGAGCTGATTAGTCAAACCCTGCTCAATTTTCAGCCCTAGGCTATTTCTTATAAGTATGTACGGCAGCTGCGATGCATCTTCAAGCTCCGTAGCCTCTTCTGTGTCGACTAAAATGTCTGATGATAAGGATTCGAAGGGCGTTGAGGTCCGGGACTCGAAGGCCATTTCTGACACCGATTCAAGTAATGTCGACTCGCCTAAGCAACTTGAGAAGGCACCATGGTGGGCGATATTCTGGGTCAGTTCTTCGAAAGTAAAATAATTCATGGGTTAGACTGACTTACCTGAAGGACAATGACCCAAACCGGGAAGTTGGAGAAAGGAAATTCCTCCACAAACTTGACATGTACCTTCTGACTATCCTGTCTCTTGGCTACTTCATCAAGAACCTCGATCAAACCAACATAGCGAATGCTTACGTCTCCGGCATGAAAGAAGATCTCAAGATGAACGGCAACGAAGTGAATCTGATCGATGTCGCCTGGACTGTAGGCTACGTGATAGGGCAACTTCCATCACAAGTCATCCTCACCAAAGTACGGCCATCGGTATGGATTCCATGTTGCGAGCTAGTTTGGACAATTTTGACATTCTGTCTTGCCGCCGCAACAACCAGTAAACAGGTAATCGCCATTCGATTTTTAGTTGGTTTGGCGGAAAGTATATTCTACCCAGCGGCGCACTTCTTGATTGGAAGTTGGTACAAGCCTAGCGAGCTTGGTAAACGAGCATGTATATTCCACGCTTCATCCGCCGCCGCCGGCATGTTCTCTGGATACCTGCAAGCCGCCGTGTACAAAGGTCTCAATGGAGTTCACGGGAAAGCGGGATGGCAGTGGCTTTTCATTATGGATGGGGTCATTTCAATACCAATTTGTCTGCTTGGATTTTTCCTCATTCCAGATCTTCCCGAGAACTCCCGCGCCTTCTATCTCACCAAGGACCATCGCGAATTGGCGAAAACACGAATGGAAACCATCGGTCGCGCACCAAGAAAGAAGCTCGGATGGAGTATTATCAAGAGAGTTTTCACGAGATGGCATGTCTATGCTCTTTCGGTTCTTTACATCATCTTCATCAACAGTAGCTATAGCAGTAGTGTCAACCCGTTCTCTCTTTGGCTCAAGTCTAAGAAGTACTCGGTATCCCTCATTGTGGGTGTTTCCAACATCCAGCTCTACCTATGAACCAGACTTGCTGACATACTTGTGCTTAGAACATCATACCTACCGGCCAGTCTGCGGTACAGCTTGTCACAACCGTCAGTTTCGCGATAGTCAGCGATTACTTCCGAAACAGGGCAGCAGTGATGTCGTTCGCAGCCGTAAGAATATCCACTTCCAAATAAAATGGCCCCAAACTAAGAATATTTTTAGTGCTTCGGCCTTTTCAGTGCACTAGTCCTCGCTATATGGAATATCCCAGTGGGTCTCAAATGGTTCGCATTCTTCATTCCCAGAGCAGGTGTAGTCTATGGTCCACTAGCCATGTCTTGGGCAAATGAGATCTGTTCTGGAGACGCCGAGGAAAGAGCTATGGTTCTTGGAATTATGAATGCTGGTGGCTATGCATTCAATGCTTGGTTACCACTCTTGACGTTTCCAGCAAGAGACTCGCCGCGTTTCCGTAAGGGTTTCATCTGGTCGACTTGTGCTTATAGTGCTCAAATTGGAATGGTTGGTATTGTGGCTTGGTTATGGAGATGGGAAAAGACGAAGTCGAAGATTGTGGTTGAAGAGGAGCCTGCGATTAGGGACGTGGCTGATATCTGATATTGATTGAGCTTTAGTGATGGCCTGTATAGGAACTGGTCTGAACTTGGCTACGAATGTAGCAAATGATTGATAACTTTCGAAGCTGGGGATTTTTGATTCAAGTTTCAAAATATCGCCAGGTAAACAAGAGAAAGTTGAATGAATTTAGGACTTTCGGCTCTCTTTCCGTGTTAGTATTTATATATGCATCCTTTGACAAACTAACACGCTCTGATGTAGAGGTTGGAAATCTCTTTTTCAAGGTCGGTAACTCGACAGTTTTGATGATGGATAGTCAGGGGCATTAACAGAGATGCAGTGGACGAGTTCGAACGACGATTGCCAGATGTAATTGTTCTATCAGGTATGGAATGAGGCGAAAATAGAGTCAGATAATATAAATCACCACAACAGCGAAGACTGGATGAAGAAATTGTGTCGCATTTGTGGGAGAGTCAGTTGTAACAAGGTCAAATTCGTCACCCATATTGGTACGTGATTTCCTACTCAATTTCTATTCGAGTGTCGGTATTCCAACATATTTCTGCTTACCGGATAAACAAGTAACAACGTGCTGACTGCTTGACGTAAAAGGAAGAGATGAAAAACTTGGAGCCAATGACAGGCAATATACTGTGCCGCAGGTATAAAGTGACGCCGCCAACACCAACCAAACTCTCCTTATCGACTTGTCAGTAAGCCGTACGGTCTTTTTTTATTTCTTCTCTTTGGTTTGTAGAACTTGTTTATTGAATTCGAAGGCAAAGACATTTACAAACCATCATATCATTACCAGTCAACATGGGAGTCACACTCAGTCAATTCTTCCCTCCAACTGCCGGTTTAACGGAGGCCAACCTACCCACCCAAGAGGGCAAGGTCTTCGTTATCACAGGAGGTGCATCTGGGATTGGCTTCGAGCTTGCTTCCATTCTGTATCAAGCAGGTGGGAAAGTCTACATTGCTGGACGGTCCGAAACAAATGCAAAAGACAGTATTACAAAACTCCAAGCTCGGCCTCTGACCTCCTCGACGCAAAAGGTTGGCACTCTTGAGTTTCTACAATTGGATTTAAACGACTTCAATAGCATAAAATCTGCCGCTGAAACTTTCAAGAGCAAGGAATCAAAATTAGATGTGCTATGGAACAACGCCGGAGTATCATTACCGCCGCTAGGAAGCAAATCAGAGCAAGGATATGAACTTCAAATGGCGACAAACTGTTTAGGACCTTTCTTGTTGACACGTCTACTTCTTCCATTGCTAGAAGCCACAGCCAAAAAAGCACCCGAAGGCTCTGTCAGAATTGTCTGGACAAGCTCTCAGATCGTAGATCTCTCTCCTTCACTTGCAGAGAAGATAATGTCAGAAGTCACAACACCAACAGCAGACAAACAACGCAATTACCTTCTCACTAAAATCGGAAACTGGTTTCTAGCCAATGAGCTGGCTCGAGAAGTGGGCAAGTCAGGAATCATCAGTGTCTCTCAGAATCCAGGAAATTTGAAAACTCAATTGATGAGACATGCGATGTGGATGGCATATGCAGTTTACGCCATCACGTATCCCGCAAAACAAGGCGCTTACACAGAGCTTTGGGCTGGTTTATCGACAGAACTTACGATGAAAGATAATGGAGGCTATGTTATTCCGTGGGGAAGAGTGCATCCTGCTCCTAACGAAGAGTTGTTGAAGGAGATGGGAAGGAAGGAGAATGGCGAAGGAGGTGTGGCTCAACAATTTTGGGATTGGTGCGAAGAACAAACTGCAAAGTATATGTAAAGTGACTGTTTCGAAATGAAGACATATGTTCGAGACCTAAAGAGTTCGCTTGAGAAAAAGTAATACAATCAACATCCTACGGGAGAATACAAAACTCGAGGGAGACTAGGATTTTCAATTGTCAACTAAAACATTTCAAAGAGAGAAAAACGCGAAAACTGTTAGATTGTTCAAGACACGAATCGTAGTCCAACAAAATCCTCTGTCAACATGTACGTATGTCCAACATTTTGTGTCACAACCAAGCTGGGCTGCATCTTCCGGCTGAACGCTGCATCCAACATGATCCAACAGCTTAGCACCACCAGTGATTTTGAATATTGAAACCACAATTAGATACACAAGATTCCTTCAAGTAGTGATAAAATGCTTTTGACCGATGAAGATCTCCTCATGCGCTTAGGACTTGCAGCCCTACTCCTCTCAGCCGTAAGATTGTACCTGCCTAGGTGCTAGACTTGAGCTAAGTCTCCATAGTATCCCATATTCAAAGCGATATATAACCTCTACTTCCATCCACTAGCCTCTTTCCCTGGTCCATCCAGCTGGGCTGCCTCGCGGCTTCCATACGTCTTCTCGCTCTTGACCGGCACCATCGTCCAGGATATAGAAAAGCTGCATAGAAAGTACGGCCCTATATTGCGTGTAGCACCAAATGAAGTCACATTCGCCCATCCTGATGCTTGGAATGACATATTCCAAGTACGTCCGGGACACTTAAACGTTCAAAAAGGATCCTCTCTGGTGGGGTCGTTCACCCGGTCGAGCTGAATCTATCATCAGCGCTGAAGGGAACGATCATGCCCGGATACGCAAACTTATCAGCTATGGCTTCACACCGCGAGCATTACGAGTGCAAGAGCCCATAGTTCAGAAGTACGTAAGTTTGTTCATCGAAAAGCTTTCTGAACAAGTCCAAGGCCAAACTACTGTCAAAGTTGACGTCGTACCGTGGTTCAACTATTATACGTTCGATTTGTTTGGCGAGCTTGGTTTCGGGGAGTCCTTCAATTGCTTACAAAACTCACGGTACCATCCTTGGATAACTCTGGTATTCAACAGCGTCAAAGCAGCTTCATTCGTCACCTCAACCCGTTTCTACCCGCTTATTGAATTTGTCCTCATGAAATGCATTCCAGCATCACTGAAGAAAACTCAGGAGCAACATTTCCAACACATCGTCGACAAAGTTGAACGGCGACTTAATTGGGAGGTCCAGAAGCCGGATATCATGTCTTACATCATTGAACATAATGAAAAAGATAAATCAATGACATTGGGTGAAATACAAACGTTATTTTCAGGACTGGTCACGGCTGGTAGCGAAACCACGGCAACTTTTTTGGCTGGGACTGTCAATCATCTTGTCCAGAATCCAATGATAATGGCAACTTTAGTATCTGAAATACGACAAAGCTTCGATAAGGAAAGCGATATCACTTTCGAAGCCATGTCTAAGCTACCTTATCTCACTGCTGTGATCAATGAAGGTCTTCGACTTTGTCCACCAGTCCCGGTTATGCTACCGAGAGTCGTTCCCGAAGGAGGAGACACAGTATGCGGACTATGGATGCCAGAAGGGGTAAGCGAAGAATGCTCAATCATATGTGTTTCACTAACAAACCGACAGACAAGTATTTCCATACAAGCTTGGTCCCTCTTTCGCGACCCAACTCTGTTTCATCGAGCGGACGAATATCTTCCCCAAAGGTGGCTCGAAGCAGAAAATCCAAATTCTCAGTATTTCCAGGATCGACGAGACGTGGTGACGCCATTCAGTCTCGGCCCTAGAGGTTGCCTTGGAAAAGATTTAGCATGGGCAGAGATACGGTTGGTATTGATCAAGCTTCTGTGGACTTTTGATTTAACTGCAACCACCAACCTTTTGAAGTGGGAGAATCTGAGAACGTTCCTTCTTGTTGAGAAAAAGCCTGTGGAGGTCAACATAAAGCACAGGAGTGCATAATGTATGACAGTTTCGGTTAGGAAGTGTGTTTGTACCCAACCCAGAATGAGAAGTAGAGCATCTTTGTAAACTATGAGACATCTGTTCTCTAATGCTATCTTTCTTTGGTACAGTCAGCAGTAAGTATTCCAGATTCATTGCTTTCGACTCATGAGCCAGGAAGCAATTGGGCAGAATTGTTTGTAATCTACTCAAGAGCCAAAGTAGTATTTTATTAATGTATCAATCCAGTTTTGAAGGTACAAGAGTGCGTTTGCTCTCTTTTGGGGCATTGTGTTTCCCTTGTTGCTGATTCATAGTTGTTGACAGCTTGTTTCAAATCCACACTTCTGAGAGAAATTTGAGTGCATATAAAGGAGGCTTTGGGTACAATGATTTGCTTCCTTAATATTCATTTCGTGGAATACGCCTAGACACACTGAAGCGAAGGATTTGTCCTGAAGGAATTTTGATAATCACATCCCCTGACTAAGAAGGACACCATATCCCATTATATCGGACGGTTGCGCCGTCAACTTCTCCTCGCTTCATACCATGACTGGCGTGGGTGGTATCGTTGCCCTTATGGATGATGGTAAGCAACCGAGAAACTCTCGAAAATAGTTTTGCTAATAAATACTTGCAGTATCGAGTCAGTAAATCGAAATTAAAAGGACAGATACAAAAGAACTAGGCCTTTTTGCGAAGGTTGAAATACCGCGTGGCACTTATATCTGTAGAGAAGACCGTCTTTTCAAAGCCAATGATGGACTTGAAATACTGCTTGGGTTCTCAAGACTGACATCTTCGCAAAAGAAATCATACTTGGAACTCCACGCATATATATCCGATCAGGTCAAGACTCTTGCGGAGCAAACAGGACGTACTTGGGACGAAATTTCGGAGATGGATCGAAAGATCTTGTCAGTCCACGCGACCAATAGTTTCGAGGATGGGGTGTTCCTGTTTGGTTCTCGCTTCAACCACTCATGCGCTCCGAACGTTGCGTTCTTATACGATTCGAATATGGCGAAGATGAGTTTTCGTGCCACAAGTAATATTCCAACCGGAGAAGAGCTCAACATCTCGTACATCAGTTTGCCTGATCTTCCTCGCAGCCTTCGAAAAGAAAAATTGAGTCATTGGGGCTTTATATGCACATGTCTCGCCTGTGAAGATTCCCCACGAAGCGAACAAGGAGAGCGGAGACGACATGAGCTTATCAGAGTCGCTTGCGAACCTTAGGAGGTTTGGACCTCACACAGAACAATCATGGCACCACGTTTCGAAGTTGACGCAAAAATTTGCTGCGATCCAATTTGCGGAAGGGCTGCCGAGTGCAAATCTTTCCGAATCGTGAGTGAAAATATTATCCTAGTCAGCATGGTTCTGACAATTATCTAGTTTTCAGGTCGCCGCTTTTTATTGTTGGAAATTAAAGGAGCGCAGAATGACATACTTGTACTTGGAGAAAAGGTTAGAGTTGCGTTGTTACTACGCCGGAGAAGACCATCCCGATAATCGGGAAACATTTGATACCGTCAAAAGGATAAAGAAGGTAATAGAAAAGTCAGAGCCTTTTGATGACATTGTTAGAGGATGGTTTGACAAGAGAAGTATGAGATTTTAGTTAATGGGGTAGCAAGTGTGTACGGAGAGAGAGAGAGACTTTCTGATTTGCTAGAGTTGTGTATCCATTCTAAATTTCAAGATTTTGGGATATTTTGGCAGCTCTCGAGCGGTGAAAAATATAGCATGTGCTTGACCGCCTGAAGAAAGGAAGATAAGAAATCACCCCCAAGCGTCTTGACTAAAGACCAATGACCCATAACTAAAGCGAACTGATCCTCGTCCCTTAGTCCGGCTTAGCAGCTGACACGCTAATACATGCTAACGTGCCCAAGCAAGATGGATTACAGGCTTCACCAGTGAGTTGCAAGTCTAACGGATCACCTCCTTCCAGTAGAGTACTAAGATTCAGCCCAAAACACTAAATTACTCAACGTTTAGAAGGCGAAACATGTACGTAAAGGATATCCCGTCTGGCAATATACTAGTATTTCGTCGATACTACGCCGGTGGAATGAACACTTAGGCAGCGCAGGGGTCACGGTCTGGGTCAGGTATTGTCAGCCTCTTTCTTGCAGTCGATTGACTACGTCAGAAGAATTTGCGAGGTATACCATCGTTAACAACACTCGGCTAATGAATCCAGATGGGTTTTAAGAGCAATGAAGTGCAACTTGAAGCAAGCTCTGGATCGTAGGCCCTGCTTTCACGGAATTGCCAACACAAGCAGTCTGCGCTCCAAAATGGATGTTTTCCGTGTTTGGGTCAGCAAACTGACAAGCGGCGGTATGTCAACTTTGTGGTTATTGGAACGTCAAGACTGCTATCGGAGCACCAAGAGCGTAAATCGACGAGTTTGCGACACAACAAGAAATTATCGGTAGACCGGATGGGCAACCATACACAACAAATAGGATATCCTGAATTGTTCGCTGCGATACAATGTCGATAATAGCATGACTAATTAAAGACTGTCTGTCAGCTTCTATAAAAGCACTCGCATAATACGGGGACGTCAGAAGCGACACCATCCGGAACGCCATGTTTATACTTGCAGAGCCCAATTGATTATCGATATCCATACTCCGGTTTTCCCCTTTATATGCCAAATTTGGTATCAAATATCCTCATCATCACCTGGTTGGTATATGTGACGACTTCTCGTCTGGTCCTTACGCATGCTTTGACCCGAACCTGTAAATCCAACTGCAAATCATCAGTAAATAGCCCCAGTAGAAATTGGTCCCGAAGTTTACCTCGACCATGTACACCTTCTGGTGTGCGGAACATGCTGTCCTTTTTCCCCGCCTTTCCGAACTTCCCTTTGGCCGCAAAATCCTGCCACTTGTTTTTGCCAGCTTCCAATTCTTTATTTGCCTTGATCTTTTTTGGGACCTTAGCGGGTCTTACAGGACCGTCACTAACCTTACTTGGTTCTCGCTTTGTCTGCTGAGCGAGTTCAGGATTAATGTCTGCCGCAGCGGAGATCACGTTCGTGGTCGTAGGCGGCGGAGGTATAGGAGCTGTGACTGGTGTTCCATCAGCTTTGCGCTTGTTTGGATTGACAATGGGTTTGATGTCCTTGGCTCGCAGTGTTTCGGTCGTGTCGTAGCTCTTGAATTTAACGATATATACAGGCGCAGTCGAAGAACCAGTAATAGAGGTGATTCTCGCAGGATAGAATCCTTTATCGCCGGAATGCCACTTTGCTAACACCGTATCATTTACCGCAAACTTGGTCGGTGTATCGGCCTCTTCGGGAACAGGAGTCGATGAGGTCTTCTTGAACGCTGGATGGTTTTCGCGAGACCACTTCTCCTTTACGGTTGGCTCTTGTTTCTTTGGTAATGCATTTGGCACTGAAGAAGGCTTTAGTTCTTCGATCGACGCTTCAGTGAGGGAAATGACTTCTTCGAGTTCGGTCCTTAGATCCCGAAGCTCTGCACTGTCGGGGTCTGCCTGTAACCCGGATTGGACTGCTTCTAACTTTTTGAACATTACTATGTGTCCGCGCCACAAGAGCCGTGAAGAGGAAGAAGGCGGACCTGAAGTTTATATTCCTTAATCTCATTTTCCAAAGCAGCAATTTCGCTGGCCATTTTCTAGACGTCGAGTGAAGCGAGACGTTCTGCTTCAAGTGGATTCAAGAGCTCGGTCGGTAGTCAGAAGTTTTATTGCGAGGCAAACGCGTGAGGCTTCAATAAATAAATCTATTAGGCGCGACAGTGATGTGACCGGATTGAATCTTGAAAGTTGAGGGGCGACGAGCAGCCTGACGGGAAGGTGGAACCACCGGTTACGTAAGCGAGGCTGTCCGAGGCTAGCACTCGACGTCTCAATGAACATCCCCCAACAAGCATCCCTATCAACAACATCTGGCAAGTGCATACAACGTGAGCATCCAAGATGCAGGGCTTTAATATGGGGCGTTACGTCCCTCCGGACCAGGAGGGAGTGGTGAGCGGAAATCAGCTTCACGGGAAACATGCTCTTGGAGCGCGCGCAAACAAGATATCCCAAGGAATCCTCACTGTACGATTCGAAATGCCTTTCCCTATATGGTGTACACACTGTCCCAAACCCACGATTATCGGCCAAGGTGTTCGATTCAATGCGGAGAAGAAGAAAGTGGGCAACTACTACTCATCGCCGATATTCAGCTTTCGCATGAAGCATGTGGCCTGTGGTGGTTGGATAGAGATTCGGACGGATCCGAAGAACACGGCATATGTGGTCACTGAGGGCGCGAGAAAGAGAGACTTGGGCGAGGACAAGGTCATGGATGGCGATCTGAAGATAATGACGCAGGAGGAACGGGAGGCTATGAGAGATAATGCCTTCGCATCCCTGGAAGGAAAGGTAGAGGACAAAAAAAGATTGGAATATGCCAAGCTGCGGCTTGAAGAGTTACAGGAATTGTCTGAGAAGCAGTGGGAAGATCCCTATGAGAAAAATCGTAATTTGCGGAAGGCCTTTCGCGTTGGGAGGAAGCAGAGAGAAGCAGATGCTGGGGTGACCGCTACGCTACAGGACAAGATGAGCCTTGGCCTTGATCTTTTGCCGGAGAGTGAAGCTGATGCAAGAATGGCTAAGCTTATTGATTTTGGTAGCATTGATACGGAAAAGCATGTACCAAAATCGATTTCGAAGCCTCTATTCGAAGAGAATGTCCCACCACTGGACTCTAATTTACCGAAAGGAAAGAAAATGTTAAGATCGGAACAGTTGGCTGAACAGCGAAAGAATGCAATCAAAAATGAGATAAGAACTAATACTAGGGTTGCCTTAGATCCTTTCTTGGTTCTGTCAAATCCACAGGCCAAATCTGGAGGAAAGTTGGTGCTTTCAGGTTTGAAAAGAAAGAGGCTTGAATCTGATGAGACACCCTTACCGGGAGCTCTGCCGGACGCCACAAGTGGCAGCGCGTTGGTAGATTATGATTCCGATTGATATGACGTCCAAAGTTCCGATGTACGACTTCAGCAAACGGCCATCTTGGTCCTTGCGTTACATGGTGTTTTGGCTTAGATTGAGGCCCGGAAGCTAAGATGCCCCGAATTCTACTCTTGACAAACCGCGTGTGGACAAGGTGTGTGCAGTTCCAGAAGAACATGGTCCAAGTAAGATCAGACGATTTGGCTGAAACTTCCGCTTTGACGGTAACACAGATATATAAAGCCCAACCACCACGAACACCAAAGCCTCTGGCGTCCGAATTGTACTACTGGCACACACATCTAAGAAGTAACAAAACCCATGCAAAAGAATGTCTCCTCAGGGCTGGTCACGAGACCAGTTGTGTGCATGAGGACTTCAAAGATGATACTACTGGGGCTATGAGATAATTCTACGTCAATCAAGATGTGGTTGAGAGGTCCTTCTGAATGTCTAGCGTTTGAAGATTGCTGGTGCGCAAACATCAATGCTGTAGGGAAAAAATAGTATTATCGTTTAACCAGGCTGGAAGAAATCTCGCTTGCCATCGAGAAGTAGAGTCATAAAGTACAAAATTAACCCACAAGCTATGCTCTACAAAGTCACGCCAAAATATGAAAAGGAGTCCTGTTTTCATCTTGTAACGCTTACTTCCACCGTTCTCATGATTCCGACCCTTCTTGCCCTCCTTTCCGTTCTTCCCCTTCTCACCCTCTCCCTTTCTCTCCGGGCGTATCTAATCCCCTCAACCTCCAATTCCACCTCAAGCTTTTCCAACTTACTCATCCTACTACTGCCAGCACTAATCCCACTGTCACGTCTCCACAAACTCTTCTCCTCTTCGACACTTAACCTACTTCTTTCTCTTCCCCCTCCTTGGATATAAATCCCATAAGTTGGCTTAGGTCCCATAGGAATGTTCGCCATTGTATCTCTGCCGTTCATACCCTCTTCTTTGTCATGACCCAAACTCAATGGAAGGCTGATTTTCGGATCATGGCCATCATCTCGTGGTTGGCAGAATCGATAATTACGATGAGTCTTCGCATGTAAGATCATGATATCGCTTTTTGATGGCCGCCGGCCTAGTCTCATGGACGTTCGGGTTTTGATTGATGAGGCTGTGTCGAGAAGCGACGAGAAAAGAGGTCGCAGTGGGGGTAGAGAGGCAGCTAGGATTCCGGTATTGAGTTCCACGCTGTTCCAAATGTTGAACGAGTTATTGAAGAAAGAATCCGTATTCTCGAAGAATGATGAAAGCAGATACTCTTTTATTATAGACGCAGCGCAAGCACTAAATTGCTATTAGCATTGATTCGCACTGGGTATGGAGGCACATACGAATAACCCAGCCCAAGAATACATATTAGCGAAATCTTGGTTCTGAGATTGATGCTCAAACCTAGAATTATAGGGACCGGCAGAGTAGCGAAAAGAAAATCCGTGAAAATGTTGACCGCACCGTTAAACAGACCAATACTACGAAAAATATCAAGGTCGTAACATCTCGTTCTGGGACTTGCACGAAGAGAAAAATCCCAAGCGGCGTCGATCGGAGTGCATTGGAAGATCCTTGTCCAAGTTAATTCAAACTTGTAGAAATTCGTACTCGCAGTCGGAGTTGACTTACAATGTGCCTACGCAAGCCAAAGTAAAGATGAACAAAAAGCACATCCAAATAATGATAGAACGCTAGGATTTCAAATTAGCCTGACCCGCAGCTGGGGAAAGCAACCACATACTTTGAACCATTTCCCTTGGACTAGCCTAATGAGAAAGAACCCAACAGATATTTTCACTGCACTAATACCGACGACAATGATCCAACCATGAAAATAGCTATAATGCAAAATCTCTTGTAAATTGGAGATGAGATGAGGATTTCCGATGTGCTCTCCTACTCCAGCATGTACTTCCAGCACATAGAAGACGAATGCTACCACCGAGCATATCTGTTGCATTTTAGTTGCGAAGCTACAATCGAATGTAAAACTTACCGCAGCACAAATCATCGCATAGTCATCCATACCAGTAGATTTAAGTATTGCGATTCTCACGTACATTCGTAAGATAACTGCCGTACAAGCAAATGCGGTGAAAAAGCCAGTGATCGCCAGGATTCTCTGCCCATTGTTTTCCAAAGAGACCGGCTCAAAGTTGAAGGGAGATACAGCATGGCGTGGTAAATACATTTTGGTAGGTCTCTCCAGCAGTTCGCCTGCCAGAAGCGAAGCCTTGGTCGTTGCTTCTTCGATATCAGTAGCTCCTGAACTCCAAGGGCAAATGATAGTAAATCTATAGGAGCTCAGCTATAAGGTAAAAACCCAGGAACGAAGCATTTCATATGCAAGCTCTTCGGCATTGTGTACCCCGGGTTTGCTACTCAGCAACCCAAACCAGGTGGACATCCTCGACAAAATCTGCCATATTCCGCCATGGCATTTCTCATTAATCTGGTATGATTGGCGAGCAATACGTCTGGTATGGCACCCAAATGGCTTCAGATACCCAATCAACACTCAAGCTTTCAGAAGGATGCAACCCGGGAAACCACAATTCCCACGCACATACACGCCACCAGCAGTTCGCCGTCAAAATCTCCAAAGTTCAGACGGCCTCTGCTTCACGGGAAGGAAATCGGGCCAAAGACGGGATGAACCCATATAGCCTGATGTGTGTGTTCCGTAATGCGGGGAAAACCATCTTGAGCAAGGCGGCCCAACCATTTTACAAGGAGACAGATTGGTGAGCTGAGTAAAATAATGCAAGCCTCACGCAGATTGAGCTCCTGGCATCTGACAAACGACAAAAGCAAAGCCAAAGCTGCGGTCAGGTCTTCACACCACCTTTTTATGGAAAAGGTATATCCGAGCACTACTCGGTCAAGAAATATATGTAGAATAGAGACGATATATCGATGGATTTGACATTGCAAGACACGACGTCCTTGCAAGCAACAGCACCTTGATTTTGCAAGCTCGCCTCTTGCAAAGCTGAACAGGAACGGAAATGGAGAAAATAGGTGATGAACGTGTCACGAAGGGTCAAAATTCTAGCAGTAGCTCCCCTCGTGAAATGCCATATGGTGGCTCCGTCTCAAACATGGTTGAAGCAGTTGATAAATGCAGGGTTGTAGGCCGTGGTCATGGAAACACAAAGCAAGAATCGAGGATGGTACGTCACGTGATGGAAGGTCCGTGGAAAATATCATTTCCTCTGAGAACTTCTCAAATAGAACTTCTCAACACCATAACATGTCCCGACGACTTGATTCTCTGAGCGACGCTTCAAACGCCGAGATGCTCTTATTTCCAGGCGCTTTCTCATAAACGGAAGGGCTTAACTCCCACAGGACCGGAGTAGGTGGTCGGGAATACAAACCTACGAGTTCATTCTGGACTCGGCTTACAGAATGATGCAGACTTTCTACCTTTCCGCCACGCGTTGTACTACAGTGTCTCCAGCCAAGACGTCGGTTGCAAATGGTATGGCCGCCCATGCTATTTCCTATGCAGAGGCTGGTCGGTCGGCCGCAGGCAATGATACCGGACTAGCATCGACTGCCCTCTTCCTCTCTCGGTTGCATGCAGAAAGATGTCTCCTATTTTCCACAGCTTACCGTTGCCGTCTCAATCTGAAGTTGGGATGCTCTTTGAAAATAGGTTTTATATCCCGATGACTTGGTACTGCCAAAGAAACAACAGGCTTCTGTCCTCTGTAGGTTGGGGAACAAATGCCAGCGTTTGCGGATTTTTATCAGAAAAACACCACAACCGAACCCGAAAGAGCTATTGTCTGCAAGGCTTCTGCGTAGATGAAGTGATCTTCTTTTTGTGTTGGTCGTCTTCGGACACTCGATATCAACTCATCTCGTCACAACGTCTTTCACGCCCACCTTATTGCTTTCTAGCTGTTGGAAACCTTCGTCTCGCGATGCCACCTATGCGCAGATCGCAATTCTAAGTTCAAGCAATGTAGTTGTGCTCGTATAACGCATTTACGAAGATGAACCTTTAACCAGCGTCCTAGCCGTAGTCATTTGGGAGAGATCGCTTCCTGCCAATCAGGGCAAGCACATTCGCTAGCTAGTACCTACGTAACTTGCAGTACTGACCAGTTGACAGGGCAGAATGGCTTCACTGATAGAAATCTACCCATGTATGTCAGCATTCATGCTGAAACAATATATTTCAATGGTCGTGCCCAGGATTACCTGATTGCAATACAACATTTAGGCTGAAACGTATATCTCGACTTCAGATACATATCTACATGTTCTACTCCAAGTACTCACGGGTCTACTTGAAACTTTGCTGGCTCCATCGACGATATAAAAGCTACCGCGAAACTCATATTTTTTTCCCTTTCACCCTACAGATTGATGATCAGATTTATTTTCTTCCCTTTCCGTTTCCCCGTATTTGGAGACTTGTTGCTGAATAGACATTTGTTTGGTAAGAGTCCATACTCTGAATACACATAAGATGCTATCATCAACAAGGCATGTTCTGCAATATTTAATCCTTTTGTCCTCCTCTTCACAATTGGCTTGTGGGACGGCAACTCCAGATCTGGGCTGGAAAGCCGGTTGGAAGCCAGCTTCTTCATCTCTGTCGGATGCTCTTGCATCAAATGGTCTAACTAATCTTCTCAATGCGGACAAGACTCACTGGAGTCCTGATTGTTCCATAGAAACTGCTGTCAAGCGTAAAGAATGGTATGTCATAAGAGCCTGAGAATATTCTTTGTTTGACTGTGGCAGGACCTCTTTGAAACCTGGCGATCGAAAAGCCTATACAGATGCGGTTGTATGCTTGATAAATAAACCATCTCTAATTAGCCAATCTGCGATGGCATCTTCAGCGCCCGGGGTGAAGAGCAGGTACGTTTTAACTGCCGGAGTTGTGCTACGCCAAATATATGCTAAAGCAGGCAGATATGACGATTTTACCGCAATTCACATCAATACCACCATGACAGTACATGCGACGGTAAACGGTGTCACATCTCATTAAGTAATGGACTTGTGGTGACAATCAGCAGGCAAACTTTCTCGTATGGCATCGTTACTTTCTCCTCGCTTTCGAGACTGCACTCCGCGATGAGTGCGGGTACAAAGATTATCTTCCGGTTTGAATAGTACTGACCTCCTGCCATCGATACCAAACTAATCCATATTCAAAGTACTGGAATTGGGCAATTACTGCCCTAGATCCTATCAATTCACCTGTATATGATGGAAGCGAGTTTTCGATGGGTGGAAATGGGGTGTACGAAGAACACAATTGCACGAATGGTTTGTTTAGCACTACTGAACCACCACTGGGCTGTATTCCTGCGGGTGAGGGGGGTGGATGTGTTGAGACTGGTCCTTTCAAGAAGTAAGCGTGTCAGAATAAGCAATCTTTGCTAAGATTACTAAAGGCGATGATTCAGTTATACTGTCAATCTCTCGCCCATGCGACCTAGTTATCCAGATCCAGCGCTCAATGGGTCTCTGCCAGCACTCTCATATCTCCCACGATGCTTGCGACGCGATGTCAGCCCTTGGATCTCGAGCAACTATACGAGAGATATAGACATTGCGAATCTCATCACCGAAAATCCGGACGTCTGGTGGTTCCAAACCATCTTTCAAGGAAATGGCTTCCCCGGAGGCAATTATGGTGTTCATGCTGGAGGTTAGTTCCATCCCTGTCGGTCCCTTTGTCAGAACCAGCCTCACTGGAATTAGGTCACTTTACTGGAGGTGGTGATCCAGGCGGAGACTTCTTCACTTCGCCGGGCGAGCCAGTATTTTGGCTTCATCACGCGATGGTTGATAGAACTTGGTGGATATGGCAAAATCAAGACATCGCAAAGCGACAGTATGCCTTTGAAGGTACAATCACCTTCAACGATAGCCCGCCTAGCAGAAATGGAACATTAGATGATTGGCTTGATATTGGTATTCTGGGAGAGCAGTTGAAGACAAGGGATATCATGAACACTGTTGGAAACGGGTTGTGCTATTTATATGTTTGAGATGGCCTTCAAAAATGGGGTGGTGAAGTGTTCGAAGCTGGTACAAGCATGCAATAGAGTTCGGCAAATGGGACGACATGCTACTTTACAGGACGTTGCAACATATTCAGAGAGAAGGTTTAGATCTCTTCCAAGCCGCGCGTTCTATCAAAGGTCGATCATTTTCGATCCAAAGAGGAAGGTAGATACTGTATTTTCTGGTCACTTACTTCATGCCCACCCTTGGACACGTGATCCATGACTCATACTGTAACTTTCCAATATAATTCAACGCCAATTCTGCTTAACTAGCTTGACCGCCTCCAGTTTAGTTGAACTAAGCTTTTGCATCCAAGGTCCCCCAATTCTTAACTCGCACGACCAATCACCATGGCGCCAGTAGTAGCATCCTCCCCTCGCTTAACCCTCCAAGTCTTCTCCGTACCCGACCATTTCGAGGCTTACTACGAACTAGAAATGGATCCCGAGGTCACCAAATGGTCCTCAAATCCACCCTTCAAAGATAAAGAGGAAGTTCTGCAGAAACTCAATAATCGACGTCCCACACCTGAGAAACCTTGGTCTCAGACTTGGGCTATATGTTTGAAACCCGAGGATCCGGACGTTGATGAGGGTAGTGGGAAGTTTGTTGGGGCAATAGGTTTGCCGAGAGAGATTGATGTTGGGTATAGGATTTCTCGGGCGTATTGGGGAAAGGGCTTTATGACAGAGGCGTTGGTCATGTTTGTGGATATGTTTTGGAAGTTGGATGGTAAGATTGTGTTTTATTCCTTATGGGACGTTGAATACGGGAATCTGGAAAATAAATAGTGCAGAGGATGCGACTGACATTGTATAGATTATGCGAAATACAACAGAATTTCTGCTCATGCTGATTCAGAAAATGGAGCTAGTATGAGAGTTATGGAGAAGGCTGGGTTTAAGAAGGGAGAGTACAAGAAGGCATTCTATGAAAGAGGTGCTGTTCCCGGTGTGAAGTTGGATTTGCAGGAGTTTTATATCGAAAGACCGACTAGCTAGCATGTATGGCTTCTCATCCGTCCGGAGTCATAGTGGTTCGAAATTCAGAAATTGATAGGTTTGGTGTCTCAATTTACTGCAAATGTTAGAATAATGGCCAGACAAGCTCTGTGTACACCTTTTGGTTGAGTTTCTCTGGTACCAGAGAACTTGTTTTACATCCATGCTGTTAAATAATCGTTTCATAAAAAGCTACTATAAAACGCCTCTTAAGAAGTAGTAGTTGATGGAATCGACGCCTCAAAAGTTCCGACCTAGGGGTTATGTTCACGGTTGTAGGATCTATAAATTATATCGGGGTTTCCGAGTCAAGGGAGGCGTGTCTCCTGTCACGAAAACCAAGTCTGAAATCTGCTATATTTTACGCCAGGGTGTCAAAATTGTCGTTTTAGCAGGATCTTCATAAGTTCATCTAGGAATTTACTAAGCATACATTGTAAGTTTCCAGATATGTTATTTCAGAAAGTCTGCATTTTGATCTGCATAATTTATGGACACCAACTGCAAAAATCCACTATGTAATAAGATTTCCCATCAGTTGAGTTGCTCCAAGCATGTACTCACTTCATCTCCAGAACCGAGTTCGATGCCAGATAAGATCATGCATTGACCAAAGTCACTCCCAGATGCACCAACAAAACCCACAATCTCGATTCTTAACATTTCTGGTGTTTCCGTCCCTTGCCTGGAAACCGTTTCGCTACAACATTCCATCCATCTGTATCAAACATCTGTCCACTAGCCACTGTCACACCGTTAGGATGAACTGTACACTGTTCAATGATATCCCCCACGTAATCTGCGATAGTAGAACAAGGAATGGTCATCGGATCATCCTTTTCGGAACACAAAACTATCTCAGCCATGCCCACACAAGAAACCTCAGTGCAGGTCTGACCTTTAACTTCGCACTTGGCGTCTGGGAGTCGCAGCTGGTCCATGCCCTGTTTGAGCTGGTTGACGTCTGCTGCATTCCAAGGATGGCCAATTAAGTGGTTGCATAATCCTGGTTTATTTTCTGTTCTTTTCGTGTTGGATTCAGAGGACTCGTATGTCTCAGCGTTGAGAAGGATTTGAGATTCAATATCGATGTCCGGATGAAGTAATTTAGCTTGTGCGTATATATCTTCGATTGTACCTGTAAGATTAACTTTATGACCGCCGAGCATACCGCAAAACCTCATAGTAGCCTTCGGTTCTGAAACATCTGGGACGAGAGGAGTACTGATGCAAAAGCGGATGAGGTTGATCACCCATATGGCGAGGGTGATGGAGTGCATTTCGCCTATCTTCGAGAGATGAGCCAAATGCTCATCAGATGATTGTTGTGTTGTTAGAATAAATAATGGTCTTGAGACAGTCGGTATTTTGCTTATTGCGAACTGTGATGATCAAAAGAGAGAGATCATTCAAAGAAAGGACAGCGGGTCTCTATTTGTACCCATGATTCGCTTCTCGCATTCCCAGTCATAGGTTTCCACGTTAGTGACATTGCTAGATCTCTAATAGGGCTTCAGTGTTCGCTTGCAAGCAATCTTAACTTTCTCTTAATTATCTTCGGATCTGAGTCAAGTGAAGCGCCCTGGTAGTCATACTGTTTTTAGAATCGGAGTCCTCGAACATAAGCGAAATCAAGCGAAAGAAGAAGGCTTCTATGACTTAATTTGTAATAATCTTAGTGGTCTATTCGAATCTAGATAGACAAAAATGTTTCCTTAGAAGAGAACGTTATCCTCTACTTTTGATTCGGCGTGAATTGTAATCCTATAAGAGTAAGCCACTTTGAATTAGTCCCGATGATGACTAGCACGTGCGAGTAAGATGAGCGACACTGTCTGCCGCACACCTGTTCCTTTGGCTCTAAGATTCACGGACGGTATATATTATCCGTCGTTATCACAACATATGTCCCCTTTCGTACAATTATACGGTCACCCCACAGAGCGAAGGAATGTCCTCAACATGTATACTACCGCAATTTCTTTGTGTCAAAATGACCCCATAGTAAGTCTCCTGAGGATAACTTGATTCTTTACATGAGATAACTATGCACATGCCTACTCGAACTAGTTATCTCTTTCAATTGGATTCCCTGTATGGCTTCAAAATTAGCCTAGATACGAAGATTTGTTATCATTATACTATTAACAACTACTTCCAATTATTGATGCAATATCCTATACTACTATACATATAATACAGCCAATATGTCCGTCTCGAGTAAATGCCGAAACACCTCCAAACGCCGTCCAATCGCCTTCTTCCTGACCAATAGATAATTATCATCACATATCAACCTTCCTCAGACTGCTAGCCCGCCTCTTAGCCCCACCCATTCCCCATTCTCCCCCCTTGACCTGGCTCAACCTCCCTCTTAATTGAGCACCCAGACCCACGTTACTACCTCGACTATCATCCCATTCACTTTTCTCCTCGCCCTCCCAACCCGACAAACCTTCCTTCCCATCTTTGCCTTCTTTCTTTACGTCGCCTTTATTCAGCTCATCTAATCTCCTCATTTCCTCGATCGCGCTTGTCAAATAATTCCAGCTCTCAACGAGGCAATCATTAGCTTTCTTGCCACAATCGCAGTCACAGCCGCCAGGACAGTGAGTATTTCCATGTGAGTGATAGGACAGGAGGCAAGACTGGTGAGTCACACAGCCACAAGATAGACAAGAAGCGAAAAGTGCGGAGACAGGCTCCACGCATATCGTGCAGCGCAATTGACGTTGGGTGTGTTTGCACTTTTCGCAACGACCGACAGCTCCGCCGCCACCAAGATGAGCATCGAGCGGTTCCAGTCGTGTCTCGTGCTTCAGGCAGTACCCTGTGACGTTGAGACCATGATCATTTGATGGTCGAGTTGGAGGTGGTATGTCTTTCTTGCCAAGAAATATTGGTGAAGGAGGTGCGACATCGAGGGCTGAGGTCAGAGTATTGTTTGAAAGGACTGACGCAGCATAAGACTTGTTGTCCGATGACTCAGTCTCTATGAAGTTCTCTTTGAGGCCGTTGAATTTCAGCACTTCAAGTCGAGCTAATGGGTGGCCCCATAGAAAAAGAAGTTCTGCGTAAGCTCTGCGATAGCTGGCATACAGCGAAGAATGGGTGACCTCCAACAACCCGGAATTAAGACACCCTTCGTCGTCGAAAGCGCTTTGGTTTTCCATGGTGAGACTAATTCCCGTGCAAATCGTGGGTTGCCAATCATCTTTCATGTCTTCGTCGTCCGAGTAGGAAGATATGTCCAAAGAATGCTGCTCTTTCACACTACCAAGCACGGTAGCCCCTCCCCATGTAACTGCATTCACTATGTTGTCAACGGGACTAGGGCGTTTACGACTTGGCGGTGGATTTGGGGGTGACGAAGAGGCTGCCATCGAAAAGGGACGCGACAAAGCAGCTAAACTCGTTGCTGCAAACCCCGAGTTCACTCGGCGAAAGCTTCTTGCATTATCTGGAGACGTTGACAAGCTTTGGGTGGTGTTGTGGAGTTGTTCCTGACTTCCTCGCGCCGAGCGAAGAGGCGGCGTTTCTCCACAGGAGTACGAGGTCGAAGCAGGATCGCTGCCCCAAGTACCTCCATTGGAGGACCCAACTGAGCCATACAACCCTGACGGGGTCTGAGAGATCTTTGGTGTTGATACAACGGAGTTGATTGGAGTTTTAAGGTATTTACTCCACGCAGCGGCGTCGGTTGGAAAATAGTCAAGAGAGAACGCTGGTGTTTTCATGGGTAATGGTGTTTGTGGTTGTGTCATATGCATCTCCGGGCGAGCAATAGACTCTTCAGAATGCGGTTCATTGAAAACGCAAGACAGCATGGCTAGCATCTGAACATCGGCAAGCCGCTCGTAGTGAACGAACAAATCACTAATGAGCTGTTTTGCAAGTGGGCTGTGTCCCCACTTCACTCGTCCAGATAAACTATTTCTACGGCCGTGAGAATCATATGAAACATCTAAACCACTGTCAGATCCACTGTCTCTACGATGTCGCTTGGCAGCTTCCTTCGCAATGACGAATATCGGTTGGCTACGGTGAGTCTGATCAAGCAGCTCTAGTGGCACCTCATTATGTAGAAGCATAGCCGCATATTTCCATACATCTGCAGTCTCAACAAAACCGTGCTTCTCAGCGACAGCTGCATTGTGCTCACATACATCTGGCCCATCGCCAAAGATTGCATACTCGTCTGCGAGAGCTACCTTCGATGGCAGAAGGTCCGAGATTTGATGAAGAGAGACTATGTTCTTTGGTTTAGATGTGTGTCTCCGACCACCAATACCTGTGCCGGTTCCTGTCCCGGTCCCCGTACCAGCTGCGCTGGATCTCTGAGACAAGATTGTTGGTGGACCTCTGATCCAGGTTTTATGACCTTTCACATTGCCAAAATACTGGGCAATTGGGAATCGGTTAACCCGATAATGCGATGAATCTGAACCGCTTGAAGACGATAGCTCAGATTCTTCAGATGCATCCGAGTCGGTCTTGCTCTCTGAAGCAATAGATACACTCTTCACACGGGGGACAGGAGAACTGTTGTTATGTAATCTTCCAAAGGTCTCGAAACTTGGTTCGCCTCTGGAACGAGCGTTATTGTTGGCGACAAGTGTTTCCAGAAGTGATTTAACCTTATCTTCCTTAGGTGGAAAAAAGCAGGCTAGTTTCCCGTTCGGTGAAAATCGAGCACCGCAGAGCCTGGGTAGAGGAACATTGGCATTTCGGTTGACTGGAGTGAGCATATCTCCCGTAGCGCTCGAATCAAGCTCTTGAGACATCATTGCTGAGGCGCCAGCGGGTATGTCAACATCGTCATCATCACTCGAGCTTTCATCTGCCAGTGCTCCGAGATCCTCATCGCTATCGATGCCTTCGTTGAAGAAAGTCGTGCTTGTCTCCAAGTCAACTTCACCTAAAAGGTAGCAAAGAGTGGCTTCTAAACAGCCTTGTCGACGAGAAACAAATTCTGAGGCGATTTGGTGTACCTCTCGTTTCAATTTTTGATGAATCTCGTCTGACATCAGCGATGTTTTCCCCAAGGTAAAGGTAGGCGCTTTACTCTCCGGATACTGGTTGGGAAATGTAATCGTAGCTTTGATATATATCGGGTTGCCGTTTTCTCCCCACGGACCATTCATGGAGGCTTCTATAGTTCTTTTGTCCATGTTCACATCGTCGAATGTGATCTTCGGAAGCTGTTCATGAATTCGGATGATTTCGTCATGTAAGCTTTCTGGATGATCCCAATCGCCGTCATCTTGGAATTCTGGGCTCAAAAGAGAGAACCGTCGTGAAGTGGGACGTCTCTGTTGCGTGTTTGAATTCTCCAACTTAGTGAACTTGATACCACTCATCCAACCAATTTGCTTTTGGTTTTGGTCGTCAGATTTTGATGATTTATCTTTTCCTGTGACAGCTGGTGCTGGAACCATCATGTGAGTTCGAGTATTACGCCGATAGGACATTTTCTTCATTCCAGCGCTCAAAGCAGAAACCTTGAAACCAGATGTACCCGCTATACTTCCGGTGAGTGTGCCTCCCTTCTTCTCAGTCGAACCGCTCTCCACAGTGCGAAATGTCTTGTATGCTGCTCCTTTGCGCGTAACATTCAGCTTTCTGTGCACTTGACTTCCTTTCACATAGCCCACTTTCTCGAGTGTTTTAGAACTGACATGCTCCAAGCGCAGCTGATTATCTTCACCCCAGGAAACAAGCTGAAACTCGCGATTATCAACGCCTTCATCTGTGATGCCACCGCGACTCCTCCACAGGAACTCTTTCACTTTGTGGTTTCCGTGGCCAGAGAAAGTCGCAACAGTAGATGCTGCCACTCCTTCTTGATTTTCTTCATGCTTTCGACGATCATAGAGATGCAGAACACCTGGAGTATCTTGCGGCATGGCCAATATGCCCCATCCGAATGGTGTATGACGAGCCCTCCAAACCGGAAAATCTGTGCGAATCAACCGTTCGGGTTCATCTAGCTCATTACTATAGTCCCATGATTTAATGCTTTTATCTAAAGAACACGTTATTAGGCTAGTAGCCCGTGTTCGATTCCAGTCTACTCCGTAAATCTTTGATTCGTGAGCGTTTATGGATCTTATTGGTGAAGCTCCTTTTCTGTCATCCCATATTCTCAGCCAACGATCATGAGATGAAGCAAGAATATGGGAGTCCTGACGATTGTATTTGACCTGAGTTGCTCCAGCAAACCAATCGCAGAACGTCAGAACAGGTTGCCTGGGTCGACGCAAATCCCAACAATTAACATAACCATCTACTGCACATGTTGCAAGAATATCCGGGTGATGCGCAGAAAAGTTTATATCCGTGATGGCTCTCGTATGCCCGTTTAGAGTGTGCTCGATCGCACCTTGAGCCGTATCTTCCTGCATATTAAGATTCCATACAAGAGCTTTCTGGTTTGCAGTGCTGACCACCCAGTAATCCCGCACTGCAAATGGCGACCATTGAACGTCGGCCACCAGCCACGGAAGTCCATGTCGAAGATGTCGAGGAGGATTAAGGGGCGAATCGAGGTCAATTATGTCGAGGCCGTCCGTACTAGAAACCCTTTAGACAAATTGTTATAGAGAAAGAAGGTGTCACAAACGATGCGAGCGCAATATCTCGTCCAGAGGGCGAGATTGTTGCCGACCCAACTTTACGATCCACATGAATAGAGCCATCTGCCTCAAACGTGTTGCTTTCGAAAGCCGACTTGAACACCTTCCCTTTTCGTAGGTCTTCCATTTTATCTACTCCTTAATTTTCTACATCATCCCGAAGCTGGGTTGTTCAGGCTTGCGCGGTCAACTTGCGCGGCGCAGGCAATTGAATCGGGTGCTTTTTCTGTAATGCATAGTAATAGAATCATGAAATCATGGCATGGTATTCGTGAGGAGCATGATAGCTATTCGCAAGCTGGATTTGGTAAAGCGAAGTGAACTCGTTTATGTTATGAAAGATGTTGTTGTCGTCGACCGTGAATCTTCTTGCGAGCTCCCCACGCCCTAGCTCGCAAGTTAAGGTTAATCGAACCATGTGCGGGACTTGCCGCACAACTCTCCAAATCACGACCTCAGAAGCGTACCAGCTTTCCAGCCTCACATTCGAGATCGCCCAGACCGATATCGTGGGAATCTCCTGAAGGACTCTTGACCACATTCCATCGAAGCCAGCAACATCGTCTTGGGCTTGCTCCAAGTTGCTTCTACCAGCGTCAACACCCCCCGCGATCTTATCTTTCCCCACCACAATTCGCTCCACCACGAATTTGAGGGCAACTTCAAAACTTCTACCTCCATTACATCTGCTAGAAGCTCCCGCTGAAAGGGTGATACGGGGAGTTCTTTCTTCGCATTATACCATCAAAGCGAAGACTGCAAACCCGAGAAGATGTCGGCGTTACCAAAGAGAATCATCAAGGAGACCGAGAGGTTAATGGCAGAGCCGTACAGTGCCTATGATCTTCTTGTGCATTCAGTCGCTGACTATTCTATAGTGTGCCGGGTATCAGCGCAGTTCCACACGAAGACAATTTACGATACTTTGATGTGACCATCCATGGCCCAACGCAATCACCATACGAAGGTCAGCCATGACAGCGCCCTTGAAGCTTGGTGGACATATCTAACGGGTCATAGGCGGCGTCTTCAAGCTCGAACTTTTCCTCCCGGATGACTACCCAATGACACCCCCAAAGATTCGATTTCTTACCAAGATCTACCATCCCAATATCGACAAGCTTGGCCGTATATGCCTGGATGTACTAAAGAGTCTGTTGCACACTTTACTATATTTCGGTTCCTTTCTCTAACGACCTCTAAAGCTAACGGTTTATCATACAGGTAACTGGTCTCCTGCCCTCCAGATTCGTACTATTTTACTCTCAATCCAAGCTCTTCTTGGCGCGCCCAACCCAGATGACCCTCTCGCCCCAGAAGTCGCGAAGAGATGGAAAGATGACGAGCAGGCAGCTATTGCTACGGCCAAGGAGTGGACACGATTGCACGCGATGACATGATGGTTTAGAGGTTTGGGTGATGATTAACGAGGGGCAATTAAACGGCAGTGACATATTTCCGGAGGGACTGCTGCGAAATGATATGAATGAAAGCGAACGACTAGCGATGATATTTATCGCATGGCGAGTTTACTTGGTGGCATAATGCCTAGAATCCAGATAGCAGACCTGGTAGATAAGACGCCGCCGAGAAACGAAGAATAAAGCAGGCACCACACCGTTATATGACTTATTATGGTGATATTATTGCAGTGAATGAGGTTCATATAGATAAGCAACGCCGACTACGGTGGTTATGGAACTGTTGTTATGACTGGTATGAGTTGGTTCTATTCGAGCGTTTGGCAAGTTTACCCAGTCCTCCAAGTCGAACATCACTGACGAAGCTCTGACAACACAATAGGTACTTGGGAACAAGTACTCCGTCCAGGAAGAGTACTTCAGCACCTCGCCATTTTAGGTATTTAAATACGCTTTGTCAAAATCACCTGGCTTAGCTGCGCGATAATTTGGAATTGAGCTACTGTACTCTGGCAACCTTCATTATTTGGGTCGTCGTTAGTTTCCGCCTGGTCTACGCCACCATCATGTTCTTGGTACAAGTAGCGCCATACGACTGGAACCATCTCGGTGCACCGAGGTTTCTCGCAAAATCCACGTGGAGTCAAGGGCATCTTCGTAGCTCTTGTTATCATTGGCTTTGTCTAGGCTCTCGTCGGAGAACTTGAGGGGGGTCATTCATCGAGTTGTTATTGGATCACATTTGCCCAGATTGAAAGTCAGTCTAATTCCCGTCAAAGACTCAGTCTCTCTCCCATTGATGAAATCTATACGTACAGGTCCCTGTGCCTCTTGGTTTTGATTTGGTAACTGCCTTTCACCGAGAGCCACCTCGTGGACCCGGGGAGAACTGATCTCGGTTAGTCTTTCATTCCCCTGCTCCATCTAGAACATTGCCATTCACAACCATACCAACCTACAAGAGAACGTTTGAATTCTTCAAATTTGTTTTGCAGAACTCTAGAGCCGCCATCAGAACTAAGGCGACCAGGCCATAATGGCCTTCTTGGCCATTTTGAGCATCGCGCAGATCCTCCCCCGCGATCAGCACTGGCCACTTCCCCATGATGTCTCCTGAAAGTACCGAGGCTCTCCCCACTCTCCGCTTTTAGCAAGCCCTCAACAAGAGTCGGCTCTCGCCCCAGCACACCTACTATAGTTCCCGGTCACTATGGTGCGAATATCCCGCTGCCATCGAATCCGGATGAAGTTACAGACTTGTGTTATGATGGCGAATTAGCAAGCCTACTGTCTGCCTATACGTCGTTTCTGTCTTCTCCAGTCTGCTGTTTGAGCATCGGAATGTCAGATTCAACTGCAGTTGTTTCCGATGGGATGTGAGATGAGATCCATTAAACAAGCAAATTGAAATTAACTAACCCGAAGCTTGTTAATGCGGAAAGCCTCATTTGACCCCGCCTCTTCTGCGAAGACCGGCTTCGAAAGGACCTCGCCTCCCAGCTACCACTTGGACACATTCGGCCAACCTCGTCTTATATGTTTGTCTCAATATTAGAGATGCGGGAGGTTGCTTAGTATTTTCATGTCGACTCGGAAGGATATTTGGGGATTCGGACATACGTGTACTAAATGTGGTACGCAAACTAGTGCGCGTTTGAGTAATCGTGTGATATCTGGCTCTTCTCCGTTCCACAGAGTCATATCCGTTTGGGTATCTAGCTCCGTACCTCACACTACCGCGTTAAACAGAAGCACCGTCGGCTCCTAGCGTAACTCACATACATTACTAGCAATCTCCAAGCAATGATCCCCCTCCCCACCAAGAAGCGGCGCACACTCACACACGATAGGCTTCTTCGTGGAGTCTCCGCTATACTAGCTAGGGGTTGGCCAAAACGGTAAGGTATGTTTGATCCATGTCTTAATCTTTACCATAGGCACATTACATCCCCTCATACACAACTACACCGCACTTCTCAATTTTTTGATATAACCGAGTTTCTTTTGACAAAATTTCCTGCATCGCTTTGATCGTGGACTGTTTCGATTCTCACAACAACATCTTTACCCCATCTACAACTTCGTTATAGCCGCTGAGTATGGCCCAGTCATACGTTCTGAACGATGTTCAGACACCATCAACGTCCTCGTCGGCGAAAGATAGTGGGACGGCGGGACACGAGCACAGAGAGAATTTGGATGTTATCCGAACGATATCCAGGGTTCCAGGAAACACTCATTACTATGAGAAGGATGGACTGAGAACCTATGGCGATGGCGAAGCCCATGATGTAGAGCCACCGATGACTTTCAAGCGTATCATGTCTTTGATAGCTATGGCATTTCTGTGGACTGGCTCCCAAATACCCTTATACCTGTTCGGTAGGCACAATTCATTGTTACACATCAGTTTCTCGCTCACAAGTCGATAGGTGGAATACCTCCTTTGATCTACCGTGACATAGGCGGAACCGATCGCTGGGTGTGGTTCGTACTTGGTAACCTTTTGGCACTAGCAGCAGTCTGTCCCTTCGTGGGTGCCATATCAGATCTCATCGGTCGAAGATATGTAGCTCTTACAGGAGCTGGGTTTATCGTCCTTGGAATGATAGTCTGCTCTACCGCACACAGCATGAACACCTTCATCGGTAAGACTATTCCGGTCTCTCTGGTTCGCGTACTTTTTACTAAGATCTCTCAGCTGGAATGGCACTAGCAGGCGTTGGGGCGGGTATCAACGAACTCACAGCTCTGGCTGCAACATCCGAACTTGCACCTACTGCAAAGCGAGGAAAATATGTCGCCGTTCTTATCTTCAGTATTCTTCCTTTCTGCCCATCAGTCCTATGGGCTCAACTCATCGCCAAGCACTCATCCTGGCGCTATGTTGGGCTGCTTTGTGGTGTTTGGAGCGCTATCGGCTTCGTCATGACAGCCGTATTTTACTTCCCACCTCCCCGAGTCAACTCCAATGGGCTGAGCAACAAGGAAATCATCTCTCAGATTGATTTCGTGGGCGGACTCCTCAGCGTTTCTGGGATTATTCTGTTCGTTGCTGGTTTATTGTGGGGTGGATATCAGTATACTTGGGAATCAGCACATACTCTGGTGCCCTTGCTATTGGGAGCCGTCTTACTGATCGCTTTCGGATTCTGGGAGGTTTACGGAGCAAAATACCCTATGTTTCCATCACGCCTAAAGCGAGATCCGCGAATCCTCGCCTTGACACTCGTCATTACATTCATTTCCGGTGCCAACTTCTTCTCCGTTCTCCTCTTTTGGCCAACTCAAGCATTTAACGTGTACGGTCACGATGCCATCGGCGTCGGTCTCCGCGGTCTTCCAATTGGTTTCGGCATCCTACTTGGTGCATGTCTTGTCCTTGTACTTCTGTCGGTTTTCAAAGAGATCAAATGGCTTATGCTTATCTCTTCAATCACGATGACGGCAGGCTGTGGTGCTCTTGCCGCAGCCCGCACCGATAATTTACCTGCAGTTTATGGAATCCTCTGTGTTGCTGCTCTCGGAATCGGAGGAATCGTCGTGCCAGCCTCCATTGTCACCACAATTATCTGTCCAGATGACTTGATCGCTACTATCGCTGCCTTGACCCTCGCAATCCGTGTCGTCGGCGGTGCCATCGGCTACACCACTTACTACAACGTGTTGATCAAGAAACTGACGCCAATTCTAACGGAGAAGATGATCAAAGTATGTGTCGAGAACCACATTTTACTTCCAGACACAATCAGACAAGCGGCCCTTCTCACCGGTGACAGTCTGATCGAGGATATCCTGTACCTGCCAGGTGTAGATGGAAATGTCACGATTTGGAATTCTATCGTTAGAGCGGGTCAAGAGTCTTATGCTGAGGCTTATCCGTGGGTGTACTATTGCAGTATTGCATTTGGTGGTGTGAGTATCATTGCTAGTGCGTTCTTGGGTGACATCAAGAAGTATATGGATGATCATGTAGCGGTTGTTATGCATTAAATTGGGAAATGGAAGGCGTTTTTGGTGCATACGGTTTAAAGGGGAGCATTGAATATATATACAATGTTACTTATTCGCTTATATCACTGTCTCTCGATAGGGCCCAATTCTCACATGTGTCACAGTATAGTTCCGCATTATTCGCTTTCGGTGTTCTAATTAAAAATAACTTCAATGTAGCAAAGCTGTTTGTTTCCAACATGCAGCTTATTGCATAAACCGTATTCTATTTTTGATCTTCAAGTTGAATATCTGATTTCTTCTGGCAAAAATAGATGTTTAACCTTCAACTCTGCACTAATACACTTGACAATTCATAAAGTAGTTATGCTAACGTTCCGATCAGTCTTTCCGTGTCGCAAGACCTAATGTGCTAGTGATCTCGAGGTTCTTGTGAACAAAATGTGAGTTGAGCTGTATCACGTCGCATTGAAATATCGGTATGTTGGGGAGAAGTAATAGATGTGTTATGGAAAATGGATGGCACACAAGTAAACAGAGAACTTCTGGGGTTTGTTATAATGACAAGTAGCGACATTTATCTACTGAGTTCAAATTGCTCACTTATAGGCCTCTGGTATCACCTGACCCAAGTTCGTGTAACTTGTGTCCAAGCCTCCAAGTTCCAACCTCATTCCCTCCATCATTTTCCCTTCTTGTTGAACATGCCCTTCAAAAATGAGTCCTCGACTTGCAAGGCTGTCATGTCTTTTCTTTCTTGAACCTCATGGCACAAAAAGGGCAGGAAGCAAGCCGTGACCAATGTCTCGCAGCCGACGCCCGACTTGTATGGCATGCCCTTTTTCTATGGACTCCTTATCCCAAAAGCAGCAAGCAGTCACGTTGAAGAAGCATTTCAGAACAGCTCCTCCCCAAATTGACTTACCACATTTTCTTGCCGTCGTCAAGGCCCCTTCTCCTCAAACTCTTGCTGCTTTTTCACGAGCAGATTCATCCTCGTCCACTCCTCCTGGGTTTTGAAAGCCACGAAGCTGCAGTACAACATGAACGACCAACCGAACCAACAGGAATACCCAGCAGATTTTGTGGCTTGGGATGATTGGCTACACCCAGACCCGGAAGAGGGGGACGGGTAAGTAAAAAAAAAAGATAGCTGACAGAAAAAGGGCGCAAGATGCAATTTCGTTCGGAAGTTGGCGAACTTGTGAAACTTTCCAGGGTTACACAGCATGTGGCAATTCCATCTCATTTCCCGGGTACGCAATTACTCCAGAGGATGCTGATAAATGCCTAGGCTTCTCAATGTCGACTCCATTGGATGATGGCTCTCCAGAAGCCTCAATGTTCACGTCATTGGAGGATGCAAACGTGCTAGGCGAGTCTCAACGGCTAGAGCAGCTTGCTCTAGACCGCCCTCAAACTTCTCAGTAAGTTCTCATTCTGGCCATTGAAGTTGCGTCTGACATCTAAGTTATCCTTACATCCGCATCACCTATCTAAGAAAAACATGTGCAACTTGTCAGGCGCCGCTTAGTCCACGAAACAGCGACCTCGATATCGAGCGTCCTGCTTGTACCAAGAATAACCTTGAAAGCCACGAACAATTGATTTGCTCTGGGTGCGGGGAAAAGTTCAAAGATGTTTCCAACTTGAAATCACACTGGTCAAAATCTTGTGTTGATGGGTACAAGTCTTTCGTTTGCACATACCCAGACTGTACAAGACCTGTTTACGCCGAGAATTCTCATTGGAAGACTTGGCACAACGCCGTGACCTGGTTGTGTGCTGAATGCCGCAACAGCTTTGCTACTCGGGAAGAATTAGAGATCCATAACAAATTGGAAACTCATTTTGGATTTGCTTGTCGCTTTCCTGGATGTAAATGCACAACTCTTCGATTCAACGAACTTGCTCGCCATCAACTAGTCCACCTCGAGAACACTACTCGATATTCCTGCTCTCATTGCCGAAAGTACGTCTTCTATCACTTAAAGCTCTCTACACGCTGACAATTCGACCATAGATATCAAGGCAACAAAGGCTTCAAGCGCAAAGACCACTTGCGTCAACACATCCGTGATTATCACCACATTGATGAGGCCATAACGGCTACCGAACAAGAACAAGTTCCTACTGTCTTCAACTGCCCACGGGAAGGATGCGACCGAATCGACATGAACGGGTTTGAGAGTAAGAAGCTACTGACCGTTCATCTCAAAAAGGATCATCCATCCCCATTTCAATGTCCTGAACCTGGATGCCATCGCATAGGTATCAATGGCTGGCTGAGGGGGACGGACATGATCAAGCATACGAAGAAGGCACACCCCAAGGTGTAGGCTGGGGAATTTGAGGACCTACAGAGGCCAAAAGGGGTAAATCTCATATTGGACTTTGAAGTTCAACTTCCTACTATTTCTATTATGCGTGGATATTCGTGGAGGATTTCTTTTGGAGTATATTTTCTTTGCAAAATTCTATTCAACATAGAAACCCTAGCTATTCAGGGGATTAGCTAGTTTCTTCACCACCGACTGTTTCAACACAGAGCCCCAACTCTACCCAAAATGTTATTTATCATTGCAACAGATATTGGTTGACCACTAGGTCACAAATGCAAGAGTATGTACGTGGCACCTCCTGGGTACCCTACTATCAATCAAGTAAAACCCTTGATGCAACGTTATCCTTTTCGTGGAAGCTCATGCTAAAAAAAGGAGATTCTCCCCACCAACCATGATTCACTCATTCAAAGTAAAGTAAAGTGCGTGACTCGCTCCTTCCACCACCCCAAAAAAATCCAAAAAAGAATCAATGGAATCGAACCATCTTGAATTTTCAAACCCAATCTGTGAAGATTGGCGGTGCTGGGAATCGAACCCAGATTGAAACGGGTCAGCATGAATAATCCTGAGAACGGAGAACCACAACGTCACGTGCTACCATTACACCACACCACCTGAGGCAGCTTATTGGCTGGATTGTTGAAGCATTTTGGCGATTTTGGGTTTATAGAGTAAAAATCAGAATGTGTGGTGGGGCAGAGAAGGGAGATGGGGGAACTTCGGGAGGAGTGGGGAAGGGTGATTGGTGGAGGGATGGGTGGAGGTGGGTCACGAACACATGTGTGAATTTTGGAGGCCTCGAATTGAAGAGTGTGAGGGACCTCGGGAGTATGGAAGTCGCATAGGTACATTAAGTGTCTAGAATTTATCAAAGGTTCTGAAACCAATCTTACCTCTCATATTCTCCTTAATCTCACGTAAATCCCAAATACCAAAAGATTCTTCTACAACACCCCCTGTTTCAGAACCTCTCATCCTCTCATCCACCATATCCTATCAACCCACCTCCTCTCTCACCTCACTCACACACCCCCATAACCATCACCAAACCTCACAACCACCACACCAAAATGACCTTCCCAAACTTCACATCCCCCACCCCCTTCCCCCCCTTCTCCACCCTCCCTCTCATCTCCTCCCCTCCTACTTCCTCCACCGTCAAACCAACCTACCTCCTCGGCACCATCCAAGAAAACATGACCCTAACCCCCAAAACACCCACCTTCATCTGTCGCGACCGAGAAAACGAACCTTTCGCCATAACCCTGAAACTTCGGGACGGTCAAACCGGCGAGGGCGCGAGCGTTAGCGAAGCCAAAACTGGAACTAATGGAGAGAACAACTTTTTTGAACATGCACAGGGAAGGAAAGCGTTCACTAAGGGTAAATGTGTAGTGATTAAGAATGGAAAGAGGAAAGGAAGTCAAGAACCGAATGAAGCTGAGGGGAAGAAGGGGAAGAAGGGGTTTGTCGAGGGAGGATGGGAGGGTGGGGAGGGAGGGGTGGAGGGGGGTGTTTGTGTGAGTCTTCAACCAGTCCTCCATTCTCTTTTCCTATCAATTCTCTTGTTTATGGATGGAAGGAGGTGACGAGGCTGATATAAAGCAGGTCATTCCTACGTCCCTAGAAAAATTAATGGATCTCACGATCCGACTCGCGACCGAAGGAGGGATTCGACGGTGTCAGGGGTGTGGGAAGGTGGAGGAGAAGATGACGAGGTGTAAAGGATGTGAGGAGGTTTGGTATTGTGGGAAGGTAGGTTTTTGATTCTTCTTGTTATTATATGCAATAATTTTGTTTAAGGCGGATGAAGTTAGGGAGATGCTGACCATAACCAGGACTGCCAAGTCAAAGGCTGGACCGAGGGAGGTCATAAGAGCGAGTGCAAAGTTCTCAAAGCCGTGAAGGAGATATTCGGGAGTGAGGAATTGGGTGACGATGGCTTCGGGAGATGAGGTTAACAACATTTGACATTTATATATGCAAAATTCCAAGATAAGTATGCTCGGCTCATATAGATGGCTCGTCAGATTCGCCAGGAGGAGGGTGGGCCTAGTGAGCGTTTTGGTAAGATCTGAAAGAGGTTAAGAAAGGGCTTAGAATTGAGGTTGTAGAAGTCGGGCGAAAGCAAGACAGAGCATCGACCTATGTATCGATGGAACTAGGTCGGATTTCCTGTCAAGTATAAGATCTACTCTCCGGACACCAAGTATATGTAACTCAATCCAACCAACCTCAGCGGAAATTCCCTTACAAGCTGCAAATCTTTTAATTTCTCAAACTTACATGCTTCGAAGTACCAAATCGTACGTGACCACCGCACAACGTGGTTCCCTTTCATAGGCAGGTCTTGTGTTCTTGAAGCTTTCCTGGGTTTTTTGTACTCTATACCCTGAGGCCCGCACAGTTAGATTTTTTTGAACGTCGTGACGACGTGACCTGGCTGCCGTGTCGACATTTCACAATTGCTCACACAAACTACCCACAATATACTACACAAATTTTAGATACCTAAGTCATTCAATCTACTAGTCCTAGCTGATTAATCACAAACTACCCGCCCATCGACATGAAACCTAAGAGCAAAGCAAGACAAAAAGGAGAGGGCAACCAAAAACAAGAACACGAAACCCTAGCCGCGAGGCCATCAAAAATGTTTAAAGTTTTTACTTTCACTTGTAAATCCTTTTCCTTTCCTCCTATCCAAAAGTTCCAGTTCCCATGGCAATGTAGCCCATTCCCATCTCTTATATCCTTGCCTGTTCCATTGTCTTGTTTCCGATTTCCACGTTCGATTCCCTTGCAATTTAGCCCTTCAGACATAATCAAAAGTCAAAAAACAAAAACAACGCAGAAAATATGTAAAAGGGTATATCAAGGATCGTATGAAAGTGTAAAATACAATAGTCAGAAGATTTACATCCACACCAACTATATAGTCCGCTCCAAATACATCCACAATCCTCGACTTATATCATAATAAATTCAGTCATAACATCCATTTCTCAACCCCTTTCCTGTCCCCTGAAAACGAATGCAAAAACAACGCACGCTTGCTTAAAACAAATTGATAGAAGTGTAGGGTATCCAAGGATAACAATAATTTGCAAAAATGTAAAAATCAAAATCCCAATAACACCGATGCATGCGTATGCTCCGTTGGTCTTTCTTTGTATATACTTCCCATATTTTATTTAGAGTGTTGTAAATTTTAGAGGAGATCAGATCATTCCGCCTTCCATCTGGTTCATGGCAGCTTTGACCTCTCTGGGGTGGCGTTCTGTCAAGTTTCCGCCTGTTAGACTAGGTGAGCTGATGCTGGGTCGTCTGCTTGGATTCCATCCTGCTGGAGGAGGAACACTCTCGTATGGTCCAGGTTCTCTGAATTGCTCAATTGGTGGGCTCTTTGTTCTATCTAGGCCTGGGGAATTTCGACCACGAGAAGCCGATCGTAAACGTTCGGCAGCGCGAGAAAAGCGTCCAGATATGGTATTGTTGTTCTCACTGCGACCTCGAGCATGTCCATTCGATCCAACAGAGTTTTTGCGAACATGCCCCTGAGCGAATGGTGGTAGGGGTGGTGAAAGTGCTTCGCCTGCCATGGATCTTGTGTCGGCATCGTCGTCCATTACTATCTCAATATCGCCTGAACCAGTGGAGACGCCAGAGACCATGGAATGAGTGTTGTTTGGATTAAATAGAGGAGCCGGAGGTGGTGGTGGAGGAGTTGCTAGATGTTGTAGCTGGGACAAAATTGGTGGTGCTGGGGGTGGCGGAGGTGGAGGAGGTATCAAATTGTCCTTCGAGGACATCGATTGGCGCTCTGCTTGAATCACTCCATCGATACCGCCCATAACGGATGGTGGATGGCTCGAGTAGACAGGACTGTTATTCCGAGTCTCATAACCAAGCGTGCCTGGTTGCGATTCTCCTGGGTTAATCTTTCGGGGCGATGGCATTCCTGGGGACTTTTGGGAGTTCGAGTCTGATGGATTTCGTCGTCGAGTACTTGGTGGAAGCGCCGCTTGGAAAGCTGGGTGCATTGGCAAAGCAGCAGGAAGCGGGTTAGGGGAAAGAGGTGGCTCTTCGGGAATTGGAGCCGATGCGCAGCGTGAGGGTACACGTCTTGGAGTCGCCGCATAAGTCGTCTTTGGAAGCGGGCCGAGAGTCTCAAATGCACTGTTGTAGGAAATGGCATTTAGACTTCCCCAGTTCGAACCTGGTGGAGATGTTGCACCAGAGCTGGAGTCATACTTTTCCGGAATGGAAGGAACATCAGGAATGACATCTCCCTCTGGATCGTACTTTGGGTGTTTCATAGCCTTTGGTGTTGCGGGGAGTCCAACTTGCACAGCAGAACCACTTCCATCCTTGTGGTAAGCAGGCGATGATGTCTGGCTTCGAGGTGGGTGTTGGCTGGACCTAGAAAGAGAACGATGAAGCTCTGGCGATTGTTGGCGACGGTAGCTGATCGGGGAAAGAGTGGCGATTTCCTCTGGGTGGACAATTGGGGGTGCCATTGGTCTCAAGGCCAAAGATTTGCGTCTTTCTTCCAGTTCACGAGCTGCTTGCTCTTTCTTAAGGGTTCGTGCATCTTTCACCAGATTCAAGTCTCCAGCATCGCGACCCGAAACAGACCGGGCCCTGGACATCTGAGACATTGATCGGACGTGAGATGTCTGTTTCTCAGGTCTCACAGATGGCTCTCTTCGAGCTCTACTGGCATCTCTCTCAGTGGGACGGCGGCTGCTTGAGCGATCTCTTCGTCTTCTTTCCGGGGATTCTTGTCGAGCAGTGCTGCGATCTCTCATTCGACTGGTGCTTCTGTTTCGAGACCTCGTTTCTCTGAACCGCATTTGATCTTCATGTGCCCTTCTCAAGTCTTCGTCATCTTCATCCTGGTAGAATTTCGCCTGCGGAGACATAGGAAGAGGAGAAGACGGAGAGCGCATTCCAGAACCCTCGCGGCCTTGGCTTCTACCTCTGGCAGACTTGGTATCGATCATGGTCACACGTCCTGGACTTGGTCGACGGCTGGTACTGCGGCTAGGAGCTCTGCTTGGAGCACGACTTGATGCCCGGCCTTGTGTTCGAGGTGGCTCCGGTGAGACACGACGAACTCTGCTGGTATTCCGGGAGGATTTTACTCTTGATCGACTGCTTTCGCGTGGCTGCCTTGTTGCTGTTGTCGTGGTGGTTGTCGTTGACTCTGTTGGTGAAAATGCGACGTCCTTTACAGAGCTAAGATCAATGAGATCTTCTGGCGACATTGGGACGGGCGAGGTTGGGGAACGTTTAGCCGGTTTGATATAGCGAGCATTATTACGAGAACGATCCTCGGATGGTTCTCTTGCCCTTGGCTTCCTGCTAGAGCTGCGGGCCCTTGTATGTCTATCACGGCTTTCGTGCCTTGGACGAGATTGTTCCTTGTGGTAACGAGCGGAATCGAGACTGCTGATATACTCATCGATACTTCTACCTGTGACAACGGGACTTGCCACGTCACTTCTGTAACTTCTCTCGCTCGCAACTGGGCTCCTGGTGGACGAAGCGACAGATCCGGCCACTGAACGAGAGGCTGTGGTGACCCTCGAGGAAGCCACGGACGGATCGGGAGATGTCATGTAATCACCTGTAACGATTGACTCCATGGGTGGCCAGTTGAGTGTCAAATCCTCGGGCTTTCGAGTACGTGAGCCATTGCGTTGACGGTTTGCGGCGCTCTTTTGCAGACGATTGAAAGACTCCGGCGAAGGAGATGGCAATGGCTGCAACTTGAATCTTGCCTTTTCCATCATTGGACTGGCGGTTGAAGCTCTGCTGATTGGATCATAAGTCGCTGAGTTGAGCTGTAAATTAGCAGGGTGAGAAGCGTTTCCTCCTGTGCGCGATTGCATGGCTTTGTTCTCTCTATCAGATCCAGAGTCAGCAGGGGTGGAAAGCTTGATAGGTTCCAGGTGTCGTCGAGGAATGACAACATCAGATGGCATCTCTCCAATTGACGGAAGTCGTTGTCTTGAGAAGCCGCCTGGAGTAGCGGTTCTAGCAGATGCTGGGGTGTTCAAGACGCTGCGGTTACTTGGTCTGAGGAAGGCGGTCATATCACCGCCATGGGGTGAAATCGCTGACTCTGCGATTGGTGTAACCCCTCCACCAACTGGGGTCCGGTCATCATCCCCAAGTCCAAAGAATTTCGCTTTTCCAGCTTTGTCACCAAATGAGGTAATAAGCTTGAGTGCAGACGTTTTGGCAATGCTGCGCTGCGGACCTCGTGGACCTGGAGGTGACAGTGGAGGGCTGAGCAGTTCTGGAATGCTCTGTGATTGCATTTGTGAAAAGGTGAGTGCTTGAGCTGATGGCGAGAACCATGGTTCCGTGGATTCAGATTCCGTGCAGGAAAAGCATCTGATGGCCAATTGTTGCTGACTATGCTGAACGGCCCATCCACCCCATTTCTTTACCAACTCCGCTTGTCTCGACCAATCCGCTGGATAAACAAGGCAAGTCAGAATCACAGCTTCCATGTATCGTTTATGAGACACGTAGACCTCGATGGCATCATTCTGGTCTCCCATACCGATCAAGATCGTTGCAGCTGTGTGTACATCACCTTTCTCGAGCAAGCGTTGAACATACGCACGAGCGACCTTTGCCTGCGACGCTGTGCCACCAATACCGCTCAAAGCTAGCAACATCCAATCCGCCGAAGTCATCGATTCGGAGCTATTGGCCATGATGTCAGGGTCGATATCGCCAATCCATTTTGCGAGCAGAAGACGTTGCGGTGCACCTTGGGGATGTCTGCTAATCTCGTCTTGAATTAGTGTATCAGCCTCACCATGCCATCCAAATATCGTTCTCAGCATTTGCAGCCTCAGATCGTTGACCGTCAACCGAGTGTTATCCAAAATGCCGGGATGGCTATATGGAACGTCGGTCAACCTAGCTTTGGCGAACTTGAAGAGATCCACCACCTTCTGTTCCTCTGGACTGTTGAGAATTTCCTGTCGTAGCCGAGAGCCACCACGTCTCGACGCACGCGATACGTGAGAGGATGTAACACTGCTCATCGAAAAACTATCGCGCGAAGCAACTGAAGGCGCGCGGGTATGTATCGTGGATCCTACAGACATGGTTGTTGCGGCTTCGGACATATCACGTGAAGCAACGGACATGGTTTTCTGAGGTGGTTTTCTGTATCCTTGGTGAACGCGAGAGCCAGCCGATGACCTAGAAGTGGTAGATGCCCTACTTCTCGAAGAAACAGGACTGATGTTTCCACCACGATCAGGCTCTTCTCGCTCCTGCTCAAACCGATCCATTTGGCGGGCCATTGTTGCTAGAGGAGACATGACATCCTCGTCACTTTCGGAAATCTCAATATTAATAGGTACGGCGGACAACACTGCATTCGGCGGCACCGCTGAGGAATTTTGCTTTTTCTGCTCCTCGATCGATACTGGAGGCGAGGGAGGAAGCAGATTGGCTGGGTGCTGCACATTCGCAACCAGCTGCGCTGGAATATTTAGATCATATTGCTGCGCCGTATTATTTGGTCCCAAAGTGAACAGCGATGCTCCTGGGCCGTACACAGCAAGACCTCTTACATTCGCCAGCGTAGGTATGGGATCAAAAGTGACATGCTTTGTACGAACATCCCACGATGACGTTTCGCTGAGGGTGTGGTGTCAGCATAGTTTTAAGCGCGCGCATCAAGGAGGCAAACTGTCATCACATACCTTTCTGAATATTGTATAATCCGTCCATTTTTGGACCATGCTAACCAATTTGGACCAGGTTGGAACTGATCAGAGCGTTTCAGAACTCTGACCACCTTTGCAGTATCGCTGCTAGTAGGAGATTTGGCAATACTCCACACACGTAAATCACCGTCATTTGTTTGAGTAGCCAGCATATCGGATTTTTGACGTGATGAGGAAGCATGCCACGCTAACGTAACGATTGGCGAAGGTCCTCTAGAAGTGCTCAAATTATGAAGAATGGTAAATCTTGGCTGCAAAGCAGCAATTAAAAGTGATCCATTGGCAAAACTGCAGACTGTTAGCCAAAGCTTTAGAACTGGAAATTGAGCACAAACCCAATGGCATATGTTCTACAATCAGCAGCTGGTGCTAATGCAGTAATTGGTATCTGATCTATCGTTCTTGCAGATATATGCTCAGATGTGGACGGTTCGAATAAAATAACATTTCCTTGCGCATTACCTGAGTTTGTTAGCGTAGATAAGATCAAAATCACATCGGACGACCTACCAAAAGCAACATTGCCGTTTCTCATCCAAGCCGCGACTGTAAGATTCTCATACGATGCAAATCTTGCAATTTCGTCTCCAGTCATGCAATCCCATACAATTGCTGTTTGTCCGACATCATAACTGACCACTAGTCTTCCGGCGCCTCTGTCGCTCACATTATCTACGGCCAGTATCGAAATCTCCTCTGTATGCCTCGAAAACCGTCTTTCGATTGTAAGTGTATCATGATGACAGCAGACAACCGAGTTCCCCTGCGCATACAAGAACATCGACGCTGTTGCCGCACATGGCTCAAAGTCCCGAGATGCTCCTGCCGGCATGCTTTGACTTATCTCCGCCAGTGTAGCCATCTTCTGTCTCGAAGAATGGCCGGAGCTCATTGAGATGGAGCGATTTCTCGCAAGATGTCCGGCGGACATGGCAGCGGTGTTGACGATCGTGTTATCTATACCACGAGGGTCGAATGTTAGTCGGACGGCAGCATGAAAGCGTGGCACTAACGGACCGGCACGAGAAAGTTTATTAGGAGGGGAAGGCGAGACGAAGAAGGGTGTACTTGTATACCCCACGCGAAATATAACCACTTACAGATCTGATGCTTTTACCGCCCCGCCAATGTTCGTGATCCTGCAGTACAGGGCTGATCAAAGTCTACGCCCAATTGCTTCTCTTTTGTCACATGGAGTTGCTGGCTGCCCGACGTTGGTATGATCAGATGGGATGGGGCAGGATACCAATTCAATGGGTTGCAGAGCGTAGGTGGTACGGTTCGCCGTCGCAATGCGAGCTCTTTCCTGTGCGTGAGGACGGCGTGGGCAGGTGTGGTATATCAATGGTCGATATGACAGAAGAAGAGGAGCGTTGGAGTGCGACGAGGGAGGACAATGGCGACCAGGCGTAGCACGGGACCTCGTGGGAACTACGAGACATTCAACGACTTGTGAGGACGGTGGCTGCTTTCGTACTACAGATGTCACCCTTGTGGGCGTCTGGACGTGCGGGAGGGAGAGGGTATTGGGAGCAAATAAACGTTTGGCGCTTGAGCGATTGGGGATAAGGGGGCCAAAGACGATTTTACACGCAGAGATGACGGAGGAAGAGACGCAAAAAGGGGCGAAAACAGCAGATCAGGACGTATGGAAGCGCGAAGGTGCAAGTGAGGCCATCTCGAGTATATGAGAATGAGCTGGGAGTGTGTTGCTCTTCGCGGTGTCGGCGGGACAGCCAGAGCCAGGACCTGGAGTGAGTGACCAGGGCCCACTCCCATGAGCGACAGGGGAAATGTGCGTGGACCGTGTTCGAGCAGGGCGCCTAATCGACGGTGGCGCGAGCTGTAAGTGGTTGACGCGACTCCAGGTTTGGACAGATTTAGATTCGCATGTCCAGCCGAGCTCTCTTTGGCCAGTCCGCCCATGGACTTTCGATGCGGATGCGGTCCGGCTCATCTCGATGCACCGAGTCGCAGTGACCTGGCAGCGGTGGGCAGCATGAAGGGCGGCCACTGCGCAGACCGCTACCACGATGGGAAGAGCACGACCCCGGGACCCTTAGAGGGGCAGCATCTCCACCCAAAGCAGCCCCAGCATACATGATAGGACTTGTGCGATGTGAGACGGTTGCGAAAGATCGTGACTGGTGAGTTGCAACAAAAGCAATGCAAGTGACGAGCAAGTATGCTCGTTTCGATCTCATCAACACCAGTCAAAGGAACTTAAGTCTAAAAAACAAGCCTTGGAGGAAGGAGTAGGAGAAGGGATTCGCTTACCCGTTCTCCGGAAGCATTACATTGAAATACAACGAGAAATTTGCACTTACAATATTGAGCCACACAACTGATTAACGAACATCAACGACCATTAACAAACCTCCCAAGTCTCAGAAAGGAAGTCTCAGAAGCATGAGCCTGGCAGTCCATCCATGCTATCCATGCTAGTGTGGCTCAAACACAATGCACGTCTACCCATTCCTCGAGCTTCTCTCGCTCGGCATCAGTATATATTAATATAGTGATCCCTTTGCCTCGTCCGTCGAGCTCTCCACTAGGCGAACTAGTTCGCACACTTGCGCGGGAGAGCAGCCCATGCAAGCTCGGCACAGCGTACTGTGATGGAGACTGGCTCGCAATTGTGATATTGGGCCGAGATACTCATCACGAGGCGACGTGCCAGAGCCATTGAGTCGAGTTATAACGTATGAGAGCAGCAGCGAGGGAAAAGTGGCCGTGGTTGGACTGAGAGCCAGACGAATCGGTGAGGCCACACTGGGGTATGACAACGCAGTGGATAATTGCAATATCAACGAGCTCGAGTTTCGAGGGCGTTCGAACGTCTGAGAGGGTAGGAGTGAGGCCCGTCCGGAAGCGCAACGGGTGTCATAGGCCATGCCGAATCCATTCTGAGTGAGGCTATGAGTGGGGAGGAGAAGTCTGGGGCCGGAGTCTGGAGAGCCTGTAATTCGAGCGCAATACTGATGATCCGGGAGGCTCGCAGCCCAAGATGTGCGTCTTCTCTGCGTGGAGCGGTCGCGCAATGGCACTGCTTCAGGGAGCTGTCCGCTGCTCTTCGGCGTGCTTTCTGCGCTATGTCGCCTGGCGGAGGCATGTCGTGAGATGCTGTTCGAGCCTTCGGGGTGCCTGGGGCCCTGGATGGGTGATGGTTGCGCCAAAGCAGGTGGGCAGCAGAGGTGTCGACGTCCCCTACTCTCCCCAGCCTGCACGATGGAAGACGTTGCCGTACTCGCGCATTTTCCCCACCTGCCGTTGGCCCACTAAGCGAGACATGGCGGAACAATGTTATCCCCGTCAAAATATCTGCACTTCACTGACCATTTCTCCCTCCTCACTGGTCCTCCACCCGCGACGACACTATTTTCCGTCTGCACTAAGAATCACAGTCGCATCCTATCAACGCCTCAGGCCAGGGATGCGACCAGGAAGAGACCTCATCATGGCCGACACTACGAAACCCCGATGCCAAATCTACGATACAAAAACGACAAAAAGAGCAGGACGACCCAGACTACTAAAAGCCCACACCATGCCCACCAGCGTCTACAAAGCCAATGTGAGTGGCATGGAGCTATAAGAGCGAGAAGAGTCATAATCCGTTAATCACATTTCCTCAAAAATCCGACGGCGTCCCACATCGTCTCTTGAATATCCTTCACCGTCGAATTCTCGTCACTATCACCGCCGTTGAGTATTGGCTTTTCTTTGCATATCACACAAAACCCACCACTAACGGTAGCACGTTGTCTGTTGTCAACGACTTGTCAAGCCATCGCGCGCCAAAAGGCAAGACTTGGAAGGTGGACAAGAAGAAAATGAGGGGTTGGGAAATCGCACCGCCCAAAGCAGTTAAATCTGCTCTCTTACACTTGCGATTTTCAAGCACGGCCTGGTCAATATGCGACTAGAAAATCTATATCACGACAGTTCGATATCCATTGTCTCATGTCGCTCATGTCACTTTTTGCCAATTCACTTACACCGGTGTGATGAGTTTACTCGCACTCATTTGATTTGAGGATCTTTCCAAAGACTCCACAAGCAAAAGTAGGGGCTATCACTTACTCTTTCCACGCAGTTTGTTCATTTGTTCTCCGTTCCCAATTTCTTTCCTTTGGTCAAAATCGAAGGTTCTCGCGGCCCCTCTCGGATCAATATTGTTGGATTTCTTCCTATCGTTATCTTTTGACTTGCATCTGCACATTTCCATTCCAACTGCATTGCATGTGCGACATTGTGGTTGCTCCCGTGGTGACCAACCGTCCAAGCTTCCGCTCTGACAGGAGATCTTGATCCTCTCACTTGCTTGCTGCCGGTCACAAAATGGTCATCGCGGGGTAGTCCCTATCGATTAGGGTATCAGCGAACATGTATCACGACCAAGTCGGAATCTTGTCGGTTTCTTTTAAATTAATTCAAGAAAGTGTGGGCGAACAGTGCAACATATATTACCCTGCAAGCTCCCACATACCTTGGTGCTTTCAGGTTCCAGCTCGATGTTGGTACCTGCTTTCACCACACCCTCAGAACAGAAACTTAGGATGAGGGGCTTAGGCACAGGACTCGTATCAGAGTATTTTCCCTTATGTTGTCCCACGTTACCTATCTTCGGTGGCTTGCGGGTTTTTGTTTATCAGAAGCTACAACAGCTCTCAGATCACAATGCATCGCTCAACAAAATTCTCGGACCTTTTACCTGCACGTATTGTTTGAATTGGCATGGTTTTCACGAATTCTCAAGACAACATTGTATTGAGGGTGTTGGCGCAAAGGTATCGCCGATACACTACCTTCGAGAATGAGGAATCAATACCAACAACGATCATTCCCAAATCATCATGTACCAACATATTGTTTGAACCAATTGGCTTTCGGATGAGAAATTCGAATACTTCAAGTTTTCTCAATGGTCAGCTCTGTGGCCGGATCCCACCACACAAAGTCTTCGGAAGTTCCTCTTGCAGACAAACCAGGATTGAATAAGCGCCCACGATACGGGACGGGCTAGGGCAGGCCCGTGCCTCCTACCCACTTCCCATAGCTCCCGAACGCCAGCTTGTTGGCCGAGATCACTCCCGAGAGATAACGTCCCTCTCAAAGTCACGAGGTTAGTCTAGTGATCATCTCGAGTCCACAGGTCACATAGAAACAGACGAATGAAAGCTGTGAAGACTGGTGTGATGGGAGAAATCAATTTGCATTCTAACAGACTATCGATATTTATAAATATCTTCAAAAACAATCAACAGCACATGCTCACTTCCCCAAAAGCCCCATCGTCTCGAGCACCAACAATATACTTTGTTTGCTCCGGTGTCCCCGCACTTCCTCGATAAAGTGTGATTGTGATGTGATGAACTGGAGTGGTCCAGATTCATCACTCCCTGATCTCCCTCTGGGATCTTTCAATCACACCAGTGCAGGCCGATCCTCTTCCCCTGTCACTCTTCTGATCTTCGTTCTCAACACAACACTGAGGCCGGCACTCAGGCAACTAACTCCGTACAGTATCCTATCGCGCTTGGAGACACACCAGCGCGCTTCAGACAGTGATACGCCACTTCGCATTACGGAGGTGACCGTCGAGTTGTTTCCAAGAACCCGATCCATCAATGCAATTTGCCCACACCAAACACCACCAACAGCATTGATGAAGATCAATCCTAACATGCAACCAAAACCAAATCTGCCTTGCACTCACTGCCGAAGTAAAAGCCTTTGGCCAAACCCAGGTTTGCTGACGACCCTAATCTGGGGATCTTCAAGAAGTGGTAAGAATGCGTGCACCATGCGGTCCATTCCCAATCCCGGTTGTGTCTGGATCTTCAGGCGTGCTGATGGTTGTAATCTCGGGGATGCGGGTGGGCTTTCTTTATCCGATTAAGAAAGCCCGTTCGGGAGTCGCCAACCTTTCGGATTTGATGATGCGACAGCGAGACCGTCGTGATATTTTGTCTTTGACGCGACGAGAACACGTTGCCGATTCCCCAGAGTGTGGTGTCGCGATGCAAATGTCGGCTGGATTATTTCCCGTCGTTGCTTTACCTCATTATGAGGTGCGACTCGTATACAGGTATTGTCCTGTTCAAAAGGTGTCCTCCGTAAAGGTATATCCTCATTTTAAATGTCCTGCTCAGCAAGTCAGCAACAGATACTTGAAGCAACCACACGGCGAGAGAAAAACATACCATAAAAAGAGCTTGCATCCAAGCATCTTCCACGTCCTACGACCCTTCATTCCACGACCTCCTTAATCGTGCCCATCTTCTTGCTCCCGCGTCTCGCCTTCTTACTATTCACACTAACACTCCTCTTCCGTCTCGCCTTCTCCTGGCGCACCACCTCGCGCATCATACTCCCGCTCTCAACTACATAGCGCGCCTCCTCCATATAACTCCTGCTCTCGGCCACATACGGCGACGACAGGTTCGTCATCGCAGGACTGCGCGAGAGATCAGACGCCGGTGTGCTTGCGGCCGAGTCTTCGAATTCCGATCCGAAGAGCTCCTCGTCTGAGATCACGAAACTGTGGTTGTGGTATTCGGCGTCGCTGCCAGAGAGCGAGGAGCGGCGTGGCCACGAGGGATACGCGCAGGTGGTGGACTGCGAAGAGGTGGGGATGTCCATGGGTGACGCGGTTGCGTAGCTCGTTGAGCGTGGTGATCCTGAGATATACATGCTGTGTATAATTCTTTCCTTTCCCTCACAGTAAAACTTCTCTTGTTGTATGAGTTTTCTTGCTTTCCTTTGCGACTTGTATCTTGAATAATCCAAAATGATTTCCCCGGGAATCTCACACAATATATCTTTCCCCTTCTTGCAACACAAACACAACTATAGTTGGCACCTGGTGCGCGGTGCGTGGCGCGATGACTCCTAAGCTCGGAAACCGAGGCGGGTTGGGTGGGTGTGGGAGCGCGAACGCCTGTTGGATGGGTGTGGCAGTGATGTAACGATAAGTCTTTCGTAAGCTCCCCTTCGACTTAAACACACCGCGCGACCGGTGTATTCTTAGGATGCGGATTTGAGTGGCCTTGGGTCGTTATGTGCGTAGAAAGGGCTGAGTAATGGGATGGGGATGGTTGCGGATGGTTTGGATGTGTGTGTGTGACCGCGTGCAGGAGTGCGGTGAGGATGGAAAGTCGTCAAGATGTTTTGTTGTTTTGGTGAGTTGGTTTGTTTGCTGGTCTTCGGATTCTGAATAGAATGGCCTTTGGATCTTTCTTTCGTCAAATGGAATGGAATTCCAACGGGATGGGGCTGCGTTCTTCTAGTCGTGGCCTTTGGAATACTCGAAATGTGGGGTGTAAGATCAGGATTCCCTCGGTGTTATATCCACGTTTCTCTTTCTCCCCTTCTTTCCTTTCTTTTCTCACAACCAAAAAATTATTAAAATTATCTGTGGAAAAAAAACTGATGTCGTGGAACTTTGGGCGGGTACCCTTAGGGATAGACACATATATGAATAGGTATCACATTTTCTACGTGTTATTTTGTTTGTACATACATACCGCTTTTCCATCTGGCTACTGCTGCTGCTGCATCCGGAAACGTGGGTACTCGCAAACAAGTGCCGTGGTGCCCATGCAACCACTAGGAAGCCAGACGACCTAGACCCGTGGATCTGACCGCTAGATACACAGGTATACCGCCTTCACCAAACAAGCCAGTCACACGAATGCGTTTGGACGCTTTTCACCGCTGTTTCATGGTGGAGTGGGAGATCAGTGCCTAACCTCCCGGATTGCGGATACATTCAGACGAGGATGGGATTTTGTTCGTTGAATGGGGTTTGTTCGCTCGCGGAACCCCACTGTGGTTTTTCCGCGCTCAGGCTGATAGGTTTTTGGTGATCTTTTTGGTTTCGGGGAAATGTAGGCCGGATGAACAGCGCAGTGTGGAATAATCAAGATACAGGCTGAAGAAACAGGTTTACGAGATTCTAGACTTTTGTTTTGTTGTTGCGGTGGGTGAGTTAGTCAGAGGATGCTGTTGACTCGGGTTACTACGTTCCATGTTTTCCTTGTTGATGTTTACGAGTGGTTAAATGGGGGTGGTTTGTGGTTATGTGATCAAAAGAAAGTCGTCTGTTCATTTACAAAAAGAAAGATGATCCCTCCCTTCCGAATCATCTGCGCTATGGCATTTCCAAGTGATGTATCCTTTTGGCTTCAGCCATTTCGCTCCCCACGATTTCGTCCCCCTGGTGTTCCATCCCGTGAATAGCACTTTCATCACAAAACATAAACGGAATCCGGCGGTTCTGAGAAGCCTGGCCAACTTCTCGAGTGTATTTGACCTCGTCCATCCCGCGAACTTGAAGGCCAGAGCAGACCCATCTGTGGGGGTCTCTTAGACCCTTTTTTTTGTAGTGGGGGTATCATCCCACCTTCCACTCGTGACAACCATCTCACCTATTCGCACCCCACGGAGTAACTCAGTCACGCAAAATGAAATTCCGACACATTAAAAACCACTCGGTGAAAACACCTCTCACGTGGGATGTAAAGATGACTCCTTTCCCCAACCCTAAAGGACAGATGGAAAGGCAGAAAGAGATGGCAATGATGTATCCTCGTATATCTATTTTACCCCTCCAAATGGTTGGTTGTGGGGTAACAGCCCCAAGGCTCCCTTTTTTCAGACGGAAACGGGGGAACCAAGCCCTATGGCCAGCCCAGCCCTGAGGCGATCACTGGGCACTTGCTCCCCACTAACCCAAACACACCCCCTCGGGGTTTCAGGTCCGATGAACGCGCTCCAACGACATCGCACAAAGGTTTGCCTATCACCAAGTCTAGATCTAGACTAACGAGAACTATCTCATTGCGCTTTAACCGCGCAAAACTCACACTTATTATCTGATAGGTTGCATAGGTAAGAAGCCCCATCGAATGAATACTCGGGCACAACTGCGCAACCTCCCAAAGATTAATCTCCTAAACGCATTCGTTGTCACCGTTGAGAAGCCCAACACAACATGTCGTCACTCCCCTTCGCACCTGCGATGTGTAACGTCTGGACGTCCACGTCGAGGGGAAATCTGACGTGTCTCCAGAAGATGGGACGAGGCGTTTTGTGCAGCGCGGATGGAGGGCCGGATATCGGTCGTTTTTGATCTGTCGTGTGCGTTGCGTTTTTGTTGTTTGGAAATGTAAGGGGGCTTGATGGGGATGGGGAGTTCTGGGATGTGAAGATCTTGAGAGAAATTTTTTTTAGGGTTTGTTGAGTCAAGTTGAGAGATCATGTATGTTTCCTTATTCCTAGAAAATATTTTTTGAGTGTATCGACCAAATATGCGGAATCCGGTACGGGACGCAAACACAAGAGGAAACCCGCATCCGAACACGGGCTGTTTGTCTCTGAATTCCCGAGTTCCAGGTTGTTCATCGATCGAGTTTTTCATTCCCATCTCTATCCTCATCCCATCCCTCTCCCTCCTAAACTCGCTTCCCATATCAACTCGCTTAATCCAAAAGGAGGTCCATCACGTGAACCCAGTCATATGATCTCGCCAGGAAGCGACTGCGGGGGCGGGAAGGATTCGTTTTTTTACGGAGCGGAAGGGCTGATGGGGCTGTGATTTTTGTGGGAGTTTCACGTCGAATGTTGGGAGGGGCTTGAGATGTTGGCTTGTGAGAAGATACGACGGGAACGCGGGGTCCAACATTTTGGAGTGCCGAGATCGTGGCGTTGAATCTCAATCTCGCAGGCTTTTGCTTTGTTTGTTTTATTCCAGGCGCTTAAGTCAGTTGTTTGTATGGCGTTTCTGAAGATACTGAACACGTTAGCGGTTTGGTATCAGGAGTGTCAAATCTGGTATAATCCAGGCATATTCCCCATTGACATGAAATGCCTTGGGGATTGCTCGACGTCAAGTGATCAAATCTTCCTCCTTCGGAAATCGGGAGATTCCTCGCTTCCGCCTCCTTTATCAACCGCGGAAGCGAAGTTGACAAGCGTTGCGGCCGAAGGAGTTTAACGGCTTTCGTACGGTCGGGGAGTTGGATTGCTGTCGTTTTGTGTTTTTTGTCGTTGATGCGGTTCTTATTCTGCAAAATGGTTTTCTCTTTGGTTTTGATTCCAAGCTTGAGCAGGAAGTGATGTGGCTTATCTAATACCAACAGACAAATATTTCTTCACAAGTTCTTGACAAAAAGTCTATAAAGATTGTCTTTTTGATTACTTGTCAGAATACTTGATCTTGTGCTCGAGTCCGATGCATCTTGTATCCCTCATTAATCTTCTTCAGCACTCGGGAATGACTGCGTAAATTCTTTACATCTCTATTTGTCTTTGTGACCAATATCCTTGGCTCACTCCAGGAATGATACACCAATCACTTGATTTCTTCGAGCTCAAGATAATAAGTAGCTTGTCAACGTTTGTAGACAGGGCATGAACCTTCTTGGGAGGTAAGAAGTGTGAATGGTGGTAGTGAGCAATAGAGTGAGAAAGGATGTATTGAGATATCTAAAGAGAGTAAATGAGAGGAGTTCGTACGAGGTAGTATATTCAATAATAGAACGGAACTAAGCGGACACAAGATTACAGGTGATTTTAGGTTAAGAGAGGAAATGCCTTACAAGCTATTATACTTTCTTCTTGAATTATCAAGTACTCATTCTTGCTTGATTTCATAAATAATGTCAGAATCTACCTACTGCACTCAAAAACCCACTCCTAATCACAACATATCTACTTCACTTTCGTTTATTCATTATCAGCTTTAGCTAGAAAAATGTGATCATTGCATTGATTCACAACTTCTGAGTTGCAAATCAATGTGGTTGTATCTAATATTAATCACATACCACTAAGCTCGATACTCACTAGTAGGAACATTGTTGTATTGTAATAGCTTAAGTAGTGTACCACTGCAGATATGACCATACACTCCTGTGAAAAGTGTTCTTGTTACAAAGTAACCCATATGTGTCTTTATCTTTCTGCTTTCATTACCCTGCTCCTGTTCTTCACAGCCTTTTCCAAAAGCAGTGTTAGCTATGAATAATTTTGATGCCAAGTAGAAGTGTCGACAATTTAACTTTACCTTACAAGACATAACTGTGTTAATATACAAAACATTCAAGATGCAAAACATAGCCACACCAAAAAGCCGATAGATGGAATATAAATAAATATACAGGGATTATCAATTCGTATAATTAGAAAATTTCCAACCTTCGAGATCTGTATTCAATTGCTTATTCACCTAGAATGTTTACAATTCACTAGGAAAATGCCATATTACATATCAGGGTTCAGACTAAGCTAGGCATCATGGAAGCGTATTGAATCCCAAGTCGACATCCAAGTAGAAACATCATTTTCCAACAAGTTCAAAATCCCGTCGAAGAGAGATCACTCGCTCGCTCACTTCGACGCTCAACTAATTTCTACAAGCTAGAAGCAGTGACTTCAAACGCCCAAAAACAGCGCATCAGATTTTCAATTTCGTGGTTCATTGATTTTGACCTTTCTTTTTTACAAAAATTCAAAATGGGGATTCCAGCGTATAACGATCTGGAGAGGATGGCTTCAGTTTTTAGGGTCTTCGAAGGATATGAGAACCTTCTCGTGCCTCAACAGGTAAGTACTCGGGTCATTTGACAGATATCATACCAGATGGCTGACACCCAACAGATAGGGACAGCTTCACCTTCAACCTATAACCCGATAGCTGAGAAAACAGATCTAACAGTATTCCGCTTCGACTCAAAAAACTCGCGACTCCCTCGATTTCCAGTCCAAATAGTGCAGGTTCCAGATGCAGACTACGCCGTTATCCAAGACGATCATGAGGAGGAAGAGCATGATTTCCCCGATGTCATGTCTAGATATCTTAGAGCCCAACGAGACCTTGCTGAGAACACGGCGATTCATAGACAGGAAGGGAATAGAGAAATAGCTGTGGAAGGGAGCTGGGACGATGATGTCGAAGCACAGGAAGAAGTCTCAGATAGAGAAACTGGAGTCTTAAGTGGCTTGAGTGATCTTATCGATGCAGTGAGGGAAGCCTCCCGTGACAACGACGAGCGAATTGAGGACGCATATGAGATTGTTAATGAGGACTTGCCTATGGCAGGTGATACCGACGAGTCCGCTTTTGATGATAACGAGGCGGTATTCGTTGACGTAGATCAGCCTGTCGATGAAAATTTAGTTGAAGCTGTCAATATGGGGCAAGGAACTGACAATAACGTGGCAGAGGAGCAAGCTTCTAACGCTATTGTGGTCGAAGTGGTCCACACAGGGGATCGACACCCCAACGACAGCGTAGAAGAGCAACATGCCCCCCACATCAACATAGAGGAGGACATTCAGCCCAACGCAGACCACAATATCAGCGGCCCCGCACAAGCTGCTCCCCACGAACAAATCTTCGATCTATTTGCTTTCGATGACAAGACACTGCCTCCTAGAAGACCCACACCGAACATTTCCAACGAGGCCTGGGACGACATTTGGCACATTCTATCCGACCCCGAAGTCGTGAACAGGGGAGGTGTATTTCACCTACCATCCGACAACGAGAATGGGAATGTGCTGATGCTAGGTCCTTCATGTTTTCGTGGTGAAGAAGCCACAATCAAGACCCAATATAGGATTGAGTTCCACGCAGCACTATCGTTCATAATAGGTCCCTCATTTCTAGACGGGATACATGAAAACGAGTCGCTTCAAATGCGAATTGAGTCTGATCGAAGACTTGCGCTAAGTCGGGGATATCGAGCAATCATTGTTCTTTTAAGGAGACGCAGAGAATATCCCGTGACTGGCGAACAACCGGTGGTGAGGATGATGTATTGGGTTAAGAAGAGTGAGAGTAATCCTGAGGAGGTGAAAGAAGAGGAAGAGGAGCCAACTTATGCGTTTGTGGATCAACAGCCAGATACGCGGACCATATGGGATGGGGTGGACATGGATGGGGTGGAGATCCCGGAGTTTGAAATGGGGAGGACATATGATTGGGATACTTACATTGAATTCCTCGCTTCACTTCGTCGTGGGAGGGCATTCAATCAGGATGCTTATGCAGACCACGTCGCCTCACGTCGTGTGGATGGTGTTTTGTTAGGTCCAGAGGAATGAGTGTTGCAAAAGGCAAGAGCATTTTTGAATAGCAAAAGCCCGTCAGAAGTATAAGGGTACCAGACGAAGGGACATCTATGCAAGAAAAGCTATTGGACGAGGTGTGCTATAATAGATCTCGATTCGCAAAAGTATGTTTGCAGCTTAGATAATAAATAATGAACAAAGCTTTGGATGTAGCTGTGCACCTGCCAAATATGATGTGATAGAACAGGCTTATGATATGAAACAGCAGAGCAACCGACAAAAACTGTAGACATGTGGTAAAGATACTCGAAACAAATAGTCACCTGCATCAGCCATCACAGTATACAACTCCAGACCGTCGAGAACAAATAGCATCAACATAAAAAGAGAGTAAAGCAAACAACACAGCTAGTATTGAACAATAGTGGAAGTTCATCACTAAACCACTGAGGCACGAAGGCCGGTGCCGAGTAGTAGAACAATGATCATTCGGCATTACGAAGCGGAGTGGCTAACAATTAAAAATAAAACCTATCTATTAGTACTTGCACCCCGGAAGAATATAGGAAACCTTGTAATAATTTTAACGGGTATCCTAAAATTAATTGCATTTATGTAGCTGCCGTTTGATTTTCGACCGGCTGCTGTTCCACGAGCACATCCACAGTCTCTGTGCTATCAACACCAGCTTTCGAGCTTGAGGGCTCCGGGATCGTAGCAGATGTGCTTGTATCCACCTCGACCCTGTTCAACACGGCCACACCTTCAACATGGCCAGTCTGAGGGAAGAAATCGAAACCTCTTAAGCTCTCAATCTCATATCTTGTCTTCGAGCCTTTCATACCACGTACCAACACGCCCACATCCCTGGCCTGTGTATGGACATTGCAACTGACATATACCACTCTCCGAGGCGCAAAGTTGAGCAGTTGATTCAGGAAGCTTTCATCGCATCCTTTTCTTGGTGGATCAAGTACGACAACGGTCTCGTCTTTGGGATACTGGATGGAGTTGAAAAGTTTAGGAGCATCTGCTGCAATAAATTTGCATTGCTCTGGTGGCAGATTGTTGAGCGCTGCGTTTTGGCGGGCAGATACGATCGAGGGCTCTGCGATGTCAATTCCAACCGAAGTTTTGAATAGTGATGAGAGAGTTATGGTGAAGAGACCAGAGCCAGAGTATGCATCGATGAAGTATTTGATCGCCGGAGCGGTTGGACTAGGTGGGGGTAGAATGTTTTCTCGAATATATTGAGTGAAATCTGGTAGGATGGAGTTATTGTTCTGGAAGAACGCTCCGGCGGTGTTGGTAAACACGAAGTCGTCGATGTACTCGGTAGACGTAGCATTGTTGTCTGTAATGCATGTCTTGAAATCAGTGTGCTTTGGTCCTTGAACCTTGATGGAATCGTCAGGTGTGGTTGACGCTTTTTCATCGTCATTCTGCACTCTTTCAGTACTCTCCCGAAGTAGGATTGTTACGCCCTTTTTATATGTCTTCAAATTCTTGACGACATTCGCTCTCTCCCTCTTCATACCCATTCTGACCGCATCAGTACCAATTGGACAGTCCTCAATGTCCAATGTTTTTCGTTGGCCCTTCAACATGAAACCAATAGGCGGTGGTTCGGTAAAGAAATTTCGCACTCCATTTCGCTTGTCCTGTTTGCTGAGATGACCTGGTGGGCCATCGAAATGGGGAGTGAGTTTCGTACGATATCCGTACTGCAATGGGCTTCCTATGGTGTCCCTAATCGTCGGTACAAGCTTAGGTGACAATTCTGAAAAGTTCTTGAATGCCTTTTCAACGATTCTTTTCTTGTGCTTTAACTGCTCTGAATAGTCCATCATCTGGAACTGACACCCACCACATTTACTGAAATATTTGCAATTGATCCGGCTGTCATCCCGCAGAGGGCCGGGCGTGACGACAGACAGAAAATCCGTAAGAGAGTATCGTTCCTTTTCAAAATGCTTTATTACTTTCACTTTGACAACGTCACCCGGCGCCGTGAAAGGAACCACATATATCTGATTTGAGCTGCTATGCGTTGCAAGCCCATCTCCAGTTGAAGATATCTCTTGCACCGTTACTTCGATCTCGGAAAATGGTGCTGGCAGGGGCGTCTTCTTTCCCTCAACAACTTCTTCTTGTCCATTGTCCTTCGTTTCAACAACCGAGGATTCCGCAGCAAGTATATCTGAGCCAGCAGGAGGGTCGCCAGTCTTTTCCGCCGTCGTATCGATTACGGATGTAGCATCTGACAGTTTCTGGGCTGCGAGCAGAGCCCGAATATCGGCAATCAAAACCTCATCGTTTGAGCCTTCTTTTACAGGCTTCTCTTTCTTTGTCCTCTGCCTCTTTCCCCACGGTTGGCCTTGTCTGCCTTGGTGTTGCCGTTTCTTGTCCTGGTCTGTCGGACGAGCTGAATCCATCGCGAGGAACCGTGAGGGCCGTGAAGCCGATGGGATCGCACCCCGAGTGATGGTGAAATTTAACCGGAAAGTCTTAGATGTTAACGACCTGACCGCATGTCTAGGCCACTTAAACATAGAAGCGTGGCGATCACGCGTCAGACTTCGCAATTGTTCTTGACGATGGAATATACAAATGTACAAATGAAGTTGCAGATATAATTTTCTGCCATAAACTGGAGAGCGCACTGCTAGCTTCAGGAACGAGGGTCCTCGGCTCACAGCGAATCATGATACAGCTATTTCTCACCGCACGTGAGAATGTGTATCTGTGCATCTTTTTGCCCAACATCACGATGCCTCCACTCGCCTACCTCCTTCTTTTACACAGTTACAACAGTCAATATCGCTCTGTTATGCGGCTCCTTCTGAAGTATATAGGGTGACTCCTTCAGCACACAACTACAAGTGCCGACCGACTTTGCAGGAAGTGCTGCGGACGTGTAACGTGGTTTGTAGCAATGACTTTACCCGCTCATTCTTCCAGACTATTGATTACTCGTAAATTCGTAACAGTCGTCGGATGTCCAAGAGTGGAATAGCAGAGTACAGCTCGTCTCGCGTATGTACCTTGGGACAATCCTGCACTCGCCTTTTGAATCTCTATCTTTGAAGTAAGCGCTTCTGCAATAGAGGCACCGCTCAGAGGTTAATAAGGCATGTTGGGTCTCGGACAGCATGTGTCAACATCAGTTGCCGTTGTTCGGTCGCTGGGAGACTGTACCTCTACACATTCTCGCTCTGTTGCTATCCATTCCGATGATTAGCTTTGGCTTCACTTCCTGATAGCCTATCTGCTTTCATTTCCTTATGACGACTAACCATCATTGTCTTCCCCAACGAAATGACAAGTCCAAACGATGGAGCATATTTTCTCTCCAACAATACCCCAAGCCCGATGCCAAAAGTACAGTCGACGAACGGGTCGAGAAGGGTCCGATTGCAATCAGTTGCATTTCATATTCTGACTGCTTTCCCCGTGTTCTGGGGAATCGAAACTCTTCTTTCAGAACATGGATTCAGCAGTCATGACAACATTCTCACACAGTATACGGGTCACTTTATTACGATAGTTGCCACATGCTCTCTTTCGATAATATGGTCTGGGCTATGCCTATTGCTACATGGCTGTGTACCAGAGACATTGATGAGGCTTGGCTCTTTGATACAAGATGTAGTAATGTCGTCCTTTCTTGCATTATTTTCGATGATGATTTGCTATCGCTCTTTTGTGGTACAGTCTTTCAGTACGATAGACTGCGTTGTACTTGGAGCTGGAACGTTTGCCTGGTACGTACTGTTCGTTTGATTATATCTCAAACCTAGACTCGTTTCCTCTAACGACAATGTTTAGCATGCTTCATTTTGGTCGACTTCTAGCCTTCGCAGCACGAGTGGAATTACCGCAACTCCCTTATGTGGATGAAGGAGAATACGATCTTACACAAGCAATGTTGTACATGTTCTCTGTGTGCTCGGTAACCACGTCGTTTTCCTTGAAGATAATTGCTCAGGATACGCTCTTGGATACTGGAAGCAAGCATTACAGCAGTGCTTTCGTTATTAACTCGGAATTACTGCACACAATAGTAAGCATTTATTTTCGGTGTTGATGATGAGAAAACTTACTCAGCCTTATCAGGGAAATGTTGTCGTAGTTTGGAATCTCTGCAATACCATCTGTGCCTCCTTCATCCCGCCAGTCGCATCGAGCAAGATAATAGCCACTCGTCTTCCGCCAATAGCCCCCGTATGCCTCCTGATGGATCTCGTCTCTTTCGTGGCCATGGTCGTCCTCTCGGCATTGTGCTACGCATCGCTCTCCCCATTAGCCACTATCATGAACGGGACCCTGTCATGGGCTCAGATAATAAACGAAAGCCGAAGCATTCTTGCAATGGCCGTAGGATTATTTGCTGGGTAAGTTCCACTCGCGATGGTTGAAAGGCAGTTGAAACCGTAACTAACTATTCTCGTTGCAGATGTTGTCAAGGATCATTAGCAATCAGTCTCATTTCAACGTATTCTTCCGAGAAAGAACGAGCTGAAGTAATGCGAGGATTGGACCAGGATGGTTGGCTGAGGTACTTGGACAACTTCCAGCAAACGGACCATGACCTAGTAGCATTCTTGAAAATCCCAGCTTTATCAGAGAAAGTTCGAGATCGCATCGCCTCGAAAATATACAATCTACCACAAGACGATTCTTGCAGATGCAATCGATGGAATAGAATCAGAAGATACCCATTGGCCAAAGAGGAGCTCGAACGATACCGAAGTGATCAGAAAGTTATTCTTCATGGTCTATTTCCGCCCACGGTGAGCGAAGACCTCGAGCTCGGAATTCCTCAATAGTCTACGGAGTTTGCATCATGTTTATCGTTATCGGAACATTAGACATGGACGGCGTACAGGCATTGTTATGGCCTCGATATCTTGGGCTTACTACTGCGCAGAATTCGTCTTCTCTGTTGAATATTATAAGATACCCGCTAGCGGACTTTGGAAAAGTCGAAACTAGATGTAATAAATATGATTATTTGTCTGCAAGTTCTTGAGTTCATATACTGGACATAGTTAAAATCCAGAAGCTAGCAAGTGCTATCTTTCCTCTTTCCGCTACTTGTTTTGAATAAGGTTAGTGGATCTGCTATACTGCAAAAGCGGCTACAACATCATCTCAAGAGCAGGAATGGAATTTTGTTTCTTCTGCCTTACGAATGAATTGGCCAGACCAATGGATACCTCCCAATGTGTTATCACTGAGGCTTTTTGCGACCGATGCAGATGCAGATGAACTTGTACTTCGCAAAGCCACAAAAGCCCCTTGATAGAAATGACAAATTCTGCGACTCCTAGCCAAGTATCATGACTTCCATGGGCAATCTTTATTGCCATTTAAACAACAGATGAAAAACTCGAGCTTTCCGCATAAGACCCCATCACGTGAGACGCTTCTCATCCATCTCATTGGCTCCCCTGACCTCCAGGCAACATCATGCACTTACAATCTCACGCTCTCGAATCATGATATACAAATATACATCTCATACTCATCGTATCTGCGAATTGTCTCTAACCCCCCTTTTGCATACACTATCCCCTCGACATAGCATTGCCTTTAAGCCAGAAATCATGACATCAAAATACATATCCTCCTTCGGAACCATGAGACCTCCGAAGCGAGAAGTAGGAATGAGCAAAGTAAACTTAATATATTCTTCTATACCCTTCCTCCCTATATCTATAACCAGACCTCATATCCTCCTCAATCCCCAAACTTCAGAACTATGTTCCAAACTAACACCCACCCAGGCCTCAACATCCATCCCCGAATTCCACACCGCACTCCTAAACTCCAAAAGAATCCTCGCCCTCTGCGGCGCAGGGCTAAGTGCCGCCAGCGGCCTCGACACTTTTCGGGGTAAAGGGGGGATGTGGAGGAATTACAGGGCTACGTCTTTGGCTACGCCGGAGGCTTTTGAGAATGATCCGGGGTTGGTTGTGAGTTACTACTTTCTTATGTCGGTTAAAAGAACGGATTGAATATGAGAGATGAGACGTGGAAGAAGATCGAGATGAAAATGAGAAGTATATATTAATTAAGCAAGTGGTTATTCTACGCCCTCCGCCGCCACCAAGCCCTCAACGCCAAACCAAACATGGCACACTTCGCCCTCGCCGAATTAGCCCGCCAAAAAGGCGAAGAAGGATTCCAATGTCTAAGTCAAAACGTCGATGGTACACCACCCACCCTCTTATCTCCTCCACACACTAATCCCCTAGGCCTCTCCCAACGTGCTTCCCACCCCCCATCCCAACTAAAACTCCTCCACTCAACCCTCTTCAACCTAAAATGCTTCAACGACTCCTGCACCTACCTCGACATCGACAACTTCACCGACCCCCTATGCCCAGCCTTAACCATCACGCCCGAAAACATCGAAACTCGGCTCGCGCCCGCCGCGAAATCAATGCACAATCACCTCGACCCGCGTCGTCCTAAGGCCATTCCCGAGGACGAACTACCGCATTGTCCATCTTGTGAGACCGGCTTGCTGAGGCCTGGCGTGGTGTGGTTCGGGGAGGCGTTGCCGAGTGAGACGATTGAGGGGATTGATGAGTGGATTGAGGCTGGGGAGAGCGTGGATTTGATTTTGGTCATTGGGACTACGGCGACGGTGTGGCCGGCTAGTAGTTATGTGGAGATTGCGAGACGGTGAGTTGATTTTCTATTTTGTGAATAGGGGATCACTGACGGTGTTGTAGGTTTGGTGCTAAAGTGGCGGTTGTGAATATGGATGATGGGGAGTTGGGTAGTGCCAGTGATTTGAGAGAAGGGGATTTCTGGTTTCAAGGTGATGCGGCGGTTCTGGTGCCGCAGATGTTGGAGCCTGTCGTTGGGGATTTGAAACAATTTAAGGAGTTGGCTGCTTGAATAATAGTCTCCAGATTGGATTAGAAGGCCAAACATGATGGAGAAGGATGATTTCAAAATGGGTTTAGAGTTGTTGCTCCGGGTGTCAAATTAAGCGAATAGGCACTTACCTAGGTACTGAAAGATTGATCCAAGTAAAGTAATTATCGAAGTTAAAAGAAGGAAGCAAGTGCTCAAAAACTGCCAAATGGCTTTTGTAGAATGCGTCTATCTACCCCCTAAATGTAAAATGCCCAGCCATATGCTGAATACACAGGACTAGGATCTTTTCCGTGCCGGAAAGTAATGTCATTATCTCGTTCAGCCATAACCCGAGCTGTTATCAAATATCCACGTATGACTTTTGTGACGCTCTAACGGTCGATTTAAGCAGCGTTGGCTTCGTCCGTAATGAGCTTGGTGATCTTGCCAATTGCAATAGTTTGTCCCTGCATATATATTAGTATCTAGTACAAAAAGTGATAGAATCTGACTTACTTGATCACGAAGGGTGAATCGTCCTAGTTGAGGGTAATCTTCGAATTTCTCAACACAAACCGACCCAGCGCCGCCGATAACCTCCATTCTTGCAATGATGCTATCACCCTTCTTGGCATGCGATGGAGGAACTTTGCTCTTTCTCCCAGTTCCCTTTTGCAGCTTATGTAGGAGGGTAGCAAATGTTACCTCTTCGATCGCTGAATGGACGTGCATAACACAGTTGAATCCAGCGGACAAGATGCTCTTCAATTCCAGAACACGGATTTGTGCTTCGAAGGCTGTGACACAGTGGACAAGACGCTTTGGCGAGCAAAGCACGAAACCTGGGAGAATGTCTTCCTCTTCAATGCCACGTAGCCGTAATCGAACTTGGTCTCCGCTTTGAGCCAACGGTACCTCTTCTTCGGTTTCGCCGTAAGATGCGGCAACTTCGACTTTGTCCCGATTAGGCATCATTATCAAAGACATGCCCTTCTTTACAACGCCTGCCTCAATCTTGCCTTCCACAAGGGTACCCATATCTCGGTACTTGCCGTTAATTGGCATCATGAAAGGAGCATTGACTTTTCTCTCTAAAGTTGTCATATTGTCAAGATATTCGAGAAGAGATGGGCCGTCATAATATGGTGCGACGCCTTTTGGTATCCGGTCTTTGATACCCATGGTTTGTTGTGCTGCAATAGGCATGAAGAAAACATCAGTCTTCAAGTTGTAACCAGTGCCTTTCAAGAACTGAGCGAGTTTCGTCGTACATTCAGTGTATCGCTTCTCCGACCACTCGACCGTAGGATCGTCCATCTTGTTGATAACCACTACCAGTTTATTGACACCCTGAGTCTTCGCCAGCATGGCATGCTCTCGAGTTTGACCACCCTTCTCGAAACCAGTCTCGTATTCTCCCTTTCGCGCACTAATAACAAGAATTCCCACATCGGCCTGCGAGGCACCTCCTATCATACTTGGTACGTAAGTTTTATGTCCAGGGGCGTCCAGAATACTGTATCGTCGTTTCTCGGTCTCGAAGAAACCACGACCAACCTCTACCGTCTTTCCCTTTGACCTTTCTTCTTTTGTAAGATCTAGCGCCCAGGAGAGATACCATGTCTCACGACCCATCTCTTTCGCTTCCTTTTTGTTCTTCTCCATAGTCCGTTCGTCAACCATTCCGGTAGCGTATAATATAGAACCTCCCAATGTCGACTTTCCAGCATCGACGTGACCAATGAAAATGATATTGACATGCTCTTTGCCGTAAATTTCCTTGAGCGTCTCCTCATCCACATCGGCGGCTTGTTCCTTTTCCACCGCATCAACGTCTCGCACAGCAGCAGCGGCCTTAGCTCTAGTGGGACTCGATCGACCGGATGAAGGGGTAGGTGACGTTGTACCACTCTCTGTTTTAGTCGCTTTGTTCTCCGTCTTTTCAATTGCCTTTGCTGCAGTGACCTTGGCCCCAGCATCAGCTGCTTCTGGGCCATCTTGTTTCGCAGCCGCAGGGGCGGCAGCGGGTGCGCCTATGGACAAAACTTTTGCTTTGGGTTTCGTTGCATCTGCTCCGATACTTAAGACTTTCGCCTTTGGTGCGTCTCCTCCAATGCTCAAGACCTTGGGTGCCCCCGCCTTCGTTGTAACCGGCTTATTGAGATCCGCCGCTCCCGAGCCATCGGTTGGCCGTTTTGCAATCGTTGGTGTCTGTCGAGGCGCTTGCTGTGATGTCGACGCCCCCCCTTGTGGCTGCTGAGAGTATCCACCATACTGCTGGTCTGGAAACGGAAGTTAGCTACGAGCAAGAGATAGTAGGCGAAACAAGCGGGGAATATCTGGTAAGACCGAACAAAGTAGGGAATATTAACGTAGGTATCATAACTCACTGTAACTTTGATTGAACCCGCCTGGCGCTTGGTTGTACGCAGCGTTGTATCCTCCAGCTTGGGGGTATTGCTGGTAGCCACCCTGTTGCTGGCCATATTGAGGATATCCATAACCACCCTGACCCTGACCGCCCTGGGCTCCTTGTTGATTGTAATAGCCCTGTTGTTGGTATCCCGACTGATCATATCCCCCGCCATACTGCTGGTAGTTTTGTCCTGGCTGGAAAGATTGTGCTCCTGGTTGAAATGAATTTGCGCCCGGTCGAAAACTGGGTGCCCCTCCTTGACCACCCTGCTGTGGCGTGTTATTGATATTCATTTGCTGCGTCTGCCGTGACAGATTGTCGTCCTGAGCGGCAGGATCATCTTCCCAAGAATTGAGGTCAGACATGATTGCGGATTGCAGTTGTTGTTTGAAAGGAACTTTTTTGGTCGAGGGAGTCTGGAGACGGATGGATATCAAAGTGTGAGGAAGTGTGGGGCTGTTGTTGGGCTGGCTGGCTGGTCGATACGCTGCGTTTTATCGAGGGGTCGAAGTCTTGGCCGGTAGGAGGGCTGTGGCGGTACGTCACAGTGACTATTTCGAGTCAACTATGACTGGACTGACTCAGAATTGACAGGTGAAAAATAAGAAACGGCAATTTTTACAATGAATTTACGGCTTTTTTCTATGAAATATAAATTCATTGGGTTTGAAAGGGCTGATATCAAACGTGAGCTAAAGAAATACAACGCGAGCCTGGAAGCCTGAAGGTAGCGCTAAATTTATCCCACACGTCTTCAGTGGCTGAAGGTTGTCGACCTAACACCACTAACATCAACACCGCAACAAACGCCAAATCGACAGAACTTGAGCATAGAAGCGTTTCTAGATTTCGTTGGATGCCAAATACGACACAGCGATGTACATCGGCTGATCAAGAAACTGCTGGATCTGTCTTTGCAACATGGAGGTGCTGCTAGCAAAGGTAGACAATCTGTTTCTGATGACCATTTTTGGATCACGTGCTGATTCTTTTTTATAGATCACCCAGCATGCCTACAATCATGCAATTAGGTACGGACGGAAGTCCTCACCATGGACTCTGTAGCTGATTTGATGAAGAGTGGGAATTTGTTATACCGTGCAATACACGACTCGGCAAGCCACGCGCTTTCTAAAGGTAGACACCCGATGGACTTGTGGCTATATGCCATGCTTTTCATGAAAAATTCGTTAACTTGCTATGATAGAAAGTAGAGGATAAGAAGGTGCTTCAAGAGTTACGAAAGTTGCAAACTAAGCTCGAAGGGAAACTGAGAGTAGGTCAACCGCCTTGACGTGCACGCGGTCACTAAACATCCCTTGCAGATTGTATATCCTGCTATTGATATGATAGAGTTGATGTGAGTGTATATATGCCCCTTCACTTGAGGTTTCGCTAACGGCATGATGCGTGCTAGTTCTGCGAGGGGAAACAACACTTTAGAGTCTGCAGTAACCCTAACAAAGGCCCTTCGTTGGGACATACAGTCACTAGGTGCGAGATTTGAGAAGGCTTCTGGCGCGGAGGAAGCGTCACCGAGAAGTAAACGTGATGCCAGGTCAAGAGCAGAATTTGAATTAGAGGTACTGCAAATCATCGAAGATATTAAGGCTCTAATCATCAGGATTGACGATGCCGTACCGCTGATCAATCTTGCGATTGCAACATCTGGCGCGAATCCCTCTACTGGTCTGCCACAGAGCGTATCACCATCGAGACTGATGCAGGCAAGTACAATATTATCTCATGGAGACTTCGCATACAACCAAGATCCTTCACAGCCTATGCAAATCGGGCCTCCCTTAACATTGTCTTTGTACATGTTATTTGCCGGCCACGCTGCAGTCGAAAGAAATGGAACGGAAATCGATGGGGATGGAAATATGCATGAGAGTACACGAAAGAGCGAGAGGGAGATGACGTGGAAAGAAGTACTCCACAAAGCACAAGTTAAACTTATGCGTGTGCCTTTGAGCGACTCGGAAAGGATGTCAAACGCTACCAACGGACGACAATCATTTACGGCAAAGGTAAATGCTTCTAACGAATACGCTTATCAACTACACATTGTCGAAGATCTGGATGATGACAGAGTACATAATTTTGAGGAAGACGCTGCTCAACCTGGTCCTTTTGACGGAGTTCAACTTGCTGGAATTCGCGAAATACTCCCAATCCACCAAATATCCAAGATATTTTATGCAGACACCGGCAAAATACTCAATATCGGCAATGACGGAGAACCTAACAGTCCTGTGCTATTGTTGAAACGCGACATAAACGCTAAGTCGCCTACGAGAATGATGGAGGAAGATGAAATAAGGGACGACACATACGAGGAAACTTCAAATTTATTTGCAAGTCAGTCATTAAGCGACGAAGATGATGAGGATCAAGATGGAATTGACCAGCAACTCCGACGGGAGAGTTCTGTGCTGCCAGAAACCCCTGTGAAGGAGGAATTCAGTGAAGCCTGGCGCTTGCCACCAGATTTAGACCATGAATGGCTCGCATTTGAGGTTTATAACGAAGACGAGGACCCTGATTCCGAGGATGAAGAAGAATCAATCCCAAGCTCAAGTGGTGACTCATCGCCCTTACGATCCGAGCAACTGGAAGAGCCTCTGTCACCAAATGAAGATATACTCAACAAGAACCTCAAAGAACTTCACCTCGAATCGGAATCACCGACTCCATTTCAATCCCCAGCACCAACACCATACACCCAACTCATTCGAACACCAGCAGCCCGAAATCCAGACTCCTCACTACTAGAACACTCCGCACCTCCTACCCCTCACATCCCCCTCCCCACCCGCAGCGACCCATACGGCACAATCCGCACTTCCCTCTCCCTCCTCGAGATGCTCATCCGGCTCACCTCCCTCCAACAATTCCAACAATCCTCCCACCTCAGCATCCCCGATCAAACCCTAAACTTCTTCCTCACCGACGCATCCACCACCAGCGGTCTCAGCACCGAAGCACGGCGCGCCGCCCGTGACGAAGCAAGACGGAAAATGGGCTTCGACCCGTATGATGAAAGCCCAATCAAACACCACGGCGAAGAGTACCAGCGTCACGGCGGCTACGCATCACCTACCCGCGATGCTTACTACGAGGATGACTACGTCCGGCAAACCACAGAATCCCCCTCTCTACCACCCCGCACGATCGAGGCTCGTCGCCATCAAACACCCGATCCATGGCTCCAACGCGCACCCTCTTCTTCTCCTGCCCGAACATCGCGAACTCCGGAAAGTCCCTATCGACCGGTCAAGAAAGCCACGAGGCCGCTTGTGAGAGTCAAGCAAGAGGGGAGGAAGATGAAGGGGAGTCCGTTGGGGAGGGGGATGAGCGTTGAGACTGATTCGACGCTGGGCACGAGTCCTGGGACGCCGACTTTTGTTGGGTGTGTGGAGGAGTCGAGTTGAGGGTTGAAGGATGAGGTTGTTTTGTTTTGGGCTTTGGTAGAGGGGTTTGAAGGGTGATGGAGGAAACGTATACCCAGCTGATTAGATTGTTAGTGCGGATTGCCGATTGCTGGTGACATAGAAATGGTCGTCTTGTCTTTCATTTGATTCGAGCGAATATAGATGCATGTCTTGATTTCGGCGGGATATCTCATGGTGACGGGCAAGAACTCAGATTATCGACATCGTAACATATCTCATGGCCAAGAACAAAATTCAGGAGACAAGTGGTAATAGATTATCGCTTCAATTTCCAAGGATGTCGCTAATTCAAAACGCCAACCATTATGCAAACCGATGTCCAAATGCATACGAGCCGTAGGAGAATATATACAACCCCTCTTGCTATCAATTACAATACACTCTTCTTTCCAAGCCCTTTATACAGCAATCCCCCTCCTACTCCACCCACCCCTCCCCTTCCAAGCCCACCACCAAAGCGCACATCCAATCCAAACACTAACAGCCATCGCCCAAAAACTCCCCTCATAACACCTCTTCCCATGACACAACACATCCTCCTCCATACCCTCTACACCTTCATTCATCTTCGCGCCCCATTGATACACAGTACTATACACAATTCCCCAGACACTAGCCCCGAATGCCGGGACCATCGCTACGATCCCCCAATTCGTGCCGAAATTCTCGACGCCCCAGATGACGGTTATGATGAGCGGGGTGAGGGAGAAGATGGCACCGTAGCCTGTGCCAATGAGGGTGGAGACGATCCAGAAGCGTTCGCCGTGGTTTTGGATGAGGCCTGAGGCGAGGATTACTTGGCCGAGGGAGAGGAGGAGGGCGGTGAGGATTAGGAAGGCGACACGGGAGATGGAGAAGGGTTTGTGGGTGTCGCGGGGTGGGAGAGAGGAGAGGGAGTTGCTGAGGGATTGGTTGGGGTGGCCGGTTGTGGCGGGTGCGAAGACATCGGTTAGAGTTCCGAATGCTATGCGAGCTATGGTGGATGTTATTGCTACAATAGAGACGTGGGTTGCTGCTGAGGTTGTTGGGGTCTCTGTTGGCGGATAGAGCGTGCCGATGATTGTTCCAAGGTTTGTGAGAAAGGCTTCACCTGGGCCTATTATGTTTGTTAGTATATGTACCGTCAGAAAGCTTTCTTTAGACATACCAGAAACAAAGAAGAAGCCAGCCGCAAGGAACCACATGGTCTTGTCTTTCAAGAACCTCGAAGTTTCCTCGTTTAATAGCCACGTCTTCTTTCTAGCCTCTTCTTCCTCCCGAGACTTGATATCCTGTTGTCTCCGGGTTTCTTCCAACTCGTCATCCGAAAGCTCCCCCAAGGTGCCATAGCTTCTCCCACTACGTCTAAAGAAGGCACTGTCTTCCAGCAGTCCACTTCGCTCCAGCTCTTCCACTGCTTCATCTATCAATTCATCCTCATCCACGACTTGTAAGAAGACACTTCCTACCAGCCCGACTACAAGCAATGTCGCGGCCAGGAATACAAAGTATTTGAAGACATCCACGTCACCCTTCGAGCCAGGTCTTTTCTCATATAGAATCCGACTCCCAACCTGAGCCTGCCACATCCCACTGAGTCCAAACGCAGCAATCGGACTAGCCAACGCAATGCCCCGGTACCTCCCCTTCCCAAAGTTCTTCGCACATGTAGTCACCGCAGAGAGATACATGCAGGTCGTCCCCAACCCTACAACCACAAACGCAGTAATCATAACCCACAGAGGCCAGCCTCTCGCAATCGTATGACCCATGATATCCTTCGCACCACTTCTATACGTGAACGCCGCAAGACCATATCCAAGACTGAACAGAATCGCAGAGAGGAACGAGAGAGGCGCCGGGCCAACACGATCGCATAAATAGCCTAGCACGGAAACCGGCAGGTATAGCGCCAGTTCTGCGGCAATGATAACATAGTTAACCTGTAACTGAGTATAGTGCAGTCGTTCTTGGAATAGATGGCCGTACAGCGAGTATGTAGTGATCGAGCCCGCGCAGAGACAAGATACGATGGCGGAGGTAAACGCTACATAGCGCTGGACATTTCGTTTGCGGTTTCGAGCGATGGAGGAATTGGAGGAGGCGGTTGAGGAGTGGGTAGAGGAGGAGTCGTTTGCTAGAAGAGGGGTGGTATGGGATGGCATGGTGAGGCTGGGGGGTTGGACCGTTCTGCAAACGGATGGGCGTCTATGTTACGATGGCATTGATATTGATGAGGAAGAGACCGTTAAGAGTTGTTTTGGATTGATGGGGTGTTCAACTCCTAAGTGAGTGAGTCTAAGTTGGCAGGTCTCCGAGGTCACGCAGTCACGACATCAGGTAGAGCTCGGTGGACGTGGGTCCGAGGTCGGCACGTCGCGTCATTTTTGACAGGGATTCGTATGCGTTTACTGAAGCACGAGTCCATAGAATTTTCTTTCCATTGAATTTTGGAACAGATTCTGCATTTGATTCTGCAAGTGATTGGAAAACATTGGATTTCTACTTCAGAGTAGATTTCCATGGCGTTTCCGTTCGTGTATGAGTAAGCTAAACCTATGTGTGGTTTAATTGCGGACGGGGGCGGGCCGGTTCCGCTCAATTCCCAGGATGGTGATAGCTTCATGTTTGACAAGCGAGCCAGCAATGCTGATGTTGTCTAGATTTACACTTCCTGCAATTTGCTTCACACGAACATTTTAAAACACAAGTTTTGTTTGTTCGGAATACGGGCTCTAGAACGATCTAAATAAGCAATTGTGGCATGTTGAGAAAACAATTTGGGTTGAAGACCTTTCTGAGACATCATGAAGAAGTAAAATGATCATAAGTTTACAAAATGGCGCAGTTAATGGAATCTGACAAAAAGTCGAAGATGTATTACTATCCAAAATTAAAAATCATCTACAAGAATTCAAAACATCCCATCGCAGCTCCCAGTCCTATGCCAGCCAAGGTATTTCCAGCCCTCTACGCCAAAGCTACCGATAAAGAAAACAAATGTATACCAGAACGCCTCGCCATCAATTTGTTCCATGTCGTTAAAAATATTTTTGGAGAATATTCTAGTTTATGAGCCAACAGCGCCAGTACCAGGATGGCTGAACGAGCCAGTAGTTGGTGGCCAGTTACCAAGATTGGCAGCATCAGCAATAGCTCCACCGATTCGAACCCATTCTGCTTCACCGGGTGTAGGACCATCGAGAACGAAGAGCATATACCATCCAGGAGGGGCAACACCAGCGGATGGTGGTGTAGTGATGGTACAAGTTGCAGCGGTAGCGGCACCAGTACAGGAGACAGCTGGGAAGAGTGTTCGTTGACCCATAGAGTTTCCGTGGGTGGAGGATACTGCGGCATTCAAGGAAACTCTGACAGCCCCGAGATTACCAGATGGGATCTTAGCAGTGATCTGGGCAGAAGATCCATATCCCCAGTCTTTGTTGGCGGTGGTGATTGTGAACGATGGCTTGGCCTGACCGTTGAGTGCGTAAGGTGGGCTGAAGACCTCGACTCGATATTCTTGGGGGTTAGTTCCATCTTCTGGGTCTGAGCCGGAGACCATAACACGACCGTCAGGCATGAGAATGGCTTCGGAGTGATAAAGACGAGCGACGATCGTGTTTGCCATGATTGACATACGCTGATTGAATGGTTTACTTGGATCGTAAAGAACGGCACCAAGATTTGGTCCTGTTGCAAGACCGAAGCCTGCAACACCCTGAGTAGCACCATTGAGAATGAGGAAAGTTCCATCTGGAAGAGCACACATGCAGGACATCACACGTTGTGAGGGCATACGCTCAAGAGCCCATGTTGGTGATCCGACTTCTGGCTGTGTCGAAACACAATTGTCAATTGCATAAGAAGCCGTGTTAGCAGACCCACCACACACCATAACAGTTACCGGTGCGGTGAAAGGGGCGTATTGAGGCAACATAACGGCGGTACCTTCGAGAGGATATGTTCGACCTGCGAGAGGATTGATGACTGAACCCGGAAGATTTGGAAGAGTCTTGATAGTGTCAAATGTTACCTCGCTCAGGATTCTTGCTTCGTTGTAGTAGACAACAAAGATACCACCGCTTGGCAAAACGAACATGAAGGGATATAAGTTGTTTGGATCCGTACGCTCAAGCCAATCGAGGTATTTTGCGTAGCCTCCTGGTGGTGGTGGCAGAATTTCACAAGAAGGCACTGGCGCAGCGTTGGAACCAACTTCTCCTCCAAGGACAAGGACGGAACCATTGGTCATAACCATAGCAGAAGGATACCATCGACCTGCTTTCAGAGTAACTTCGGCGACATTCTCTTGCCAGTCGTTCTTCCCAGCAACACCAGGTGATCCATCGGGTGTATAGAGTCGGACTCCGTATGTGGAAGCACCGGACCAACCGCCGATATTCAACTGTCTTCCAGCCTTATCAGGAAGCGTGATTCCAGCTGCACAGAAAATATCACTCTTGACATGAAGAGGTCTCCATGCTTTTGAGACGTCGTTGATGAAGGTGAGATCAAGCTCGTAAGTACCTGTCGTGTTTGGGGCACCGGTCCCAGATTTCTCCATGAAAACTATCTTTTTGTTGATGCCCACTGTGGTGATCAGAGGAATGACAACTCCACCAATGAGGTATTGATAAGAGCCAGCGCCTGCCCCTGTAGGTTTGGCCCAGTTGTAGATGTCATTACCGACCCATTTGTAGTAAGAATTTCGGTTGTTGCCACCACAACGATATTGGGGGGCTCCAGGGCAAGGAACTTGACAGTCCGCTTCTGGTTGCTTGGTCGAGCCAGCGGCAATGGCCTTGTCATCATCCCCACAATAACATTCCTGGCCATATTGCATACCAGCAGCCATGTAACCAAAATCAGAGCACTTAGTAAGGCATGAGGTAGCCGAATTGTTTGTTGCACTGTTGCTCTGCCAGAACAAGGCTCTCTTGCCACCCACATTGTCGCTGTAGCAGCCCTGGTATACCCAGTTTCCAGGAAGGCCGGTAGTCTGAGCTCCAGGCGGTTGATAAGTTGTCAAAGTGCCGGTATAATAAAGACTGAGGCGATTTCCCGCACCACATTTCTGGGCAGTGTTGCCAGGGCAATTCATGTTGCAGTCGGTCTCAGGCGCAGATGCTCCTCCGTTTCTCACACTGTTATCGCAAAAGCACTGCTCCGAGTACTCCATACCAGCTACGGAGTAACCAGCAGCCACACATGCTTTAACACAATTCTCGACACTGTTTGTGTTACCGCCAGCGAGCTGATTCGTAAGAGCGCGTCCACTGGTTCCTTCACTATAACATCCAGCATATTTCCAGCCAGTTGGGAGGCCTGTAGCCGCGGATGTCGGGACTGAAGAAGAGGCAGAAGTAGGTTTCGTGCTTGTAGTACCCACGGGGGTCGTGGTTGGAACGGTCGGTACAACAGTCGAGCTGGAAGAACCGGGTATCTAAAAAAGCAAGTGTCAGACAGATTTTGCTCACAAATTTAAATCATGAACTTACAGTAGTTGAAACTGTCACTGAGGAGACAGTCGAGCCAGAGCCAAGATAGCCTTGCTTGTAGACATCAAGACGATTTCCAGCGCCACAGTATTCACTGCTGTTGCCACCACACAGCATGTTGCAGTCAGAAAGACCACCAGGTGCAATTACTGGGTTGTTCTGGAAAGCATTTCCGCAGTCTATAATGGGAGCATTAGCTGGAAGTCCACGTATTACGGGCGCCACTCAACTTACAGCATTCATTCGCGTACTCTATACCAGCCATCGAGAAGCCTGATGCCTTACATGCTGCAATACACAAAGCAACAGTTGCTTTACCACCAGGCATAGCAACTCCATTTCCAAGTGCACGGCCATTGACACCCTCCCTAAGATATGAATTAGAATTTTCTGGATGGGCGTTCTATGGTTGACACTTACGTATAACAACCGAAGAAACCATAATTGTCCACTCCGGGATTAGTGGAAGGTCCTGGAGGTGGCTTTTGTCCGTTCCAAAATACTGTCAATCTATTTCCACCACCGCAAGCCTGGGTACTATTGCCACTGCAGGGCATGTTGCAATCAGTCAGAGGTGCAACAGCTCCAGTTGAGCCAATTGAGTTTCCACAGACTGAACGTCATCAATATAAAATTCTTGTATCCACATTGACAAGTTTGGAGGACTTACAGCATTCGCTTGAGTACTCTGTACCAGCATAAAGCATCTTTTGACTCTCACAAAATGCTATACAGTACTCAGCAGTCATCAGAGTATTGCTGGTGGTACCCGGCCCCGAAAGAGTACGCGGTCCATTCTCTGTATAACATCCTTGATATTTCCATGTTCCAGGAAGTGTATTAGGGACTACCACAGCTCTCTTTTCTATAGCATGTGGCACGAAGATAGATGATAATGCGGACCCAACAAAATTCAAAGAGATAGCAGTCTGAACGAAAGAAGACCGCATCTTGATTGTCGATTAAGTGCGAACCAGGAGAGAGAGAGGGATAGCGACAGTGAGGGATTGGAATATGTTTTGGCAGTAGAAGAAAACAAATGCCAAGTGGATGAGGATGTTGGGCTCTTGAAGTAGGTGAAGCAAGACCAGCAACACCGAGGAGGTTGACTAGATAGAAAAAAGGAGAGTGACAGAAGGGGGTATGCTGTCTTGAAGTACTCTCCACCAGAGCAGTAGAACGTAATAACAAAATACGGAGCTATCCTTGGCCCATAAATACCCTGGAGGAGCGGAACAGGGAGCCATTTTCTTCAGTCCACCTCTCCCGCTAGGAAGCGTAACAAACAGCTGGAGACCGCTGGGACCGTTGGTAACCCAGGAGTGTGGTTGACAGGAATGTATTGGAGTGGTGACAAACGCCAGTATCGGCATGTTCATACGAGCTTGGGAAGTTTTGAATACGACCTGTGGGGAAAGCTTAGGGCACTAACCAAGGAATTCTAAGAATAGGGAGAGGAGGGGTCGAATGTCAAAAATTCTTGCACCCACAATACTATTTCACCGCCAGGATATTCTCGAGCTAGAGAAAGAGCTTCTTCGTCTAGTCACTGCATGTCATCCGTGGAGTGACCGGATGACCCTTTTCCAAGGTCCTTCTAGCAATCCCGTCTTTGGCAGACGTCGTTGGTGTACAAACAGGCAAGGCAGGGCCGCGAGCCTCACGATAGAGAACCACTGGATGCTCACTGCTTTATCTCCCGGATCTGCAGTCCCATCAAGATAATGCCCGGTATTGCATGTACTGCAGGATTGCTGCAGTGTAAGGCCCAGGCCGATCCCCATCTGCGCATCCCTTGGGGAGGGTTGCCGGTTCGTGAGACATGGGCGCGGTATCGTGACGCTTCCTTCTTTCGCAGAGATAGAAGCTCTGAAGAAAGGGTCCTAGGACAAGACTCAGGAGTGATGTTCGTGGATATTGGTAGGCCCGAAATAGTTGTAAGTGCAGAGTTGCGGAAGTGAGCTGTCGGGATCTCTGCCGGGATAGGACATTCGAAGCAAAGCACGCTAGAATGCCTTGCTTTAAATGCCTCCACTTCGCTTAATCCGACGACAGCAGAACGCCTATCACGATCAATCATCCCTTCTCTGCATCGTATTTAACAAGAAAATCAAGTCGGCCACGGGTAGGTCTCGTATTTGTCACAAGCAAGACGATTATTATGATCCCATCATTGCGGGCCTACGATGCTTTCATAGGGGGCTGTCGACCGACTCCGACTTCATCTCCGTCCACCTTGCTGCATTTGAATTCTCCTTACGAAGTTGCTACCAAGAGTCATGCCTGCGTGAAGGGGCTACTGGAGAGAAAAATGGATTAAAGCACAATAGTTGTAACGTTGGAGTACTTAATATCATCTAATACGTACGGCATTCGGGCTTCAATCGTCTTTTGCGCCACGCGGTAGCGTTCTTTGCCAACTTTCGACGCATCGAACACGACGTCTTTAGGGCTGATGACGCTGTACGACCTTAGGGTTTAACTGCCTCACAGGCATTCGAATAACATTTGAACATGTCGCAACACGACCTCGGATGGCTTCCTACTTCTAGATAGCAATTTCGGTATAGACGACGCTAGACGAATACTCGCTAAGCAATATATCTAATGCCCCTGACTCGATTTCTCTCAGATGTCTCACCGACAACTCTGTAGTTTTGAGATCTCACTCGATATCTTTACTAGTATACCCCGCTATTCTGGAACAGTTACGCCTTGCATACACTCGTCCGTCCTGGGGGTTCCAAAGCTCTGCGGCCTAAGGATGCAGCCACGATATGTCGACGAGTGACAGCACATCGCAGACGGCACATGCAGGCCTCAGCACTCGAAGGCTGTTGAAAAGCTGACAGCCATTATCTCAAGTAGCACCAAGTGTGGCTTCACATGATAAAATCCAGTGGAGATGCTCTTTTCTGAGTTCTCTTGAGCTTCCAAGACATATCGGATTTCGGGATTTCGGAAGGCGAGGAAAAGTAAGCATCGCAACTATTGTTATGATATAATAGTTCAAGATACTATGGTCAAGACTTTGTGGAGGATTTTGTACGAGGACATCATATCGGCCCATTTCGATCCGACGATAATCAGCTTGAAGTGTGAGTGCTTATCCATGATATGGCTTGTTATCAGCTGGCAAGCCATTATGCCGACTTCACGCACTACGACCTTCTATTGTTCGGTGTGTATGCATTTCGCCTGAAAGGTTACTCAATCTGTAGGCACGATCCTATTTCAACGTCTTGTCGCACAACAAGGAAAGCGATCACGAGATGTTCTAGCACATCAGGATTTCCAGATCTGGACATTTCCTAGGCCGCTTGATCTATTGAAAACGCAAACACCAGGAAACTTCATTGAATCTATCATTGTTTTTTGCATCTATACAGCTACTGCGTAGTATCCCGCAACAAGCATCATGCTGTATTCCTGCCTATCAACACCAAGGGGTGGCGGTCAATATTACAACTTTCCACTGCTCCCCAAGCCCCCAAGGCTTTTTTGAAGCCCTTCCCGAGGACTCCTCAGACAACTACATCAAGGTACATAGACTTTCCTCCATCTACTTACTGCAATGATCATATGTTCTCTACCCTCCCGCCCTCCGGCACCTCCTCGATACCCTCGGCCCCGTGGCTGTGTTATTAGACCGACAACATCTCCAGCCAACACCAAAGCAGCAGTTGCTCCCTTTCAAAATCGATATATGTGCGTCATCGGCATCTTCTCGTAGGTACGATGCAGCTATTCATCGAAAATCAATCATCCCATCCTCACATGATATCGTCGCCAACCCATAGTGCATCACATCATACTAGAGCGTAAACTTGCACTAACTCACTCCCGCCCATGACGTCTTGGCGTCCCATTCCCATTTCTTGGATCCCTTTCCAGCTCCTCTGGTTTCCCTAACTCGAAATAAAATAGCCTTTCCATCATACTAATTAGACTCACGGAGTCACCCACCAGCCCGGGTCAGCTAACCCAAGGTTACATTTCCGGATCCTTCAGAGCGGGAAATTCCCAGGCAGACGTCCGACCCCAAGAACCAACGTTCCCGTGCAATGATGCGACGCTAGTTCGGGGCTGAAGTTGGAGGTGAGAGGGTTGATATTGCATGAGTGAAGGGTTTGTGGTTTGAAGAGAAATAATGTGTCATAGGAGATAAGAAATGAGTTGGTGAGTACGATAGTAGGATTGGGTTGCCCCAATGAGGGATAAGATATTAGTAGATTGAAACCTCCAGGTATAATCTTTTCTACAAACTATGTTCTCAATTAGTGCTCATGTATAACATTCGTTAATGATTAAGTCGCATATTTACCGACCAAAGCCTACTACAACAAGAAGGTTATTTATTTCTATATACGGAAGCTGCTCTATCAGATTCCTTCTATTACTTCATCCCGCCGTAGTATACAACCACACAATCTCCTTAATTTGCGTAGGCAGGTCCCTTTTTCCTGGACCAAAGCACTTTAGTCTCAGTGCATGGAACGCGATGAACACAGAGCTGGGGTATGATGAACCCGTTTCCTCACGAGAGTGTCATCTCGACATCGACCTCATCCAAATTAGTTCCCAGGTCATGACCAACGGCCAGTTCGTCTTCAGAATCAGTATCGGCAATAGCTACGAAATCATGAGGCGACTGCACGGCTGGGAGGACTACCTCGAAGCTGCTTCTACTCATTGGACTACCGTTGCCATCCAGATTACCATGATCCAAAAGCCCAAGTTTTTTGGAGATCCGATTTATCTTCAAAGACTCGCCCGTGTTGGCCTTGATCATGTGGCGGATCTGCTTTAGATATCGACGACCATTGTTGAACGAAGCTCGGCCAGCCTCTTGACGTTGACCGTGTACCGAGGGTGTTACTTGTTTTCCCTTCTCATCGAACAGCCATGGTTCATCCTTCGGTAAGGAGGGCTCTGCCGGAGGTGATGCTAGGAAGTATTAGCTGTAGATCGGTACGGACTGGAAAATTATCACATACAGAATGTTTCATCGGCAGGTCCATCGCCCATATGCCATGAAAATGGAATGAGATGGGCTTCTTCTATGTGTTCTTTCCATTCGCCTATTCTTGTAAAGGTGACCCCACCACTTTGTTGACTCAGGCTTCCTTCGCTTGCCTTTGAGTCTGAGGTGAGTGGCATTTGCACTTTGTGAGTTTTCGCACATTTGCCCCAACGGCATGGTATGTCCTTCTTTGATTTATCACGAATACCATGAACAATGTTTAGATGAAGTCTCAGGGTTTTCAAGTTGTTGAGTTCCGCTGGACAGCCTTCCCATTCGCAGAGGAAAGGTATGTACTTCCCTTCGGGTACAATAAACTCCTTGTTGACTGAGAATGGTCTGCCTCGCTTTTTAAATTCAGCGTTAGTCTGGTCATTATTGGTCAATCTCGCTGCTTTGGCTGCGGCCGCAGCTGCAGCTTCAGGCGTTTGAAATGGTCGTCCACGCTTTTTCCCATTGATTGTCAAGGCGCCGTCTGTGACAGGATCATGCGAAGTTTGTGTTTGTGCGATTCTTGCGGCTTTCTCAACGGCTCTGACAGCTGCTTCGGCCGTGGAGAATGGGCGTCCCCTTTTTTTGCCATTTATAGTCACAAAATATGGTAATGACGAAGCGGGAGCAGGGCTCTCTCTGACAGCAGACGAAAGTCCAGAAAGGGGACGGCTCCCAGGTAATCGTGTAGCAGAGGGCACTTCATCCGCAAGATCAACCTCGGCAACGTTGTGATCACTGCTTACCGGCCGCTTAAGTGAATTTTGTAAATTCTTCAGGTTTGGCGATGGTATAACGATGGATAAATTAGACGTACGCTGCTCTACAGGTGGGTTTTGCACCTTTCTGCTTTGTAGTGAGAGTGTTTCCAGGTGCTTTTGAGGAGTCCCATTTTTGAATGTTGCAATTTCTGTAGTGCGTCTATGTTCATTCTCAATAGTCCCGTTCTGTCTTAGAAGACCGTGAGAAACATTCTCACTCGGTGGCATGGCGCTGTCCGAAGGATAGGTATAAGAACCACGTGCTCTTCTATTTCGGTGATTGCTTGTGTTCCCGTCCGCCAAATTCTCTCCTTCATCAGAGCTGTCACCAATTACAATCACTTCACGCTTCCGCTTCGAGGCTAGATGTCTTTGGGCGATTTCGGAATAGTATCTCAAGTCTCTGTCGTGTTCGGGAAGAACATGGAGATTGCTATCCAACTTACTGTCGTCCACCTCACCGTTTCTGGATAACAGGCCAGCGTACTGAAGAATGTCATTTACAAGAGTATCCGAATTGTTCCACCATGGAGAACTATGACCTAACGTGCGGGTTGGGGGTGATTGAACGGGTTGAGCGGTTCGCGGAGGTAGAAGTGTGGGGATCGTTGAGTGTTGACCTGGTACCGTACGATGTATCGCTTGTGCCTGTCTGAGATTATTGAGTGTTTGGAAATGTTGAAAGAATTCCTGATTCGGAGATCTCTGAGGCCACTGGCGATAGGGGTCCGAATTTGGGTAGTATGACTGATTCGAGCTACTTCCTAACAGCGCTGTACTCGTGACGGGTGGCATAGGTCGATATGTATTGCTTTCAAAGTTGGAGCCCAGATCTGCTTCGCGGGAGGTCCCAATGGTGACTGGTACCGTACGTACGAGTGGATTTATCTGTGGAATCGGGCAAGACGAAGACTGCGCTGCGACTCGATCTCGTGGAGCCGTTGCATCGCGCAGAGCTTCTGGATTTAGAATACTGCCACTCGATGGCTGAGGAACATTATGTTGAAGGGGTGAAGGCTTCGAGGCGTACTGTTGTTGATGGGCACTACTGCGACTGGAAATAGGTTGACCCGACTCCTTTTGCTTGTGAGGAGAGCTGTTTACGCGCGCTTGTTCGTCCTGAAAACCTCGGGCACTAGTTGAATCGTGTGGGCAGAAATACGGCGAAGTATATGGCGTTACGAGTGAGTTTCTATGAGTAGGTGGATGATGGCGTTTTGCGACTTCAGTCGCGCTGAGGTCGCGTTTGTCTTTTCCAATTGGTTGTTGCCGATCGCCATAATCGAGGTCGCGGGGTTTATCCGACGAATTTGGCCTCTCTACAATCGTCTCATTACTCTCGGAAACGTACGAGATATTGTCGGAAAATGGGTGCTTTAAAATCAACATCAGTTCGATCTCAAGAAACAGTAATCATCCCAAAAGGTTTCTTACGATTGGTTTGATCCCGCCCGTGGAAGATCGAGTCCAGTTATTGATTCTTTGCCGGTTTACGAAGTCTTGTTCTAAGGGATCAAGAGGTTTCTCTGCTACGTATTTCTCCAGTGTCGTAAGTTCCCTCACTGACACGATCATACACGAGTTGTCGGAACCATCTTTTTCCTCTGCCATCATTCTTGCTGGTTTTCTTTTGATGGATCGAGTTGCATGCTAGGTAGGATGAACGTTTCGGCAGAGTTACGTCCATGGAAGCACTGCTGGATTTGCCAGAACGTTTGAAAATGATTACCGACAGCTATATTTGATGTTTTGAGATGAAGTCAGTTAGTCGCAAGATTACTCAAGAGGTGGCCAAAGGCGAGGTCTTGAGTCACTTCATCATTCTTACTATTGATAGAAGTAGGGTGGCTGTGACGACCGATTGAAGTGGTATGTCCTCACTTTAATCTTTTATGAGTTCCATCATAACGGTAATTGTCCTAGAAGAGGAGCTCGTGAAAACTCATTTGGGAATTTGTTCAGCGTGTTTATTGAAGAGGTATTGGTGAATAGTGAGATGTCGGGCTCCGAACATACTGTTTGTAAACAGGGTGTAACTAACTAAATACATAATGTTTTTTTCGGTGGATCTATCCATGATATTAAGGAGGAGGTGATCTTATGAAGACTCGAAAAGCATCTGGAATTTCTTACATGTAGTATGGTTTATACACGGTAAAACTTCGGCTGACGACCCGCAATTTTCACAGTTGCTTTATAGTTTAAAATAAGCCAAATTGTGATTGGCTGTAATGGTCGCAATCTAAGGAAGATATCAACATCCCGATTTCTTTCTACCATGGAGTTCGCAAGAACACTGCCAACAGTGCCCAGTTCGAACATGGCGGTGGATGTCCACTCGTGTAGGTAACTCACGATGCTGCGATGTCCTTAAGCAATGAAGAATATTTCATGAGGGAGGTTTCACTCTGCAGTGAGCTCTTCACCGTGGTGTGGCGGTATTGGATTACACTTGTTGTGTGGTTTGGTAGAGGAGGTTGGGTTGAGCGTCAACCTTGGTTTTTTTTTGGACATTTTTTCTAACATACAATTTAAAGTAAAGTACCATGGAGAGCTTGGAG